GTCCCGTAGGGGTAGTTCCCTCTCTCTCCTGCACCCACCCGCGACATGCTCCCCTCTCTTTCTTTCACCCTTTCTGGCGATACTTTCACCTCTCCCCAGAACAATTCCGTCTCGCTCTTGCGAGTCCTATATCGCGTCTTCCCGTCTCTCTCGGCCTCTTTCATGCTTTCTCCTCTCTCATTTATCTCTTATCTCTCCTTTATCTCGAGGGTGTTCCGTCTCTCTCCTCCACCCCTTCTCGCGGCGCTCTTCTCTCTCTACTTTATCGCTTCTCGGCATCTCCTCCTCTCTTCTTCCTCTCTACTCGGTGTGTGCGTTCCCAGGTTGCACTTTAGAGTTTCGATGTTGGAGTTCCCGGCGTGATCTCGGCCACTGCCTCGGGATTGGGATTGGAAATGCACTTATTGTTGTCCTTTTTACCCTGGTCTCGCTTACAGCTCGGGATTTCTTCGAGCTTCCAGGTGCCGAGCTTGCGGTTTAATTGCACCTCGATTACGGCTCCAGTCCACGGTTAAGGGAGGATCTCTCCTTCGAGGGGTGGAAAAGCTCGCCGTCCTGGATGGCTTCATTTCTTTGCCTTCTATTACGGCTTGCTTTAAAATCCTCGCGATGACGCAGATTGCAATCTCATCCCCGAGCCACACCACGAGCTACGAACTACCATCCCCTCGGATTACAAATTGCAGAAATAATTCAAAACTCAGGACTTTCCACGAATAAACTACTAACTCAACATTCGCTTCCCCCATATCTTTCGTAATCTCAATATTTAAACATCTCATAATTTTCATAATTTTCTTTATCATTAATTAACCTGCAAATGGCGTCAGACACCTCGTTTATGAAATTTCAAGATTCTTAACTTTCTTCATAGACATTTTCTACATTTCTTATACAAATTGAAATTCCCGTAGTCATTTTTTCTAGACTTCAAAGAGTCATTTTTTATAGACTTCAAAACCGATTTTTTCCGGGTAGATTAATCTCCGGAATTAATCTCCACGTTCCACATTCGCAAAAATGCGGCCAAGTGGGAACTCGACGCGCATTATTTTGCGGTGAATAATTACACGCTCGTGTTGCGATAAATTCGTGAAAGTTGATAGGAGAGGACCAATCGGAATAAGTTTGGTCGGCCATTAAACGGCACTTGCGTTGCATGCTGAGGCCAGCACACATAGCTGATTATCCTCCCAGCACGATGCTAATGAGAAGGCCAACATTGTAGATTTCGCCCGGACGTGCCTGCACGTCTGTTTTTCACGTCAGGTCGCCAAAGTTAACCCCAATGGGCCGAATAACCCCAGTTTACGGGGGCCAATAGGCAGCGCTGAGTTACGGTAACTAGGGACGCTATTGCGCACGTGGTCACCCGACAGAGTCCCAGTTGTTCGCCCGCGCTAAATGTTATCCCAAATACTAATAGCAATTCTTTTCCGTCATTCTGCACCTTCTCGTCTAACGAGATAGGTACACGGACCTTTTATTATTCCCTTTACTTTTTCACAAAATTTATTTCGACAGATGGATCCAAGATGGCGCGCGGTCGGTCGAGGTTTCTCGAGGCGGAACGCGAGAGAAACGGGATTTTCCTTCTCGTCGGGCACAGATGTGTGGAATATGGAGGGGTAAACGATTTCGGCTATCGTCGGCGGAGGAATTTCCCCGATAAAGACGCCGACGAAGATGCTGAACCCGGGGAGCCAGGAGCAGGTCGATAAACACGTGATAAGCGCATAACTGCCCCTCGAGAATGCAAGCTCCTATGAATAAGTTCTCCTCAAGTCCCCGACATTGCCAAGTGCACTTGGCAGTCCTTACCGAGGGCGATTCTTCAAATTCTCACGTTTAATTGGAGGGAAATTAACAAGCGACGGATAAGATCTGGAATAAACCCCACCTCGAGGAACTTCTGATCTCTGTGAAATCTGCGAATTGTTAGGAATTAATTCTTGAGATTACTCTTTTTTTCTTTCTTTTTTTTTTTTTAATAAATTCCGAGTAAATAACAGTTTTTATTCCGTCGAATATTGGCGTAATCATAATGGCTTAACTCTGCGGCAACCCGATATTCACGGTAAGCGGGAGTTTCTGATCACCTCACATGTGTTAAACAACGCGGTTACAACATTCAAGGCTTAATCGGATTCGATCCTCGACACCGCCGGCCACTGAGTACTCTCCAGCTTGTTAACAATGTTAATAGACACGCCACTAACGCACATACTCGTTCCTCGTCAAGTCAAACAATCCAGGGCACGAGAAAATAATTCTGAACATTCCGAATTCGATTGAAATACCATCAAATAAAAATAATGATAATCCCTATTTCACGTATTCGAAATCCCCCTAAAAGAAAAAAAAACCAAGTCCACGTTCGACTCAATAGAACCGAAAATTCAAGTTCGTGTTCAAAAAGTGGAAGCGCCTCGAAATTAATCAAGGCCCTTACAACAAAAAAAAATAGGAATTTTAATTACTTAAACATTTGCATAAGAATGTGGTTTTCAGGGCAGCGCTTTAATCCTTTTGTGGTCGTTTCGAGGCAATGGAGGAGAAATTTTGGCCACCCATCCTGTGACCGGCCCCGAAAAGGTTATTTAACCCCGAAAAAGTCTAAGACGGGAGACCAGGGGGTTGAAAAGGGATTAAATCCTCCACCCCCATCGAATCAAGGGGACCGTAGTTCGCATCGATAACGATCAATTTATCCGATCATCGAGTACGCCGGTATTTAGCAATATGCCCCTGGCGGCCATTTTGAATGCGTCTTCGCTTTGCTCCCATTCCGGGAGGACGGAATGCCTGCGGGAAGAAAATGGGAGAAAAGAGGAGAAAATGTTCAAAAAGTGGAAGCGCCTCGAAATTAATCAAGGTCCTTACAACAAAAAAAAATAGGAATTTTAATTACTTAAACATTTGCATAAGAATGTGGTTTTCAGGGCAGCGCTTTAATCCTTTTGTGGTCGTTTCGAGGCAATGGAGGAGAAATTTTGGCCACCCATCCTGTGACCGGCCCCGAAAAGGTTATTTAACCCCGAAAAAGTCTAAGACATGAGACCAGGGGGTTCAAAAGGGATTAAATCCTCCACCCCCATCGAATCAAGGGGACCGTAGTTCGCATCGATAACGATCAATTTATCCGATCATCGAGTACGCCGGTATTTAGCAATATGCCCCTGGCGGCCATTTTGAATGCGTCTTCGCTTTGCTCCCATTCCGGGAGGACGGAATGCCTGCGGGAAGAAAATGGGAGAAAAGGGAGGAAAGGGATGGAAAGGAAAGGAAAAAGAAGGAAAGGGGGGCGTTTCGACTGCGATGCCGACAGCGTTAACTCGGCCTGAATGTTCCCTCGACAAGGAGAGACAATACCTAAGAGTCGGATCTGAAAAATTAATTTAATCCTCAACGGAGCGCCGGAAGTTCCTGTTTAGGGTGGGCGGTAAAAAATGACGAGCAGCCCTCTGCATATGAAAAATTGCGAGAGTGAAAAAAAAAACAATAATCAAGAGTAGTTTAAACGAAAACCCCTTAGCTCATGAAATTTCAATTAAAAAAAAAATGTTCATGTTCATCCCAGACTAGAACGAGGGGCATGTTTCTTTTTTTTTTTTTTAATAAAATTTCATGAGCATGCATGCAATGATTCGGTGCACTCAATTTCGAAAAAAGTTTTATAAATACCTAGACGTTCAGATATATTTCAAAGAACCCTTAGACAGAGATGGATGAAATCTCTGGATGGTTTAGTATTTATTAAAGACCATTCAAATTCCGCCGTGCATTTTCCCCCAGGGCATTTTCATGTCCGCCGAGTACGGTTGCGCTCTAATTAATATCCAGTGCACCCGGATGATTTTATTTCGGGGGAGGTGGTGCATTAAACAACGTGTCCGACATTTCCGCGAAAGGGTTGCCTCGGCCCTGCATCATTATTCGAGGGCGAATCGCGCTAACAACGAGCTAGCGTTCATTAAAACCGGGAATTCGGGATAATCGACGTAACCTTATCAGAGCCTGACGATTTCCGCTTGGGATCATCACTTCCGTAGCGAGTTAATCGAAATCCGTTTAAATGCGGCGCGAAAATGACGGCCATTTTGTTTTCAGGCTCCTTTAAAGTCCCTGCAATTATCGCGGGCCCCTGCCGAGGCAATGAAAGCATTCCTATGCTACACTAATGGAATTACTCCTTCCCTTCTCTCCCTTCCACCGATTGACCGGTCGCACCCCTCGTGTCATCTAACCAAACATCCGGCGACCCTTCTGCCCACTTTCGCAATCGGGAATTTCTATCCGGCACTCAGATCTGAAAGTATAATATTAGCCCCCCGAATCCGGAGAATTCCGTGAATTCCGCGGAATTTCGTGCACCGGGGCGACTCCAATTTACCCAAGGCTCCCCCTCTCTTATTCTGAGCCTACATTGAGAAAAAATGTCAAGCCAAAGAAATGTTTTGTTAATTTAAAGAATTTGACTCAAATCAACTGAAATAAATTGTCGCCATTCCTTCGGAATGTTGAATATAGACAATATTACATTGGTTCAATGACACTTTTTTTTAATGTAGATACATCATATACAATGTGATTCAAGATTGCTGTACCTCATTAGTCCTCGTGTGAGAAAATGGAAACGGGTCACGGCTGAACCCTGCGGTCCGGAGGAAATTTTCCGGCACGACATGGTTCCACGTCGTAATTAGACCCGGCACAATTTAAACCAGAAACAATGAATCCCATTGTATAACGAAAAACAATGAAAATATTCCCCTCCGGTTTACCCCAGAAAACATATCCAAGAAAAGGCTTGGGAAATGTTTTCAGTACACCCCAGCACCATCGAAGATTACCACAGACCAAGGGAATAAGATACCGCATACACATCCTCAAACTTTTTATTCCAATTTTCTCCCTCAATGTATCACATGTACCTCATAATATATCTAGGTCGTATCCGGGGGGTAGAAATCCAATTGACCCGTCTCCTCGTTTTCCAGGACTCCGGCAGGTCTGGAGGACGTCAGCAAGTATCCGGACCTATTCGCAGAGCTGCTGGCGAGAGGTTGGTCCGAACGGGACATCCGGAAGCTGGCAGGGCTGAACCTCATCCGCGTCTTCAAGGCGGTGGAACAGGTGACGGGAGTCCTAATCCAAGGGGAATCGACGTGGCTTCCAGGGATGCGAAATGGGAATTGGGGGTTGCGGGGAGAGAGACTAGGAATACCTGAATAGAGAGAGGGAAGGGGGGAAGAAGAGCAGCTCACCTACCTGAGAACACGTCCGATCGGGTCGCCCGCCGCCCGCAGACTGACCGACAGTCGAGGGCGCCGATTACCCAAGTCGATTTAATAAGGCGCGCGGCCGCGGAGTGGGGGGGCCGGCCGACCAATGGGAAGGCTCGAACCTCCAGACAGAAGTCACGTGATTTTTACTTCCCTGGACCGCCGCCAGTCCCGGACGCAGCTGCTCCTCGATCTCCGTTTCCGCAATCGGACGTCACCGTCTGTACTTCTTACGTATGCAAGCCCCCGGCTTGGCACGTAACGAACGCGCGTATGTAAGAAAGCGTCTGGTTACGGGATTTGCGCGTTACATGCCACGGTACGTTACGTTTTGCCGGCACCCCGGATTTACTGGGCTAATGGTGCTCTTATTTTCCGGGGTAATCGCGTCGTACGTTTCGTGCTTTTGCACTCTGCGCATACGGTGTACCATTTCCGTATAATTAAAGAGAATTCCTCCTCAGGGATATCTTTAACGCGATAAAGACTAGCAATTTGTTGATTGTTTTAATTTCCAAATTTCATCGAGGCGCTCTCGGCACTAGACCGTAAAAAATCTGAAAATCTTAGGCCCCTAAAGAGGGGAGGATTTCAATACATAGCGGTGGATCTCCTTATACTACTTCTTGGTTTTAGGTCTATTTTTTTTCCTCTCTCTTTCCACGAGGGGAGAAGCTACAGAGAATTCCTCCTCAGAAAAAAAATCCCTTTCCCTGGGGTGGATGCTGGGTGGTAAACACTGACTTTCGACCACGCTTAACACGAGACAAAGCCTCCCGGTCAACTTTGACTTCGCATCTTAGGTTGGCTTGCCATTTGGTCCCGTCCCGCGCTTTGCGTGGCAAAGCCTTTGAGGAAGCACCGCGACACAAGGGGCGACTGCCGGTTCTCACCCTTTGTGCACTAGCCCCGTTGAAACAGTCCGATTCGACGGATTAAAATCCCTCTCGAGTCGTGTGTTTTAATTTGCGACTCCACTCGCACCCTCTCCGTCCCTTTGGCCGCCGCCATTTTCTCGCGAACTCGCAAAACTGACGCCCCTGGAAATAATGACAAGAGATATAAAAAATATGAATACTGACCACGCGGAAAGAAACATTCTTCGAAGCATTGAAATATTTCTTCGGTATTTGTTCATTCAGAGAATAATTATTTGAGTCAAGCTTAAATAAGGTGAAGAAGAAGAATAAGAAGAATCGCTGCATCCGATTTATTTTCGAACCTTTGGGGCAAGTAATTATCCTTCGAATTTACTAAATATTTCTTTGGTTCGATGACACTTTTTTTTCTCCGTGCATCAACGTGGAGTTTTCAGTCCACTTGTGGTTAATCGAGCCTTGTTTTCAATTTGTAAATTTTATTATTAGGAGTTGGTTCTTATTTTTCCAGCAAGTATTTCCTTGGAGGCGAATCTCGCGAAAGCGTCTCCTTTATTCGGTGACGATTTCTCCTTTTTGTCCCCATTTTCCGGGAGTTTTCAGCCCACTTCCGGTCAATCAAGCCTTGTTTTCAATTTGTAAATTTTATTATTAGGAGTTGGTTCTTATTTTTCCAGCAAGTATTTCCTTGGAGGCGAATCTCGCGAAAGCGTCTCCTTTATTCGGTGACGATTTCTCCCTTTTGTCCCCATTTTCCGGGTGTTTTCAGCCCACTTCCGGTCAATCAAGCCTTGTTTTCAATTTGTAAATTTTATTATTACGAGTTGGTTCTTATTTTTCGAGCAAGTATTTCTTTGGAGGCGAATCTCGCGAAAACGTCTCCTTTATTCTGTGACGATTTCTCCCTTTTGTCCCCATTTTCCGGGAATTTTCAGTCCACTTCCGGTCAATCAAGCCTTGTTTTCAATTTGTAAATTTCATAATTAGGAGTTTGTTCTTATTTTTCCAGCAAGTATTTCCTTGGAGGCGAATCTCGCGAAAGCGTCTCCTTTATTCTATGACGATTTCTCCCTTTTGTCCCCATTTCCCGGGAGTTTTCAGCCCACTTCCGGTCAATCAAGCCTTGTTTTTAATTTGTACATTTCATAATTACGAGTTGGTTCTTATTTTTCGAGCAAGTATTTCCTTGGAGGCGAATCTCGCGAAAGCGTCTCCTTTATTCTGTGACGATTTCTCCCTTTTGTCCCCATTTCCCGGGAGTTTCCAGGCCAGATAAGTGGCTCGAGTTAATGCATTCAGCCCGAATGGGACTGAATCGGACTCGGCGAGTCGATCTCTGTCGTCGTTTCCGATCCCGAAGACACCAGGAGGGGATTCGCGCTCGGTTTGATTAAAAGAAAGGAGGAAAGAAGAGCGCGACCTCCTCTCGGCGGTATTTCATGCGAGCTATACGACGGCCTTCAATTTTCGGAGAGCCCATTAAGCTCTTCCGGATATTAGCGGAGCAGCTGCCGGAAATCGAAGGCACGGGCTCGCGAACTCGATCCTCTCCGTTTTTTCATTCCCGGGTTAAGCCTCGCGACAATCGCCCAGCCATTTAACAAAGTCGAGTCTTGCCCCCTCTACTCGTTCCTCGGAATAATTACACTTCGCTTTTCGATCGTTCATTACATTTTATTTCCCTTTTTCGGATCGACCGAATAATTGAAACTGGAAGTTCCCGGGAAAAAATTGGCTTCCAAAGCTCCCTCCCATTTCGCATTTTTTTCCAATCTCTTCCTTTTTTTCTTAACCCAATTTTATTTTCAATATTTTTGCGAAAATAGTATTCCTTGTTGTAAGAAAAATTAATTCTATAAAAGCTCGAAAACAGAGGGTTTAAGAATCCCACAGAAGTTGCTTCGATATTTAAACTTTTTCCATTTTTCTCGACATCGATCGCCCTGGTAAGATCAAATCTCTTTTTTTTTTTTTTTTAAGGAAGAGAAAAAGGATCTCATTTTAATTTCTTTTAGTGAGAATATCCCGTATTCCTTTTTTTTTTACGAAACATAAATTGAACCAAAACGCAATAAGTCTCGCAGGAAACGCCTCGTTTCCGTAGTTTTTGAAAGTCCCTTGATTTTCGAACGTTTTCCTTTTTTTTTTCTTCCTGACACCGTCTCGACCGAGCTTTCGACATCCCAATCGGATCACCTCCCTTCCGTTTGCCCCGAGATCGAATCTCTTTCAAGTTTTCCCCGAGCGGAAGTCACTCGTCTCGTAATTGCTCCGCGCGGTTTCCGCGAGCTTTCCGCACTAGATCGAGAGTGCGAATCGAATCGCTGGAGCTTTGCGCGACAAGGAAGTCCCTATATCCCGATGGCAAGCTCACAATAAAATATCGAATCGCCGTTTGGCCTGAATCCCGTTTGGCCGAAAGCTCCCCACCGGATCGAGACCTCCAATTAAACGCGATCGAAAGCTCGCTCGGAGCTTTTTCGGCGGAAACCGAGCCTTGTTCCCGGATTTTGTCAAACATCCCAGAGAAACGATTTACCGCCGGATAAAAGCCCTAAGGCTCGTCCGCATTGAGCTTTTCGGAGATCCCCGGAAACTGATTTAAAAGTGGAATATACGCCACACAGAAAAATATCACGAATGGGATAAAGAGTAAACGAAGTGGCGCATCCATTTTTAACGTATATTCCCCATAACAAATTTTTCCCTTTTCATAAACCGTTCTCCCCAGAATTATTATTTTTTACGACCACGCGACGACCATGAATGTCTATTTCAAATCATGCTGAAATATTTTCAAAGCGGAATTTAATTTATTAAACCCTGCGCGGTGAAATTCAAGGATTTTTTTTCTTTATCAGGACTTTCGTATAAAATGTGAATTTTTCGAATTTCCCGCCGTGGGACTTTTGATGGCGGGTGGTCTGAGCAAATTGGAGGAAAGAGTAGATTCGAAATGACGCTAACGAGGAAGGTACCTGAGGTGTCCCCCTCCGATTTTGTTCATTTTTAAATATGTTATAGAGGACTAAAATCTAAGGGACCCGTGTTTTTTTTTATCGGCGGATAAACACTTTTAGGGGGTGAAATCAGGCTTCAAAGTTGGCCGTGCAAGGGGGTGAGTTGGCTGTTTCATATAGAAGCACTCGACCGATTTTCATGAAACAACCATCAAAATGTAGGGAATGAAGAATTATGAAACATGCATTTGGAATTTTTCGAGAAAATTCATTTTTAAGGGGTGAGCCACCCCTTTGAATACTTCTTTTACTCCTTACGCGAGCAGTAATTGTTCCATTCAAATGAAACTTTTTTTGTATTGTTCTGGTCTATAAATTAACCAAGTTTCATATCGATAGAGCAATTACTGCTCGCGTAAGGGGTAAAAGAAGTATTCAAAGGGGTGGCTCACCCCTTAAAAATGAATTTGTTCGAAAAATTCCAAATGCATGTTTCATAATTCTTCATTCCCTACATGTTGACGGTTGTTTCATGAAAATCGGTCGAGTGCCTCTATATGAAACAGGAAAATTAACCCCCTTGCACGGCCAACTTTGAAGCCTGATTTCACCCCCTAAAAGTGTTTATCCGCCGATAAAAAAAAACACGGATCCCTTAGATTTTAGTCCTCTATAACATATTTAAAAATGAACAAAATCCGAGGGGGACACCTCAGGTACCTTCCTTGTAAGTCAAAAGTGCCTTACAATTTTTTTTTCTCTCCTTTTCGCAGGTGCGAGATCGTTTGGCAGAGGAAGGCATGGAGCCGTTGGAAGAGGAGATCCCGAGCGACGACATCATCGGCAGAGACTACTGTCGGTACAACATCAAACGACCAAGCATCCCCTAGGGGAATTCCAGCTTCTCTTCAGAGATCTTCCGAGGTTTTCAAACAAAAAGGATCCCCTAGATCCGATCGGCCGCGGGAAAAAAAAAAAGCCGGATGAAAGGTCGCCCAAAAGAAGAAAGCGACGCGAAAAGTCCGCCAAGATGTCGGAGACCAAAAGCGCGTTTGTACCGAGACTCTATAAATTAACCTGACCATCTTCAATGTTCGTTTATACACCAAGGCAACACTTTAAACCGGAACCAATGCTGTCTTAGTCAATAATAACCGAGTTAAACACGACTGCCGAGTGCAACGATCGTTTGAAGAGGTGCATGACAAGTGCATGTGCAATGAGCCTGAGAAGTGCGACAAACGAGTGCAATGAGTGTGGGATGTATCGATTGTAGAGTGGGATTACGAGTGCATGTGCTGCGAGTGTGAGATGCATTTTCGGGATAAATCCCGATTAACAATGAGAGTTTACGGGTGATTGCGACTTACGGTACCTAGTTATCTGCGAGACCGGAAGCGGGGGATTTTTCAACTCGATAAGCGAGAGGTCGCGTTTCGTTAAGCGACTTCCGGTATTTATTTAGCGTACGAATAGCGACCGATTAAGGGCGCCGATGTGTACAGGATATGGCTGACATTTATCCAGGATGTGTTAACGCGCGGATTGTTCGCCACGCTGAAATAAACGAGGAAGAAGCACCTGAAGTGGAGATTTTTGCCCGTTTTTTAACAAAAAAAGTTCTGTCGGCTAATCCGTAGATTGGAGGATCCTGTAAGGCTACCTTGATCCTGATCACATAAGAAATCCTACTTTACGTCAATTCCCGATTAATGAGACGCCGAAGAGCAGACAGATAACATTTTTCACACTTTCCTTGACAATTAATCTTGAATAAGCCACTTAACTAAAAATGAAGAATTTACTGAAAAATTCCCCTCTGGATTTAGCCCCGAAAATTGTCGAACCCCGAGCTTCCCTCCCAGGTTTAAATATATAAACGAAACATTTAATAGAGAATTATGAACATTCGCCTGCCAGGATTTATAATGAAACTTCCAATTTTCCGTGAACACCGCTTTGCAAATGAAATTTATAAATCACATTGTAGATGAGATTATGAAATTGTCGAATTCTGAGCTTCCCTCCCAGGTTTAAACAGATAAACGAAACTTTTAATAGTAAATTATGAACACTCGCCTGCCAGGATTTATAACGAAACTTTCAATTTTCCGTAAAAAATTCGCTTTGCAGATGAAATTTATAATTCACATTGTAGATGGGATTATGAAATTGTCAAATCCTGAGCTTCCCTCCCAGGTTTCAACATATAAACGAAACTTTTAATAGAGAATTATGAACATTGGCCTGCCAGTTTTTATAATGAAACTTTCAATTTTCTGTGAAAAATTCGCTTTGCAAATGAAATTTATAAATCACATCGTAGGTGGGATTATGAAATGGTCAAATCCTGAGCTTCCCTCCCAGGATTAAACATATAAACGAAACTTTTAATACAGAATTATGAACATTCGCCCGCCAGGATTTATAATGAAACTTTCAATTTTCCGTGAAAAATTCGCTTTGCAAATTAAATTTATAAATCACATTATAGGTGGAATTGTAAAATTGTCGAATCCCAAGCTTCCCTCCCAGGTTTAAACATATAAACGAAACTTTTAATAGTAAATTATGAACATTCGCCTGCCAGGATTTATAATGAAACTTTCAATTTTCCGTGAAAAATTCGCTTTACAAATGAAATTTATAAATCACATCGTAGGTGGAATATCACTGATTGGCGATGAGCGAATTTATCCGGGAGGCAGGGAGCAACGCACTTCCGGAAAACGCGGAGCGGATGCGCGGAACGCACGTCACAAGAGAGGGGACCAGGTGGTTCGATTTATTAGACACTCGGCCGATACAAATGACCGTTTCGCCAATGTGCCAGTAAATCATCCCGTTTTTGCCAGAGCCTGACAGGCCGCATCGTGCTGCGAGACGCGCCTTCGGATGCTGGGTCCTTCCGATCCGCGATCCCCGTTTATCCGCAGCGGATTCCGCATCCACCCAGCACGATGGATCGAGCACCCTTGCATGTCCTCTCGAAATGACGAGCCCGAAAATCCGCCCATTCCTGTCTTCCACGACCCCCCAAAAATCGGAATTCATTCTAATCGCATGTACCGATAAACTTGAATATCAAAAACTATTAAAAAAATTCATCGCCCGACAACAAGATTTAAACAAGGATTTATATCGTGTCAACTGATGGATTCCAGGGATTAAAAATGGCTTCTAAGATCCACTGCTTAAAAGCGAAACGGAGGCGAACTGTTTGTTACATATACATATTTCGGTCATTTATTTCGCGTATCATACGAATATTAAAAATTAATTGCAAGATTTTTCTCGGCAAAAAATATGACCCTTTGAAATTTAACTCCAAGAATTCTAATTAACTATTTCGAGGTGGAAATAAAAATGTATAAAAAGAAAAGGAGCGGCCACTTTCTCACGAGTCCTTTCGCTCTCTTCGGGCACGCGTTCGAACTTCCCGCGCAAAGGACGAAAAGTGCACACTCCTTCCTTCGCCGGTAATGAATTCCTCGCCAGGTTGCGAATTCCCCATGAATCGCGTGGCTCCTAACGAGCTCGTTAAAACTTCCAGCAGAAGCCGAACCGCAGTTTTAGATCCTTTCTTAGCCACTCGCGAAGACCCATTGTCTAAAATTTCTTTTCGGAAGACGAAGAGGCGCCCGAAATCGCCTCACCCGTAAAAGAAATTAAAACAAGCGGAATTTAATATTCCAATAAAAGGGGGCAGATAAAGTAGACAAAGAGGCGCCTGAAATCCCGTCACCCATTAAGCATTAAAACAAGCCCGTACTTATGTAATTATAAAATCAATTCGAAAATTCCGAAATTAATCCGGAATTATCCACAACTGCATACAAGGAAATATCTTTCCAACAATTTTTAATCGCAACTACCCAGGTGAGAATGTGGTAATAATTACCAAGTTGCATGTCCAAAATGCAGGTTTACGATATTCCAATGAATTTCCATATAAGAGTTCTAATAAAGTCGATATAATTAATGATCATACCCTTGCGGAGGTTATAATACGAGATATTAATTTTTCATCTACTACGGGAGTCGCGGATTCTGCTTATCGTGAAACTTCCGAAATTAATCCAGAATTATCCACAACTATATACAAGGAAATATCTTTCCAACAATTTTTAATCCCAACTACCCAGGTGAGAATGTGGTAATAATTACCAAGTTGCATGTCGAAAATGCAGGTTTACGATATTACAATGAATTTCCATATAAGAGTTCTAATAAAGTCGATATAATTAATGATCATACCCTTGCGGGGGTTATAATACGAGATATTAATTTTTCATCTACTACGGGAGTCGCGGATTCTGCTTATCATGAAACTTCCGAAATTAATCCGGAATTATCCACAACTATATACAAGGAAATATCTTTCCAACAATTTTTAATCCCAACTACCCAGGTAAGAATGTGGTAATAATTACCAAATTGTATGTCCAAAATGCAGGTTTACGATATTACAATGAATTTCCATTTAAGAGTTCTAATAAAGCCGATATAATTAATGATCATACCCTTGCGGAGGTTATAATACGAGATATTAATTTTTCATCTACCACGGGAGTCGCGGGTTCCGCTTATCGGGAATTCCGCCGGAAACTCGGAAAATTGCAATAATGCAAATCTGCACAGTGCAGAAGCGCGTCTAGTAAAGGTGGGACCGGCAACGCCAAGAATTCCGCCCTGAAGAACAGGGAGAAGAGCCCGACTCGGTGGCCTGCAAGTTTATGGAAAGTTGGCGTATAAATTTGCAGTTTAATATAAACGGCGGATAATATTAAAATGGACGAGGCGTCCCCGCCCGAGGTAGGATCCATTATGCGCGGAGCCACGCCGATGACTCGTTATCAGGCCCGATATCGGCAATAATTAATGCACTTTATGCACCCGGCCCCCGTTTACACGGTTTTAATCCCCGCAAACCCCGAGGTAGGGGATACGAAAAATACGTGAAAAATGAACCCTCCGAGGCGAGCATGAAGGACACCGCGGGATTAATTATTTATTTATTAAAAACCCCGAAGGAAATGTCCAAACGAGAGAATCGAATCGAACATTTCCCCGGGCTTTTGGCGATAACGAAAACCCGAACTAATCAATACCACTGGGTAAAAGCTTTCCAATATAAAGGCGGCCATCTTGTTTTTCGCAGAAGTCGCCCCTAACATTGAAATCCATCGATTCTACCCTTTCTTTCGCTGAATTTCGTAGAATGTCGGTAGAATAGGATTAAAGTAAGCTTCGTTTTGAATAAAATAAAAAGAAATAGGAGGTTATCTCTCCGCTTTCATTGGAATTCGACGATTTTTTACGGTCCCTTGAGGCGCGTCCTCGAGTTGCGAGCGCTCGAGATGCGTACAAATCGACGGAGAAATATCGCCGGGAGGATAATAAACGCAAGACGGGGTCCAGGGAATTCCGCGTTTTTGCAATGAATATTTTTGCAACTAAATTCCCGAGATCGAGCGGGGTTATACGAGATCGGCCTTCGCGGTCCCTCGCGGTTCCGCCATTATACTACGCGGCCACATAAGAATCACTTTACGATTCAACCAATCGTAAAGTTCCGGCAGTAATTCACCCCCAGGCCAGTTGGGTGCGTCCCATGGCGTAAGGTGGGCGTCATAAACTGTCATCGTGAATATCATACAGGGCTAAGTGAACGGGGGTCGAGGGAAGACCTCAAAAAGGATATCCGCCCGTTTCGGCGATACGCCACCCAAAAAATTTCTCCCTAAAACAATTGACCATTCTTAGGGTAATTCATTCCTGCCGGCTGTTTAATTATCTCCCATTTAATAATGATTTTGTACATCGACCATACTATATTTAAGGTGATATGATACTGGTGTCAAAGGATCCTCGTTTAGGAATAATTCCTCCGACCTGGATGTACCGACTCTTTTCAAACTTTACACCGTGAAAGTGGAGGCTACAAGTAAGGTCCCGAGACCGATGAAGTGTCAAATTTATATAGAAATATATTTAAACACGTTTTAATATTTTCTATAAAAATTGAAATCTCACGAGCTTCCTTATACCCTTCATATTCACGTTGCAAAGTTTGAAGCGATTCCGTACACTCGGATCGGAGAAAAGTTCCATGAACAATGTACCCCTCGGATGCAATTTTGACATCCCCTTAGATATAATCGGATCGTTCGACAAAATTGCGATTTAACAGGGGATAATTGAACAGCCGGCAGAAATGAATTACCCTAGAAGTCGTCGCCCCTTTTCCCCACATTGAGGCGAAACTCGGCGCAAACTCGCACACCGTTCGCCCCCGCTTTAATCACTGTGTCAGCTCATAAATAATACCGATAAATATTTGTCGATCAGGTACTCAAAGCGTTCAATATTAATCGGCGAAATGCGCACTATTGGTGAGAAGTGTCGTCGCCGAAATCACGCGCCATTACCGGCACTCAGGTCGGACGTATTTTCCGAAATTGTCCGACTTCGGTCGACAAAATCAACTAAGTGTGTCTAAACAAAGGGAGGACGGCTCGATATCTCCGGAATAGTGTCGAAATTCTGCCTCAAAATTTCCCATTCGCACGCAAAACTGGGACCCGTCCGAAGAGCGCGTTATTAACGCAGACGCGCGTCTCTGAAACATGCAAATTTTCATTCTCATTCCCGCGGGGGTCCATCGGGCGCAGGGAAATCGTTATCCAAAAATGCCATTTCGAAATGCAACGAGCCTCGTTACCGCTAAAAAGGTTCCCCGGGTAATTAATCCGGCCATGATGTCGGCCACGTCATCGCAATTTCGTAATGCAAAGCACGTAAAGACCCTCGACAATGCAAGTGCAAAATTAAACACCGCCTAAATGTTATTCACCTACAAACGCCAGAGACTCTTCCACATTTAACGATTTATAATAAATATCCATATTACGGTTCGCCCCAATCCGTTGACCAACATTTTCTATATTTTATAACGTGCCGAATATAATGCACTGAACAACGCGAGGGCATCACGAGTGATATGAAAGGATTATTCTGATATTGAAATATCAAAATATGGACGTAAAGAATCATTAAAGCTTCAGCACGTAATTATGGAGAACCCGAAGAAAAATATGATGCTCGTGAAATTACCTTTTTCAAGAGGGAAAATTTATTTATTGATCCCGGACTAGACAAAATTACACGAGCATCGCACTCTTCCTCAAGGCCTCGGTAATCACGTGGTGAAGTTTAAAATAATTCGGTGCATAAAATTTCTATAAAAGTTTTATCAATATTTTCATGTTTGAGGTGTATACGGAATGACCCTCTCGTATCACCTTAATCAACGGATGAGGACGGAATCGCGATAAAAGCATGTAATAACATGTGAATATTTTACACGTTTAAGATTGATAACAAGACCCCTAATTACGGTAGCACGAAAGAAAAGCCGGCAGAGTAAGAAATCGTATCCAGCTCGCAATTACCTTAAACATTACTCTTTTTATTTAAAATACAATGCACAACGACCGGTCCTACCGTTCGAGTAAACGAGAAAGTTCGCCTAAACGGCGAGCAACGCATCACATAATTTAATAAAACACACCTCGGTCTCGCAAACGCAATGGCGCACCTTCCGGCGCTCGCGCGAGAATAAAACGCGTACAAGAGAGAAAGAAGGGCAAAGAATAAAAAAAATAAAATACCGAGGTGAGAAAAAGGGACAAAAAATAAACGCGAGCGAGGAAGAGGGAAATAAGAACGCGCTGCGAGCGGCGGAAAGGGTGTGTGTGTGTGTATGTGTATGTGTGCGTGTGGTGACAGAGATTAAAAGTACAAAAAGTCGACTTAACTCTAATCGCAGGTAACAAGAAGGAAAATAATAACAAAGAAGAATACTCTAAAGTGTAAAGTCGGGAAAGAGGAGCCCCGAGGTCCGACTCGACGCCGATTTGTACTAGGAAAAAAGAAAAAGGGAAAGAACCGGAAGAGACCGGACGCGGATAAAACTTTCAATCTTAGAGTGGAGTTGTAAAGGGCGATAAAAAAAAAAAGAAAAGAAAAATGTGTAAGCAAGGAAAATGGTCGCGGAACTGTTCCAAATCCGTTCTTTTTCCCCCAATTTTCTGGTGCTCCTTATTTCTTCCTTTTCCGGGTTTCCTCCCTTGTCGTTTGCTCCTTCCTTTCTTCTTTCTCGCTCCCTCTGGTGGTTACTGCTTCACCGTCTTCTCCGGCTGGAAGTCGCCGATTTCTTCCAGCATCGCCTGCAGGCCTTCGGGCACTCGACCGGCATCAAGTTCCTGGCCCCACTGGCGATACTGAAAATAAATCATTCAAAGGGTTAGAAGAAGGCCTCCCCTGGTAAGGGTGAAATAATTTAATGGATCAGAGGCGGTGGTAAATACCTAAAGGGACTCGATATTTCGGGGACGAGAAATCTGTGCTTGAGGAGAATTTCTGGAATGGTCGCTCCTCTTCGTGACTTGGTTAGGACGGTGATTTCTCTTTTTTTTTTTTATCCAGGAATTTCACGGAAAGGAAGGTGGGGCTTGCTTTCCATCTTGGCGAATCATTCGCGACGTGGAGGTTTTTTAATTCCGCGTTATTTAATCCGAGACTCGTGCAGACAAGATGGCGGACTTGACCTCGACTTTCGGTACCTTTCGAATGAGTCGCAACTCATGAATTTTCCAGTCTTAGATCATTTCCTCTGGAAATTCTAGAAATAGGATAACGGATACAACACCTTATCCTTCTTTAAGGATCGTTAACGTTCGAGATTTTGCAGAATTCCGGATTATTTAGGCAAATAATCGGGCAGACAAGATGGCGGGTCCATCCTCCGCGTCCTCCTAATTTCCAAAGTAATGATATTTTCTCCTTATAGGTAAAACGTATTTAAGGAGCCCGAAGTCAAAAGCTGAATTCAGTTATTCAGTTAAAATATCTGCATCATTAACGAGCGCAATTAGATTATCCCAACTACGTTCGAGAGGCTCCTTCTTCCTTCGTTAATAAATTCCCCCGGGATATTTATACTTACACGAGACTCCTCTTCTCGCGGAATCAATTCGCGGTGATTTATTTATCGCGTCGTAGATACAAGGATACGATGTTAAAGATCCCGGAGAAAGAGTGATATTACCTCGGAGAACGATATTGATTTTTAATATCGGCGGTGCGTTGCTTCTCAGAGTCAACTTCGTAGCCGCCGTTAAGAGATATTTTTAGCGGTTATTCCCCTGGTTACCGGAATTCGATACTAGACATCGAAGCCAGATCGGCTTTCGGGACGAAGAGAGATGGCTGCATTAAAAGTCCATCCCGAGTCCTCGTTTATTCCCTCAAAAAAAAAAAAGAAACAGTGCACCAGGGACGTTTACATTTAGCAAGAAGACCGGGCAACAACTCATAAACTCCCAAGATACGTAAATCCTAAAAATATCGTCGCTAAAAACACATTACATTTTTAAGAACCTTAACAAAACCATCCATCAATTTTCCAAGTTTCCCGATAAGCCACTTAATTCAAATAAATAGCCTGTAATTATTTCAATCTATCATTTACAGTGCAGTAGACGATTAATTTCATTAATTTCTCTGATTTCAGGATAAACCACTCAGGAAGTGAAATTACTTAAAGATAAAGTGTGTAATTAATATTTCCAGATTTAACACGGTGAACGGTTGATTTTAATTATTTAACGGTGATATTTATAGCCTAATTAATCTGGTGCAGGGGGGTGGTCAATTGATAAGGGATTAGGCCTGAAAATATGGAATGGATCCGAGGAAAAATTAGAGGAAAATAAAAAAAAGGAAGTACTCACCATGTCGAGCTCTTTTCTAAGAGCGAGCACAGCCTTTTCTCTGTCAGCCACCAGCTCCTCTAAGTACTGGTACCTGAGTTTTTTCCTGGCACGACACTCCCTCGCACTCTGTCGGCTCCGCTCTGCAAGCAAGAAAATGAGAAAAAAAAAGGTCCGATAAGAAAATGGATCCCTTGATGTTTAATGCATCCTGCAATCAGGATCCTTTCTAAATAAGACAATTATTTTGGCGCGGCCTTCCGGTGGGAGTTGGACGCCGCCACCTTTGGATGGGATTTCCCCGACGGCGTTTTTCCGGTGCCGTCTTTACAAAAGAAGGAATTTTCACAAAGCCGAGGAAGACGACTCGCACAAAATAGCACCCCTCGATCGAGGGATTCCTTATCTGGCTTTTACCGGTAATTATATTCCCGGGGGGCTGTTTCATCCCCCGACGAATTCGTCGACGCGGGCAAAAGGAAAAGCCACCAAAAGAGCGATTTTCCCCTGGTATCGGAAAATGAGAGGCAAGAAAACCTCGAAGAAACCTGCAGGTCGAGTGAAAAGGAAGGACTTCCTCGCTTCAAATCGAATTTCCACGCACGCGAGATGTCGGTTCCCCTTTTGACCGGAGTTTGGAAAATAAGGAGGGAAGGAAATCGAATGTCTACCCCTAAAGAAGAAATTCATCGAACCAGAGAAACATTTCATTGATCATTTGGATCGAGCATACTCAAATTAATTCCCATAATTCCGAAAAAAAAGAGAACACGTCGCATCCAATTTATTCGAGTTTGAGTGAAATAGTGATAAAAAAAAATGTTTCTTTGGCTCAATGAATTCTTTTTGTGCACCCGCGAGATGTCGGTTCCTCTTCTAACCCGAATTTAGAAGGTAAGGGGGAAACGACATCGAATTTCCACGCACGCGAGATGTCGGTTCCCCTTTTGACCGGAGTTCGGAAAATAAGGAGGGAAGGAAATTGAATGTCTACCCCTAAGGAAGAAATTCATCGAACCAAAGAAACATTTCATCGATCATTTGGATCGAGCATACTCAAATTAATTCCCATAATTCCGAAAAAAAGAGAACACCTTGCATGCAATTTATTCGAGTTTGAGTGAAAAAAAAATAGTGATGAAAAAAAAATGTTTCTTTGGCTCAATGAATTCTTTTTGTGCACCCGCGAGATGTCGGTTCCTCTTCTAACTCGAGTTTAGAAGGTAAGGGGGAAACGACATCGAATTTCCACGCACGCGCGATGTTGCTTCGCCTTTTGTGCCGAGTTTGGAAAACAAAGCGGCAACAAAATGGCCGCCTTGGCTCTTTCAGCCTTGCGGAGGGAAAACACGGTCCAAAGCTCCGGAGAGGCTCAAATCCCGCGGTTTCGTTCGTTATTTCCTTTCGCGGGGGAAATATCATACAGCGGAAGCCCGCAAATAGGGCGCGGTGGAAAAATCGGCGTAATCAAAGGCACTGGAGGAGAAAAAAAAAACTCGCCAGTTTCCTGCCTTCGCCGTTGAGCGTCATCCCGACTTCCCCGCGAACAAGAAACCGTGCGTTACGCTTAAGGTGAAGTGAAACATCCTTCAAATCAGTCGATTCGAATACAACACTTTTTTTTAAGGGTATTAGACCAAACTGTCCGAAACTTTGACACGTCACTCCTGATCATCTAAGAATTGTCCTTACACATTAAAAATTTGGATTTTTCAAAAAAATTTTTTAACTCATTCCAGACCAGAACCAAAATGGCGTCGAGCTCTCATATTTCGATCGATATACAATTATCGAAGGCTCTGATATGAGAATCGAAAGGGTCAGGACAATTTTACGACAATTTAGAACACTCTAGTAATCGATAAACTCGCATTTGAACGGGATAAAGGCAAAAAAAGTGTTGTATGCGCTTCTTTGCTAAAACGATGGTAATACGAGGTCTCGGAGTGAAAATTTAATTGACCTGGAAATCACAGATGGCGCAGGGGTCCCTCCGCAGTCAATTAGGGCCCCAGAAGGCACGAATCCAGAGGATTTCTGGAGTTTTACTTCGATTTCTTTATAATTATTGTACGAAAACGACAGGTGGAATATGCCATTTGGTACAATACACAATATAATTCGACCCAGCTGTCGATATAAAAACGAACCTCGGCAACGTAGGCATTTAGAAAAATCTTCTCTATCGACGTTGATCAAGTTCCTCGACGTGTTTCACTTCACCTTAAACCAAACGATTCGATACCCCCAGTTTGAAGAAATCTCAAAAACGAAACTCCTCGGATGCCACATTCGTCCCCCCTTAACGAGGCAAGAGGGGGCGAACTTTGGAGCAGCTTAGCGCGGATCTTGGATTTCTTTTCGAGAATGGCGGAATCGCAAGGCACGTCCCTCTATCCTGGTCCGTTCCGCGTCTCATTGGCCGCACCGGGAGGCTGTATAAATATTCATACGCGGAAATATTCCGCGGCGCCATTCCGCCTCGACGAGCTCCTTGGAGGGTCCAGGATCCCTTGGGATCCGCCGCGACGTAACCCGCCGTCTCCGACAAAGAGCTGCCGAGATAAAGAGAAAGAGAAAGAGAAAGAGAGATGAAAAGAAACGGAGGCGAGGAACCGCCAGGGAAATTACCGAGCTTGGCTCTCATGTCCGACTTCTCGGACGCCTTCCTGCCGGACTTGCGTCCTCGCTTGCCGCCTTCCTTCCGATCACCGCGAGATCCCTCCTGGAAAAAAAAGAGGAAAATATGTCACTGCACAGTCCAAAATGACCCGAAGTACAATCGGGGAGACCAATTAACAATAATAACCATTACGATAACCTCCTCAAAGGGGCAAAAATGAAGTAATCCCTTAAAAGCCTCCTCCCTCCTCCACCCGTTCAACCGCCGTTTCTCCCCCGTGAATTTTCCTCCCTCGGGAATTTTTCTCTCCGTAGCCCGTGCTCCTCGGCACAAAGAATGACCTCCCAGGGAAAATAATCTCCCCGCGTATCATCCCGAATGCAAGGGACCGATATATCGGGCCCGGAATCAGAAAATAAGCGAAAGGGAGGTTCCTCTCCGAGGCGTCGATTACACGACCCCGAAAGGTGGCGCCCTCTGGGGCGAGCCGTTAAGGTGAAATGATACCCCCTTCAAATTCGTCGATTCGAATACAACACTTTTTTTTTAAGGTGAAATGATACCCCCTTCAAATCAGTCGATTTGAATGCAACACTTTTTTTTCAAGGTGAAATGATACCCCCTTCAAATTCGTCGATTCGAATACAACACTTTTTTTTTAAGGTGAAGTGAAACCCCCTTCAAATCAGTCGATTCGATTACAACACTTATTTTTTAAGGGTATTAACCCAAACTGTCCGAAACCTTGACACATCACTCCTGATCATCTAAGAATTGTCCTGACATTCAAAATTTGGATTTTTCAAACAAATTTTTTAACTCATTCCAGACCAGAACCAAAATGGCGTCGAGCTCTCATATTTCGATCAATATACAATTATCGAAGGCTCTGATATGAGAATCGAAAGGGTCAGGACAATTTTGTGACAATTTAGAGCACTCTGGTAATCGATAAACTCGCATTTGAGCGGGATAAATGCAAAAACAGTGTTGTATGCGCTTCTTTGCTAAAACGATGGTAATACGAGGTCTCGGAGTGAAAATTTAATTGACCTGGAAATCACAGATGGCGCAGGGGGTCGTTCTGCAGTCAATTAGGGCCCCAGAAAGCACGAATCCAGAGGATTTCTGGACTTTTACTTCGATATCTTAATAATTATTGTACGAAAACGACAGGTGGAATATGCCATTTGGTACAATACCCAATATTATTCGACCCAGCTGTCGATATAAAAACAAACGTCGGCCACGTAGGCATTTAGAAAAATCTTCTTTATCGAGGTCGATCAAGTTCCTCGACGTGTTTCACTTCACCTTAAATTTTACACTTCCCGGAAGAGGGCGGCTCATTGTATTCGAGGTTAGGTGTGCATGCATGGGGCGAGGTAAGGACGAGACGGGAAATTCCGACGAACTCCCCGGGGCCTCCCTTTCGCCCGGGTGTTTATCCGCCCGGGCGGCGCATCAATCCTATCTGGTATTAAATCTAGAACCCCGCTTCCGGTTTCTTTGGCGGCGACCCGTTCGCCCCGGAGAAGACTTTTGTTACCGGGATATATCCAGACCTAGACGCCGGAAGCAGGGTCGCCTTTCCCCGAGAAAATGGCGTCCCTTAATAAGCCTCCTCGCTTTGAAGGCGATCCGATTCCGAGGGATAAATTAGCCCTCCTGTCCGGAAAAAGAATAAGAAAAAGACATTTGCACTTTTAGGAAAAAAACTGCACGGCCGATGTTTATAGCTTTAACTGCAGGAATAATTGCGCCAGCGACGAAAAATATTTCCGATCGGGTCGAATCGTAGATGTAACCATAGAAAAAAATAAATAAATAAAAAATAAAAATCGATTGCAAAATTGGTAAAAGAATTTGTTGCAACAGCCAAAAAAGTAATGTCTCTCCTCGAACGAATGACCGAGGTACAATTTGTCGTTGCCGGAAAATATTGCAACTGCGAATAGAATCCACGTTGCCCTGGTGAAGTAATGGTTTTTTTTTTTCATATTTTTTTTTACAAGCGAGAAATTTTTACGTATAAAAGGCCCGAATGCGGCGCGACGCGCGGAAGGTGGCGGGAAAATTCAAATGCGGATTTCCTCGGCGTAAAGCCTCCGATTGAAATTCCCGCGCCCCCGGCGAAGGTTTGGCGTCGAGCGGGGGTTATTTAAATTCGGCTAATTCAAATGGGCGGAAGGTGTTTCCCGGGGAGGGGAAGAAAAATAGCCGAGTCTAAACTGGGGCCGTTGGAGCGAAACTAAACGCAATATTCCAGGAGGCGGCACATCCAGGGACGGGCTCGCAAATTGATTCCCACCGTCGGCGGCGATCGCGTCCGAGAATAAACGCCCGGCGGGCTCCAAAGTGGATTACGGAACACTTTGAGCAGGAGCGGGATCCCCGATTAACCTGACAAACGAGGGCCGAAATCGGGCGTGCCCGTCGGAGGCGTTAATCGGGAAACCGGGTAACGTGGATTAATAGCGCGACTTTCTCTCAGGAGACTTCCGTCCTCCCGTCGATCCCTCGGGATCCTAAATAGAGGAATCCATCGAAATTTTATGCCCACCTTTCAGCCTCCCTAATCGTAAGAACCCTTTAGTCGCGATCTAAGTCCTACTAGACCTACAACTAGGGGGAAAAGAAAAGCATGGAACGTGGAACTCCCCTGTAAGAACCCTTTAGTCGCGTTTTAAGTCCTACTACAAACCTACAACTAGGGGGAAAAAAAAATAGCATGGAACGTGGAACCCCCCCGTAAGAACCTTTTAGTCGCGTTTTAAGTCCTACTAGACCTAGAACTAGGGGGAAAAAAAAGCATGGAACGTGGAACCCCCCTGTAAGAACCCTTTAGTCGCGTTTTAAGTCCTACTACAAACCTACAACTAGGGGGAAAAAAAATAGCATAGAACGTGGAACCCCCCCATAAGAACCTTTTAGTCGCGTTTTAAGTCCTACTAGACCTAGAACTAAGGGGAAAAAAAAGCATGGAACGTGAAACCCCCCGTAAGAACCCTTTAGTCGCGACCTAAGTCCTACTACAGACTTTCAACTAGGGAAAAAAAAAGCATGGAACGTGGAACCCCCCTGTAAAAAACCGTTTAGTCGCGTTTTAAGTCCTACTAGACCTAGAACTAAGGGAAAAAAAAGCATGGAACGTGGAACCCCCCGTAAGAACCCTTTAGTCGCGTTTTAAGTCCTATTACAAACCTACAACTAGGGGGGAAAAAAAATAGCATGGAACGTGAAACCCCCCCGTAAGAACCCTTTAGTCGCGATCTAAGTCCTACTAGACCTACAACTAGGGGGAAAAAAAAAGCATGGAAACATCTGCCACTTATATCTATTCCAAGTATATTGGAGGAGTATTGTTAACATGGCAGCATTACACTGCCGGTTGGAGTGATAAGGGTCAAGCTGATAAGAATTGTTTCAAACATTACAATGCGAATGCGAAAGCTATAAGGAAGGACCTGATACCCGTCGGATATCAATTATTATAAGAAATTACGAAATGCCAATAAAAAGAATCCCTCCAAATTAAATCCTCGTGGCTTCCGGGACTTCCCTCGTAACCTCCATTCGCTCCTCTAAGTTTAAATACGAAATTGATTAAGTTAGTTGCAATTTCCCCGTGTTACATTTGACCTCGGTTTCCCCTATTAAGCCCCTTTTTGCATGAATCTTTTATACTCCACCGCAAAACGCAAACCGTTCCCCCGGCCCCACGGTCCTTAATTAATACATCTCACCCAGTTTTCGTCCAAACTTTCATACAAATTTAATAACCCGTACTGATTTAATAACCCTCTCAAATAACAATCCACAGTATTATAAATGTATTACAAGTGTCCCAAGTCCCCAAGACAACTGCATATAATTAAAACCCCATTATTCGTCAGCCCATGTAAAACGACAAATCGTTATTCGTCACCAAAAGGGTTAAGACCCTCGGACAGTCCCAGAGCCCATATTCCATGAATTGTTTATAATCGCCGCAAAACGGGTCGAACCATTCCCCCGGTCGTTAATTTATGCACGAGAGGTCCGCGACTTCCTCCCAGGGTTTTAATCCCGGAAATGAAGCCCACCCCTTCTCACGGGCTCGTTAATCACCCGGATTTTTGAAAAACGCGCCAACGCGAAACCCCCTCCCCATTGTAAAACGCCGGCACTCAAAGGGCCGGGGCGTTAAAGCATCTCCGAGGGGCCAGAATGTGCCTCGTTAATTTCAGGAAAATTAATGCTCGCCGTTTTCCAGCCCCTAGGTGGAATCTCGTGCGAGGACGCCGTATAAGAGAGGTCGCGATCGTCGCCTGGAGCGTCGATAGCCCATCCGCATTAATTATTAGTATAAACTTAATCTTTTGTAATCGCTCGAGTCAAGTCCCAAGGAAACTCGAGGTGCTTCCCACGTGTACCGAAGGACCCGAGCCATCCCCGAAAGGGGGGTAAAAAAACTTGAGTCCGAGCATTCTCAAAGGGTCTCTTTTCGAGGGTTTTCGACGAAGGTACGAAACGTCTGGCGAACAGATTTTTTAACATCGCCCATAACGCCCATCGATGCCACCGAGCCCTGGAGTCCGTTCCCATTGCGGGATAAAATCCATCTCCGGGTGAAACACCCCACCGAAAAAAAGTTATTAGTATAAACTTAATCTTTTGTAATCGCTCGAGTCAAGTCCCACGGAAACTCGAGGTCCTTCCCACGTGTACCGAAGGACCCGAGCCATCCCCGAAAGGGGGGCAAAAAAACACGAGCCCAAGTATTCTCAAAGGGTCTCTTTTCGAGGGTTTTCGCCGAAGGTACGAAACGACGTCTGGCGAACAGATTTTTTAACATCGCCCATAACGGCCCATCGATGCCGTCCGTTCCCATTACGGGATAAAATCCATCTCCGGGTGGAAAACCCCGCCGAAAAAAATAAACCGAATAAATTAGATCCCCCTAATGAAAGGGAGAGGGGGGGAGGAAAAAAATTAGCCGCGCAGGACCCGCGAGGCCGGAAATGAATGCAAGCATAACACGACTCCGGGTGTATTCGGGGCGTAAAATCAATCCTGCCAACGTTGATTTACGGAGCTCGAGAAATTTCAATCATATCCCGCGCACCGTGAATCATAGCTCTAATTAACGGGCCCCGAAATTATTGCGACCTCGTTCCGCGGGTAATACCTTAACCCGTTAATGGGCCGACAAGTCGTACCCGAGTCCACCTCTTAATTACGAAGCACCCCCTTTCAGGTAACATCGGTAGAGTTCCGCGCCAAATACACAAGGACGCATGCGCGAACGGCACCGACTACATTCGTCGCGTCAAGTTAAGAAATATTCATTTCCCTGTTAAGAGGATGTATCGTGACTCCATGTTTGGCACGATTAGAATACAGTGGCTTTCGCGTGACCGAGATATTTTTTACAAAGCGTCGCTTTAGTTGCCCCCTTCATTCCCGGGTATTCAAAGCGACGAATGAATATCGTATTCATATTAAACATCTCCACCGTGGTTAAAAATATAATATTAATAAAAATATTAACATAACGCGCGATCGAAGCTACCCGCTAGAATTAATGTAGTAACAAGTAACGCGAGGAGGCCGCCGGCCATGAAAGGAAAAAAAAAAAGATGCAACGCAAAACGCCACGGCGTGCGCAAAAAAAAAAACGTTCCGCGCACATGACGCCGGGAGTTACGGCGAACGGGGTCGAGGGGAGGTCAACGACCGCGGGGCCCGCCGTGGGGGAAGCCGCGACGCTCGCCACCCCCGGACAGATTTGGAGGTTAGGTCCGGCGGCCGAACCGCGGGCCAGCACCCTGCAATCGGGCGGTCGATCGACCGATTAGGTGTGAAGGCGCGCGCGGAAGAGTTGCGTCTTTCGGGGGCAAAGCGCGAGTCGGGTCGCGCTGGGTCGTTACGGGGGCATCTGCCCCCGTCCCGCCCCGGGGGAGGGGGCACACAGGGCGCGTCCATCGCGACCGAGCACGGGCCTCACGCCGCCCCCGATAACCAGAATAAGGGCCAAACTTACCGGTGTCTACGCGACGTGCAAGCGTCCCTCAACTGCGCAGTTCGACCCCGGAGGCTGAGCCAGGAACCACCGATGGGAGCGCGGCGACCGACGCGACCGGGAGCGCCACGTTACCGAGCGCCGTGCCGTCTGGCGACTGACTGGCGGACCCCGCGCGCCCGCGACCGTAGTCGGTAACCGCGCGTAGTGCCCGACGCCGCCGCCAGGGGCGCGCGACGCGGGAGATTCGAATCGACTCGGAGCGATATTCAAAACGTAACGGGAAGAAGTAAAGGAAAACCACTTAATAAAGTAGCAAGAAATTTATGCGAATATGCTTGAGATGTGATAAATTCCTCGAATAAGTCATGGATTTACGAGTGTCGGTAAAATGACCTGATAAATAGCGGTTTATAAATCCCCTTACGCTTGTCGATATATCGTGAACATTTGTACTCTACGGTGGGAAAAAAAAATAAAAAATCCCTGTTAGAGTATTGGGTGAATTGAAACGTCACGAGATATCCGGCGTTATTCGGCCGGCGGTAGGAATTCGTAATCTGAAACTCACGCGCTCCATATCCGATGTTTCGCAACTTCGTTACGTCACCTCCCCGTCCATTGAGAAAATCCACGTACCGAGCAAGGTCGGTTCTACAAGCGCCAATGTCAAGACAATCGCGCGTCCTCCCGGCGTCCGACGCCGAAAATAATATCTCTTTAATTTGTCACACCTATCTTGCTCGCGGTGATCTTTCATCCCCGCAGTTTGTCTTTCCACTCTTATCTCAAGATTTAGAAAAGTTTAGGAGGTTAAGTTAGCCGATTAATTCTGGCTTGTCCAATCACTGGAAATTCGGGCATTCTGGTATTGGAGGTTTAGAATCGTCATTGACCAAAAACGGCGTATCAGCGTTTAAATAGGATTCATATCAGATTATAACAATCGCACGTCACGCGTATCACGTGCGTCCACGTGACGGGCGCGTAAACAACGGAAGTAGATGACTGGCCGGGCGCGTAATCTTGACGTCACTCGGCGACAGAGTTGCCAAATCATTCTCAGTTCCAACCGCCCGCGCGAATTCAAAGGTCCCGCGCGTCGCGCCACGGCCCGGCGAATTTCTAATCGAAAGTTTCCCCTCGTAGAGGCTCGTAAACCCAGGAATTACCTCACCAGGAGGATCTATCAATGCCGATGAATGATTTGCCAAGCACGCGCAACGGTTTCTCACGTTTATAACGGAATTGCGGGTAATTCAATGCGCGAAGTGCTTGCCCACGTGATCGCTTGAGTCGGAGCGCCGCCAAGGCGAGAGGGGGAGGCGAGGCGCACGCCGCGGCGCGGCAAGAATGCGCACTAGCGGACCGGACATCAGGCGCCACCTTGAAGTAAAGCGACCCACGAGACGGGAAAAAAATAAAAAAGGCCACCCCGAGGGCCGCCCCACCTCCCACATGCCCCGACTACCAATCTCTAAGAGTCGAGACGTACGGCAAACGTTATTTCGATACGCGACGACGCGTCGTCGGCGGAAAATCTCGATTTAATTCGTCTGTCTCGCTCTCTCCCATGCGGCGAGACGGTGTCATTGGCTGGCACTCGGGCTGTCGTTTTTCTCCTGGCCGCCTACGTCACGCGGCTCGCTGTCATTAGATTAAGCAGATTTTCGGGCTTACCATCTCGTTGTCGACTATGCACATCTGCTCCACCTCCATGTCCTCTGCGTCCGTCGGTCGTTACGGCTTGGCGGTTCTATCCTCGTTCTGGAATCTCCGGAAAACCCGCAGCACTCCGGGGAGACAACGTGTGTATGTTTACAAACACTGCAAGGTCACCCAGCTGGCCCCAGACTCTGGCTGGAGTGTGGCGCGTGTTACGTCACGCGCTGATCGCAGCGCTGGTGACGGGTCGAGGAACCACGTGACCCGCGATGACTCGATCGGCAAAGCAGCGCCCGCATCGGTAACGCCGGCACATACGCCGAAGTGGTGCTACTGAGCACGGCGAAGGTCGCACTAAGAGCGACGCGGCAACGCGTCGAAGATGGAGAACCAATCGGAATTGAGATAAAAATGGCGCCACAGGTTATGCTCAATTCTGATTGGTTCATCTTCGACGTCGTGACGCGTCGTGCTCCCTAGGACATGCAACGTGCTCGGGCCGGCTCCGGCCTTAGAGGTTAAGTTGTAAACTATCGCTGTAATAAGAAAATAAAGTATGTATCCTCGTAATGATATGAGGACAAGTTGCATCAACGTGATTAGCATGAAGTTTGTTAATGATTAATTCTCGGATCAATGAAATTCCACTATAATCAATTAACACTTGAAATCGGGGGATTAATTTTAATTTCGCGTTTTGTACAAGTTGATTAAGGATTTTAACTCGATGTTGGTGCAACCGGGCCAATGTCTATGAATTTCATGTATGAAAAGATTAAGATGTTTCTTAATTTTACTGAACTCAATGTATATTCATCTTTATCTTTTCAGTGATAGTCAATTACTGTTAAAGATTATTGACAATTGCACTCGAGTATTTGTGATGTCTCGTCGAAATGGACTGTCAGCCTGGACCTTCGAGACAAGACACGTCGTTGCGATCTCAAGCGAGTAATCAGGGCAAATCCACGGAATTGCGATCCACCGATCAACAGGTAGTGAGAGTAATCGAGCTGGCGAAACATGTGCTTGCCAGGGTAGCTTCTGATTTTGCGCAAGAGAATAACCGTAAATACCCATGAAATTTGGCTTCGTTTAAGCACAGCTATTCTATTCTTGATGGTGATTGTACGATTCGTCTCATTCCTTCCAGTTTCAGATGACAACCTGATGCTGCTTTACGATGTGTTCGGAGGTCCGCTTGAGCGTGCTTTACAACTGTACAACGATGGGAGCGTAACGAAAATTTCTGTGCTGGATGGAAGTAGCGAGGGAATCTCAAAGGAGAAAATTGAAGCTCGATACCTGCTGCAAGTTAAAGGACACTCAGGGGGAATTTATATTCTGTTTCCTGACATCAATTATTGTCCTTGCGTGTCGTTTAGGTTAGAGATTTATTGCCTGCTTGTATGCAAATCCAATGTGCAAATAATTATGATTCCACTTATATAAGTACGATGTTTACACCGATTTAGGCATCAAGTATTAAATGTGCGAACTGCTATTACCTGTAAGCACGTTTTAGCAGCCTGGTTGACTTGTATCGACTCGGAGAAATTGAAAAGCCACAAAGTGACGGTGGCTCAGTTTCGAGAGTTATTAGTGCATCAAGCCTCATCCAAAGATGAACACAAATATGAGTGATTGTATATTTACCGCCAAGCTGGGGAACATTAAAGCAGTTCTACATCTTCTTAAAGCAGTCAACTTCAAAGAGGTATTTCTTACTTAATTTTTTATGCACCCCAAAATCGTTTCGATCACCTTTACGATCGATCTCATAATTACAAGTATATTTTTTCATACCTTAGACTGCTACATGTTTCGCGACAGAAAATGGTCTGAAAGTGACGGTGGAAGATGCAAAATGCATGCAAGCCAATGCTTATATACCTGCTGATATTTTCCAAGAATTTACATTAACGGAAGATGTCATTTTCCGTATAAATCTGAACGTTCTTGTGGAATGTCTCAGCATGTATTGGAGTAGCATACATTCTACAGGAAATTCAGTAGTCCTGCAGCTCATCTACAAAGTAACATTTAATTTGACTAAAGTTTCCTCAAGATTGAACTAACCAACTACAAAAAGATAGTGACCAAAGCACTCTCGCCTTTCTTCCCTTAGGGTCATGGATTTCCAGTAACCGTCTTGATTAACGAAGATGGCATTATAACCGATTGTTCGCTGAAAACTCAAGAACCCGATGAGTTACTGGACTTTACATTTGACACCGAAAATGTGATTAACAAAGTCGTGTTGCAGACTGAACTGTTAAAGGATGTATTTGCAGAAATGGACCCTACGAGTGAAGTAATGGAGGTACGATGAAATTTTCTTCCTCAGTCGATAACATTCTCCAAGGAGTACGCTGTAAAACAATACACATTTTTCATGTAGATTACACATTTTATTTCCAAGTCAAGTAACCGTTAATCAACTTGCATTTACATTCTAGCTCCTACTCTCTCCCGATGCCCCCTATTTCCAAATAACCACCGCTGGTGTGGCAGGAGACTGTCGAATAGAAATCCCACACAACAGTCAATTAGTCGACATCTTTGAATGCACCATTCGAGCTACTTCGTGCTACAAATTGGCTCACATAAAACCCGCAATGAAGGCATTGTCACATGCCAACAAGGTGTCTCTTCGAACCGATAACTGTGGACTTCTCTGCTTCCAAGCCATGGTGAAGACCGAAGAGGGTCACGTCTGTTACGTGGAATACTACGTGAGATTCTTAACTCTTAATTAACATATTCAAAAGCGCATTATCTCTATCCGTTACCTCCTAACAATCACTAACATTTACTTATTCCAGATATCCCCAATCGTTGATTCCGACGAATAGAGTGACTAACCTCCAAAACGAGCATTGTAAATACGTTCTTTACATCTCCACCACCTACACGTAAGATTTAAAATAATCAATACCGAGTATTTTAATATAAAGTTAATAAATGCCTTTACCATTTGCAAGTCTGTCGGAGGGATCAGTATGCCTCGGCAGACCCCAAATACAAACTAAACATTAACAAATAATATATTTTCATCACCAAACGTACAGTTCGTTGTTCTTATTGTTCTTACACGGAAATATTCTCCTAAACTGCACGTCTTCCAGAAGTTTCCTTTCAGATGAACTCGCTACCTCAGGATTTACCGGTAAAACATGAAACGCAAGGAAATTCGTTAAGAGCTTAATTTATTTAGACTAGATGGGGTACTGTACATAATTTTCCTGTTAATATAGAATCATCACCGAGCTACACGCTGCGTGATTTAATCGAACACCACGATTACAGAATTTCCCTTGCATCTTAGGCAAAATAAAACGACACAAAGCCAAATCTTTCCCTCCGCCGACAAGAGCGCCTTTCGACTGCCCGAAAGCATCGCTGAAACAATTTATACAGCACGTCGGCGAATCTAAAAAAAATATCCACAATTCGACAACGACCGTGAAGATCAACAACCGGTCGCCTGAAAAGATTAATTAACATATCGAGATATGTGCCGGGTTACGTGAAGCCTTGGAAACATAATTTGGTAAGCCTTCCTATACGCCGATCCGTTAATCTCTCGTAACACATATACGACCATTACAACTTGCAACTTATTCAATTTATCATTAATATAATTTACGTCGAAGTTATTCTGAGTATGCGTAAAATATGTATTTCCGTACACGTGATATACATATTAAAAAATATACAGTTATTACAGTTAAGGCTTGAACACCTAGGGCCACCGCTTGGCGCGTCCACCGTTTGAAACTTTTTTTTTTTTTCGTTTGTTTGCTTTCCGGACATAATTTAAATACCAACACTCCAACTGGTGGCCCAATTGTTACACGCTGATCGTTTTTCACGTCTCGCGGTCGTGCACGAATCGCGATAGCATAGATTATTGTATGTCGAGTATGAACGTTTCGTTTTAACGTGTACCACCCTTTTCTTTTCTCAGCAGAGCTTAATGTCTATTTTCGCCGAGTACCAGAGCCTGTCCTAGGCCTAAGGATTCCGACAGAAGATCGATAACGAAAAGGAAAGACACAAGGAAGTAAAACCAAAGACGAGAGCATCGGTTACGTTTCTACACCTAGAGAAGAGAGATTTGATTAAAATCGGAATTCGTCGGAACCGAACGAGACGGGGGGTCGTAGAAAAATAAACGGGATCATCTACGATTCGTAAGACCTTAAGGAACGAGCAAACGTATCGTACAATAATTACAATTACGTGGAGAGCCCTTGATCGAAAAGGCACGTCCACCTTTTCCTAGCGATTCGAAGATAGAGAGAGAGTGATAGATATATATGTATATATAAATACACACGTCATCAGCGCTATGTACAAATTGGAAATGCAAGTGGCAGAATATCGTACATCCTCGATTTCGAGCTCTACGTTTCACCTTTGTATCGAAGTGGAAAAAGATAAAGAAAAAGTCGGGAACGAGACGAATACCAGCAGGGTTAATTTCGGGGAGAAATCGCCCTATCCGTTTCTCCTCCTTCCTGAAAGTTAATCCTGGCGACTAATGCAACGAACCAACGGAACAAGGAAGGGCCTACCGTAAGTCTAGTTTAACAGTTAAAATACTATTTTGAGCAACATTGCGTCTGGAGGCGCAAGGGGTCGTGCACTGATAAAGAAACACGCTCTTCTAAAGATTACAGGAAGTCGGAGTAAACTCGAAACCAAATCCTCGAAACAATATCCATTCGTGGTCCAAGATTCTCTCGCGTTAAGTACTTCTTCCGCTGTTAATTTTAACATAATGGAATAGAACAGTTCCTCCTTGATAGGGTCTCGAACGCCTACGGAAGGTTCACATCGGAGGATGTAGAATGTAGAACTACCTTGTATTGCGTTCCACTGGGTAGCGACACCTACACAGCAATTAATTCAGAATCCCTCAAAATTCACTGCGATAAACGAATTTCCATTTAGCACACGATACAACGCCAAACTAATTTTCATCTGGACAAGTCTAACGTAGTGTTCCTTTGACAGGTAGTTCATCGAGTCACTCATCGCAACGTCAGAGCTAAATGGGTCGCTCACTTTTTACATCGGTGCACCTTGCAGCGACTCAGCTATGCAATGGTGGAATAATCCAGTGGAAGGATTAAATAAAAATTGAAAGGAATTGGGGGAAAAAAAAAGGAAAAAAAAAATGCACTCGTCGTGTACGCGTCTAGGTTAACCTAACCTAAATATAGGTGAAAACAAAGAGAGAAAAAACGAAAACAAATGCATTCTCATCGCTTAACGAACTATCTTAGACCTACGATTCTTTACAGTTAACTTGTAGGTATGTGCAGACTTGTGAGGGCAGTCTTTAATCAAACGCCGCCTAAGTACAGCGTTTTCCTTACTCAGGGAAGCCGAGTCGTACTCTGTTCATAGTCTCGTGTTCCTTCTTCCGATGAACTATTTATCTTCTATCTCTATTACTACATAGCGTACAGTATGTGTTAGATTTGACACCTCCCAGTCTGGGGAGCCAATGTAACGAGAACAGGACCAACAAGGTGTGGCTACAGTTTTGGCAGTTAACGTATAACCTGTAAACAAGGCAGGAGTATTACAGACATTCCGGTGTGCAACGAGAACACAAGAAAAAACAGGTCAACCGTTCTTTACAAGGAATCGTAACAGAATCACCATTACTATGTAACCTAATTTGAGAGAAACGTCAAACTGACAGGTGAACGTAATAAAATTTTCTAATTAAACTGTCGATACAATAATTCACTGCGACAGCACGAATGTCTACGTCAAGTTGGATTCTTGATAGAGCGAGCCTGCTTGTGACGAGTAAAAACATATCAAAAAGGAAGTGAGGGATTACGAATAATAGGTAAAAAAAATAATGAAGTAGTATCGGAAAGTTGCATTCCTGGATGTGATAAAATTGTAGATCGATAATCTGATCTACCCTCGATCGGACTCACACAGACTTTCTTATCGAAGTAACTTTCAGAAGCAATTTAAATAAAAACATTATACATAAGTACTGACACGATCACAGGTAAACTCGATAGCAATAGAGCATGTTTGGATTGAATAACCTGGCATTACTCAACGTTGTACAATTGAAGACCCACTAGAGAACCGACGGACAGCAAAATGTGATTCTGAAGACTCAGAAAAGTCACCATCCGAAATCATACGTACAATTAATCGGGACACCAAATAAACGAACAATTAGAAGATATCAACGTTAAAAATCGAAATATACCAAAAACTGATAAATATATATGTATATATATTCCCAATAGAAGAATACAAACAACCAACACAGAGCCAGGGATACAAAACACACGTAATTAAAATCTATACAACCTTGTATACCCTTCTCTAATTCTAATTTCAAGAAAAATTTTCGAAGAAAAAGGAAAATAAACAACTACAACATTCGTAAACTTAAACAAAGGATCTGGCCTCTTGCAGGTTTTTCTATTTGTACTGTCGATCAGCACTACGTATAAACCTGTACTATTAAACCATCAGTTTCCTCTCTCTAAATAATAAGAGCTTCCGTAACGAAATCAAAGTTCAGGCCATTTTGGACAAAACCAATCGTCACAAGACCTCGACCGTACAAAATCCTGCATATACATCCTGCATGTATACATAAGGATTAGACAGCACATCTGAGGGCTTTCGACATCGTGGAAGAAATGTAAAAATATAATGTTCACCGAAGAACCACCCTAATACTCCTACGAGCCACCTGAGTTAGAAAACAAAAAAGAAATCCATTATATCCACCATTCACCTACAATTCAATCGCAATACAGTCGACTGCAGCTCGAATCCTTACTCCTATTAGAAACACCAAGGAATAACATCAGCTTTTCATCAGTTTCAGAGCGAACCCCAGAAAGAAATGACATCGTTCATGGCCATTGTTAACAGACACCACGTAGAGCTACAATTTACACTAGTGTCTTTGCTTCGATATCTAGCGCATGAGAACCAGGCTAAATAGTATTATGCTAGGATGCGTTACCAAGGACCGATATACTTCATATCGCCTATAGGGTAGCCTATAAAAGACATAAATAATGCATCAACATCGCCAAGGGAACTGGCGCAACTAATACACGGTCTGATAAAAATCGCGAAAATAGCAAGTCTGGCGCAGTCTGTTTCTATATATATATAGGAAGGTGGGTATATGTATCCGTATACCTTGCATCATACACGTAATTACATTCTCCCACACGCACACACACACACGCACTCGCGGAAATAAATACCAAATCCTCTAGAATAGGTGGCCGAAAGCACGGGTCTCATTCGGAAACAAGCCACTGTTACATTTTCCACATCGAGAGCCTGCGTCAGCAAAACGAACCAAGGAAATACCACCACAAGGTAGTTCTACGCCGATAAGCGAGTTACTACCCGAGTAACAAGCCAAGGGTTGTTTAACAAGGATCAGCGATTACCAAGTGATCGGTGTACACCGTGTCTCCCAGGGAACCAAATGATTCCACGCGAAGGTTCCTTCTTATATTCCAAGATATCCTTGGAGTGTCGCATAACCTCTTTGGGATCGAGCTGCGTAGACTGACACCGGTGTACGCCAACCTGGACACTGACTCGAGAGGATCTTGAACATAGGTACGAGGAACGTTCAGTCAGTGGGGCTGACCAGATGGTAGCCCGAAGGTAGAGAACTCTGGATCCAGCGTCAAAGGAAGCTATAAGTGTTCTGAACGGCTCTGCCGCTGGAGGTTGCCGAGGCCTGCTGTTCCGCGTTGGCGTTCTGCTGTTCCACCCTCTCCAAGGACTCCACGCGAGTTCTTATCGAACCGCTGTGCGTCTGTACCTGCGTAAAATGCATTGGCGAACGATCGTTTAAAGTCGCAGCACATTCGGGAACTTTGAGCAACTTCATATTTTCTTTTTTTAACGTGTTCAAACCAGTTCAAACGTGTTGGTGCAGGGTGCGCGGCGCACATAACCTCGAGCGCCGCGCCGTATCGCGTGAACGGGCGGGAAAGGAAGAGGGGAGTAGAGAAACAGAAAGAGAGAGAGAATAGGAGTAAAGTATCGCTGCCAATCCAATTTCCAAACTGTTCAGGCACTTAGCAAATTGAGCAATTTAGACCAAGATGAGATTACGTGAGAGGAAGAGTACCGTGCAATCGAGAGTGACAAGCCGCGGGAAGTGTCATGACCGCGGTGCAAATCAAAAGGAGCGTAATTAACTGAAAATGTTTGGAGCTCGTCATGTAAAAGCGAATTCCTTCCCCCACGGCCATACGTGTACGTCTCAGTACACTCAGCTTTCATTCAATTTTTTTTTTCGACTCTATTACGAGTATAACTACTGACTGTCGATATGCCTGATTCGTTTGCGACAGGATACAGACCACACGGCAATTCAAAAATTCGTTTCCTTTTTTTCTTTGTCCTCTTTCTAGACAGAGTTTGGTCGGGTTCCTCGAACTTCAGAGATCGAAGTCGTTAACAATCTTTAAGAAAAACAATTTCACTGGAAATAATTGTAGTATCCAACAACCGTCGACAAACATAACCGTTAATCGACATTAATTCGAATACTTTGTACAGTATAAAATTGTCTGGAATTATTATTCCTTTAAATTGAGAAAGTTGACTGGGAAGAAAAACAAAGCGTATCATTATAAGTGACAGATACAGTAGCGATGGAGCACCGGTATAACAAAGTGGAGTCACCGACGCAATCTCTGTCCATCGATTCAAAGAATTTCGTAACCTAAAGGTCACCACACGGCAGCTGGCACAAATTATCGGACTCTGTCTAGGCCTACGACGTCACTGACGTATTTTTCTAAGCTGTCCACGGCAGAACGTCTAAAAAGGGGCGCATCACTTTTAGCTTGTTATCTACTCACTGTCTGTAGATCAGACTTCAGACTGTGGGAGTCGGCCATTCGCGCTCACTCAAGAGGGGTTAGACTTCCGCTGCTGACTCTTACTTCTCTGGGCTCTGGGGCTGCAGCGGGTCTCCTTTCCTGAGGCTGCTGCGCACCGCTACCCGTCACATAGTGATGCGTGGACCTTGGCACCGGATTGGCCACTACGTATTCGGTCAGCGTCACGTCAGCAGTGCCACCGGATTCAAGGGGTATGGCATTTTGTCGAAAATGTTCAAGCATATCATGGATAGCAGAGAAACAGAGATGTTGAACTCGACAGTGGCCTTGATCGTTTAACGTCATTCTCAAATGCTGGAACAATTAAGTGGTTGGATTACGTTAATGAATAGTTAATAAGAGTCGACAGGTTATCCAAGTCACCGTAATTACCTTGGCCCTTCCTTGGAAGTTGAAGGTAAGAACGAACTCTCCCTTCCTTGTCTCGCTTTGACGGACCAGGAACACCCCGTGTCCATTCGCAGCACTGTGCAAAACAAGCTGGGCCGCATCCGAACGTGGCAACGTTCCATGAAACCAAGGGTACTCTCGCAGGCTACTTGACAAATCCAATTCACCGTCGTTGCCAGGTACTGAAAAATAGAAGTAATCGTAAGACTTTATGAATATCTTTTAGAGCAATTGCATTTTTTATCTACTAGGGGTTCTTAACGGTAACTTACGTTGCTCAATTTCTTGCTGTGAGGAACATAATTCGAGATTGCTATTACTGCGCATCCGGAGCCTTGGGGGCAATTCCGGAGGGTTACCCTGTTCGTCTACGTGGTCATGTCCAGCCCGAGAACTCTTACTTGTGGAGTTGGCTCGTAGTCTGTCGTTGTCACCACTTGGAGTTAGCGAACCGTGTGCCAGAGAATCTCCCGTGCCATCGTTTAGACCCGAACTGGAGATTATCGTACCTTGCTGTACGGTTCTCATACAATACTTTATAGTCGCAAGCCACGACCGCATATCATTCGAGTCGTGTGCCTCGATAACGAACTCCATATTATCTGTTTTTAATACAAAGGTGTTTTCATGATCGGGCATTTCGAGTGCCGTAGTCTCCCTAGCTTCCGTTATCGTGGAACAAAATACCCCACTGCGAGGCTTCACTGCTTTTGGCGGAGAATAAAACTCTAGCATGTAACCAGCGCTTGCTTTAATCAACGCCAGTCTTGACTTCTCCCACTTCTGAGTGCCATCAATATTTTCACCCATTAAAGAATTAACAATTCCTTCTTTTCTGCACTCCACGACGATCTTTGAAAGCTTTGCTTTGGAATGTTTATCCCTACGGTGTTCGCTGTGGGATAATTCCACCTCATCGCTTTGCTGCTTATGGAAGAATCCCTTTCCCTTCTTGAGCCCTTTAAACGAGAGTCTGCGAAAAAATGGCTTGTGTACAGGCTTCGGTGAAACGGTCTCCCCATCTTGTTCCGAATAGTCGCTAAACTCCTCATGAGAAGATGCTCGAATCGGAGCTCTGTTGTTCTGACTCGTGGAATTAGCATCTCTGTCATTGGACGGAGTCTGTCTCGTATCGCAAAAGGAAGGCGACCTGCAAAGTACACTTAAGTAAATCCACGGCCAATTAACATCACCCTAAAAACAACAGCAAAGGAAATCCCAAAACGAGGAGAAAACAAACCACCGTACCCTTGCTTAAATTAATCCACAATTTAAACCCTTGCTCTTATATAATACACACACAGCCCAGGACAAAGTCTTGTCGTTTGCAAGCGATTACATTCCCCTTCCATTCACGTTTCAATTCCAAAAGCTCTTTCAAGATCGATTAACATCTATCTCGAGTAATAGTACCCGAGACCCTGTACGACCTCCGACAAACGCATCGGAACCACTATGATTCTTTGCACCTACGAGAACCATAATCCATGCCATTCCATGCCATTCCCAATTTCGAAATCCTTCTTTCGTACCCCAAAATTCTCAAGGTAACGCAAACACACTTCGATAAAGCCTCAACAGACCTCGTGCTGCGTCGCAGGTACTCGGTCTCGAAGTGCTCGCAAAAGGCCTCGACGAACTTCCTGAGGAAGTCTCGGTGGGACAGGGTGGCCCTGGCACTCTCGGGGAGGTTCAGGCTGACGTAGGTGCAGAACGCCTTGGCGAAGTCGGACGCCGAGGCGCGGGCGTGCCTGTCGCAGAACTCCAGCCAGTCGTCGGACGCCTCGGACGTCGCGGCGACGGCCGACGCGTTGTGGACGCTCATCTCCCGGGCGTGAACGCCGACGCGCGGGGTCCGCGGGAGGCCCGTGCTGACGCGGAATCGGTGCGGCGTCACAACCTCGAACCTTTCATCCGTTACCCCGAGCCGATGAACTCCGACGCCCGGGCCAAGCTGAGGGTGAACCACCGCCTGCTCATCACCGGCCACTGCCGGCGACGCCGCGTCGATCGCCTGCACCTGTGAGCCAACCGCCGCCGCCGTCGGCCCGGATCGATCACCGCGAGACGCACCGAGGCTCGGGCGATAACCTCAACTCCTGCGAGCGATTACGCTCCCTCACTCGTGGATGCGTCCGCTGCGTGTCACTGCTTCCGCTCCGAGCCGCGACCTTCTGTTTGCGTGAGCCATGGCACGAGCCTGCACGAGCCAACACGAGCCCTGCCGTCGACGCCGCCGACGCTGCGGGAACCAAGATGGCGAACTTCCCATGATTCCCGGGATTCCAAGATGGCCGCCACCATGCATCGGCGCGCCCCTGGTGACCAATTCGAAGAAACATCGAAACATTCTACGGTCGGTGTATACATCGCGTTGATAAGAATCCAAGAGATAGAGTGAGATCGAGCGAGAAAGAATAAAGATACACCCCTTTTTCTATATTTACCGGCGATAATTGTGGAAGATTTTTACTAGGTTATGGGTTTATCTCGGGTCCCTTGTTTCTCTTCAAAAATTTCTCTCTGTTCAGAGTTTATGTTGCGAAAGATTCTATTGTTGAAAAGAGAGATACTTTTTACCCTTCGAGCGATTTTATCGACTATTATCGACGGCTACGGATTGCCCAATTTTCTTGTTGACGCGGACCGTATCGAGAAACCATTAATCGATTCTTTAAGTCTTGTCGATAAGAACAATCCGTTCTATCCCAATTTCGTAGATACAGAAATTAGTGATTATTGTAATTCGTCGGTGATTGTTAACTATTGTCAGGTGCGCTTCGAGTAAGTATTAATAATAAATATTTCATTGAAGCGAGTTTACGGTCACTTTTGTTGCACCTTGATGCACCTCGACTGACGTTCGTGCATAAAACATTTCCAAACATTTCCCTGTTGACTCAGCCTAACTTCCAAATAAATATTTATTGCAACTTCGCTGCATTTTCGGGGAAAAGCAACCCCCTTATCCTCTGTGAGATATTTCTTATGATTCGTGGGGAACATTCCAGAATTTACTTTACTTTTCCCAGAAAGAACGGGTTTGCTTTAAACAATCGTATTTAGCATCTTTGCGTCATAACCTCTTTGGACGAGCGTGGGGTAAGGAAGCGTACTAGAATCTTCCACGTTAATCGCAACTATGTGTCTCTCTCGCACTCGTTATTTATGCGGGTGCGACAGAGACGGACTGGTCTCTAAAAAGTTAGAAAGAGGCCTCGAGTTAGACAGTCTCACGATTACTTCGTTCCAGGCGAGCGTCCCTCTGTTCGCGCGTGCGCAGAAGCGAAGTTTTTTGTTGTCTCGGCATATACAACAAACTTCACAGTCGTCGACATTTAACAGATAAGTCACTAGGGAAAGTTAGCGTTGATGATATAAATCTTGGGTTTCTGATATTTCAAGGTTATTACTGTCGGATTTGAGTGGTTTGACGAGAGCGGAGGGATTCGTGGTCCACTGAATCTGGTTCTTTAGAGAGGTAACTATTCGAAAGTCCTTTGTTTCTTTTTTAGAAGTGGGCCTGGTTCTATCTGTCCCTTTAACTTTCTACTTCTTTGTCATCCTGTCTTTCTTAAATTCTTGAGACTACAGATTTTACAGATGAGGGTTTATGTTTGCAGGTTAGCGGAGAGATTAGTGTTCAAGTGGAGCCGATTCTTTTAGCTTCATTTTTTATCTGTATCGAGGAGTTTATTGTCATGACTGCACGTTCCATCTGTGATATATGAGACTCGTGTCATAAGTGCTTGCAACTTGGTACGCAAAGGACAAGTCATTTTTTGTATTCGCCAAGTAGCCGAGGACCTGCGTCGTTGCGTGCTTTGCTGATCACGAATGGCAGTACGGAAGCTTACCATATCCCTCTTTCTTTTGCTGTCACGTCGACTAAAATATCAAAAGAAGTGCATTGAAATAATTTCAGACTTACGTGTCAAAAAATAATTTCTAACATGGAAGTAATTTATTATTTTTTTGATGGGTTAATAATAAGTATCTGGAGATAGAAATCGTTGCCTCTTTGGTGTAAAAGATCGACGTGACTATTTCTAATTTTGCTGGAAACCAAATTTGAATACCATTGTGGTATCGTTGCAATATCGCACTTTAATTCTAATTTTAGAACACAATGGGTGGAGCTCATCTGCACACACCGCAGTCAATATTTCAACATATGATGATCCAACAAAACAATGCACAACAAACCAGCCCGTGGTTGCAGGTTCCCCAGGTGCCACCGTTATCGATGCCTTGGAGTATCCCTGCATTTGAACAACCTGACTTAATAAGATTTACCGGTGAAAGAAGTCAACCACATTTTGGTCCCCAGTTACATCAAAAACGGAAACTCGATACACCTGACATTGCAGACATGTGAGTATTTTAATAATAATCAATCTTCATAACATATGTATTAGTAACGATCGCTACTATTATTTTATACTTTCCGTTACTTGCAGTCGACAAACGAAACAGTTCATAACCGAGGAAAAAATGGCGGCACACTTTCGAGACTTGCACATCAGTCCGGATTATCAAAGTCAAGTCTCAATTCCTTCGACATCAACAGGTAGACCTTCGTACGTGTTGCCAAGCAAAACAGAGCCATTCGGTGGTTTAGAAATTGGTAGTACCAATTCATTGGGAATGGAAGATAACAAAGATGTACAACCAAAACTTGTCCTCTCGGACGAGATTAGGAATCTCCAAACAGAACCTATATTACCCATGTCGTTACTATCCAAACTGTAAGTGTTAAAGTCCTCCGTTAACAATTTTCTATGTATTATCCTTCCGAGAGGAAGTAATACCGAACAGGTTTTCCGTTTCAGGGAGAGGCCCTCCATGGCTTTAGTTCTATGGGAACCACCGAGTAAGCATTTACGTGTTCTACCTACACCGAGGGATACCCCGACTCCCATTCCCGATGCCTCCGATGACAACAACAACACCACCACCAACAACAACAGTGAAAGTATCCCAAATTTAAATCAAGCATCTTCTGTCGAACCCCAGTCTATGATTCTTGAGCCTATGGATTTATAATGGATACTTGGCTCGAAGACTTTTAAAGGCTTAGGGAACCTCGTAAGATTATCACAAGACTACAGCAAGCATAGATAACTTGAGTATTGAATTCAAGACTCTATCGATCGTCATTCTTTGTCATGTACTCTTATTTATTTTCACTGCAGTGCAACCAAGCTCATCGTGAACTCCTCGATGGATTGAATTTTTCTTCGAGATCAATTGTTTCACTTCAGGTATATATCTTAATTTTACTATTGTAAAAACGATATCCGCGCCACAAGACATGAAAAGAACCTTTAGTAAGGGTGACTCGAACCACTTTGTCTTAGGTTTAATTGTTTCGGAACTTCATATAAAACATGTGTGTCATAATCCATAATCATTCGGGTAGACATAACCTCCTCGTGAATTATTAATTTGCCCCATAAATTGGATAATCTCGTTGTAATATATCATTAGCAGTCTTATCTCGTTCCTTATGTATTGTTCGTTAACAAGGACGCGAAATTGTAGAGATACAGTGTATTTGATGTTACGGAGAGGACGGATTCGATTTTTCCATACTTATATTTTGCCAAACTGTCCGATCCAGTGAACTCGATGTATGATAGGGAATTAGAATAATTAATTGGCGTGCATGTGGCGACCTTAGTTTTTTAAACAGTGCATAGTATTTCGTGAGTTCGTATCGGTGTGCGGGAAGCGGTATGTATTATTGACAATGTAGCGTGTATGATTGCTTAAGCGACATGTATGTATGGACGTTTTGCAGAATAATATGGTTATACATTACTACTCACTTTCCGATGTTTAGCCCCTTCAGCTCCTAATTAAACGCATATTATTTCTCACCGTATTGTGTACAAAAGTACAATTAACGCGTCCATAAAATACACCGCAGAGTACTAGATTTATGTAACAAAATAAGTAGACTTAATTGGTTGCAAGAGTACATTTGTAACGTGTAAATATGGTTTATCACGGTACGGTACATAGCTGTTCGAAAAGTTTATGGAGAAGGCAATAAAGTAATTTCTGACTCTTCGTGGAATATCCCGTTGCACCAGGATTTATGATTCCTGTGCACATTTGGTCATAAAAAGAAATTACCAGACGCCTTAAGGAATTTTCCCACTCCGGGGAAAAATGCGTACACGCGTAACTACTTGTTAAACGCTTCCTGGATTTTCCTCAATCGGGCAATTCACTCGAAATTGTCAGTTTTGGTTTATTCCAGAAGTTCGCCGTTAATTTTTTGTCCAACTTCGACATTGTTCCGGAGACTGGAATTATCCATGGAAGGTGGAATCGATTGATTCCTCTTCATTGGAAACAAAATGGCCGCCTCGATCGAGTTCTTCGAGTTTGTTTTTCTTAGCGTCCTCGGGTTTCGGCGAGACTTTACTCTCCATCCCCATCGCTTTTTCCTGGATCTTGTAGAGGCTCTCGATGTTCAGGTATTTCACTTCCTGGACGGTAAGGGCGACCTGGAACTCCCTGTCCAGGATGTGCTTGATCTCGTTCGCCATTATCGAGTCCATGCCCATCTCGGTGAAGTAGGTCTGGTGGTTCACGTTCTTCAGGCTCTGCAGTCCTGATAAAAGAAATAATTACTTATTGTTAGATACTCGCAGGAAAAGTAATTCCCGGTCGTGACAAAGGTGGACCCCAGGAAGAATTGAATGGAAATGGTATATCCAGGGCAGCTTCTTATTCAAGGAACCCGAAGAAATCCTCACCCAAGATATCAAGAACCGTGGTGACGATGTCGGTGATCTGTGGAGCAGTGCGTTTCCTGAAGACGATCAAGCTAGAGACGACTGTCTTCTCCTGCATCAGAAATCCATCCAAGGTCTGAAAGCAGCTCCTCAGGGTCTGCATCAAGGTGCCGCAATGAACAGCATCCCTACGTCCTTGACTCATCCTATAGACCTGTCCAACATCGCTAATGGGGCCCCATTGAATGGCAAGGGCAGGGAGTCCATCATACTTTCGCCTTTCACAGATCCTCTCCATAATGGAGTTGGCCATCCCATAATTGGTTTGGCCCTGGTTCCCTCTGCCAGAAGCCATGGAGGAGAAGACGACAAAGTGCCTAAGATGAGGACACATCTCCCTGGAGAGGACGTCGAACCGTTTCGTGCTCCCAGCTTTGACATCGAGAAGGTCCTGGAAGGCTTCTACGGAGAGGTTCTTCAGGAGATCGTCCCTAAGGACCAAAGCCAGGTTGAAGATTCCGTCCACGGCACCCAGGTGCGTCGCAGCCTCCAGGATGGACCTGCAATCCTGGAGATTCGAGGCGTCCTTCCCGACGACGATGTCCACCCTGACCCCGTAGCTTCTCCAGAGGTCTACGCGAAACCGCTGGTATCCTTCCTTCAGTCCCCTCCTGGAGGTGAGCACCAGGTTCCTAGCTCCTCGCAGGACCAGGAAATCGGCCAATTCCAACCCCATGCCTCCTAGACCTCCGTGGATGATGTAGCTGCGATCCTGGATGCAGTTGTAGCGAGGATATGCAAGGATAGGGTCGTCGATGGACTCTCCTTCCTCTCGTATCCGGAGAATAACCTGGACAAGGTTAAACGTTTCAAAATGGACCGACAACATTTGGTTGAAAAAAGGAAAGAAAGAAGAAAAGAGATCCCTGACCTTCCCGATGTGCTTGGCCGTGGCCATGTACCGAAGAGCAGCCTCGACTTCGGTCTTCGGGAACACGACCCTGGGCAAAGGTTTGACGACGCCGTCCTTGATCCCCTTCTTCAGGAGTTCTTTGACCGCCTCCTTCTCCCAAAGTTTGTTCGTAGTGTCGAGGAGTACCCCGTGGAAGCTGACATGCTTGAGGAAAACCTCCATCCCGAGGGGAGAGTTCAGAATCATGTCGTATTTCCCAATCTCCAGGAAGATGCCTCCCCTCTTCAGGCACCTCAGCGAGGCTTGGAGCTTCTCCTCGGTGAGGGAGTTCAGGACGACGTCGACGCCCTCTCCTTTCGTCAGGTGGAGGACCATCTGCTCGAAGCTGGTGTCCCTGGTGCTGCCGATGTGGCTCTCAGGGATCTGGGGGAAGTGCTTCCTGAGGAATTCCCTCTTCTCGGGGGTGCCCACCGTGGTGAAGACCTCGCAGCCCTCGAAGATGGCGGCGTTGATGGCGGCCTGGCCGACTCCACCTGTGCCGGCGTGGATGAGCACCTTGTCGCCCTTCTTGATCCTTGCCTTCAGGTACAGGGCCAGGTACATGGTCCCGTAGACGCTGGGCACCGTCACCGCATCCTCCAGGCTCCATTCCTCGGGGACGTCCCAGATGAAGAACTTGTCTTTTACGCAGAGGTTGCTGAAGGACCAGTGCTGCATCCCCATCACCCTCTTCCCCGAGGAGTCGATGCCTGCGTAGTCGCAGCCCAACAGGTCGTCCTTGAAGCGGTCGTAGATGGTTATGTAACTCACGCCGATCTTCCCGGTCGCCACCATCACGTCCCGGAAGTTGATGGAGGCGTACACCTCGCGGACGACGTTGTCGCCGCTGCTCTTCAGGGGTCCCTCTTGCCACCGTAGACTCCTCAGGTCACCCTGGGCCAGCTGGAACACCCGGGCATGGTGCACAAGGCGAGGCTCCGCCGTAGGCAAGGTGGTGTACCTGTGCATGGAATAATTTATGGTCACCATAAAAAATGTCAAACTCTTCAGCAAATATTTTAAATCTTAAATATCAGCTATATTTGTTCGCAGGAATATTTCTCAGGTATGGGAGAAATTTTATTTCGCTGGGAACACTGGCAATGTCGTCTTCCGCAAGGAGTGGAACCCTTCTTTTCCTGTACCTGTAAGTGCCCCAGACTCGTCCTGGCATGAGCACATTCGCCACCAGGTCCAGCTGCAGCTGATCGGCATAGAGAGGATGGTCCAGCGAGAACACCGGAGCTTCTTGGTCGTAGATGAGGACACCCTTCACCTTCCCGCCTCCTGGTTCCTCTCTGAGGCACTTCAGCAACCCCATCAGTCCGTTTTCCGAGTCGCTTTGCCCTACCAGAAGGATCCTGCCTTCATCATCCTCTTCCTCCGAGTCCCTCAGGACTTGCTGGAGTTCCGGGAGCCAGGATAACTCGTCGTTCCTGACGAAAACCACGACAGGCCTCTTCAAGCTGTTAAATCTCCTGCGAAGAAGGAGGATGAGTTCTCCACCGCTCCTCTTCCGCAGGACGACGTCGAGACCTAGTTGTCGGATCCTGGAAGAGGTGTCCTGCGACCCTGAAGACTCTCTGGTTATCAGGAATCCAGTGTTCGCCATGGACGAGAGGAGCAGGTTCAGGTCTTCGTCCTGGCGTTGCAGCAGGTCCTGCCCGATGACGAGGAATGCCTTCACGTCCGTGACGAGCTTCCTGAAGTCGATTAGTGAGACGTTCTCCGGGATCTCGCCTTCCTGGAACGTCTCCGGAGGGGCCAGGACGAAGAGCTCTGGTTGCAGCATAGGGATGTCCTCCAGGATGCTGGGCAGGAAGGGAGACACCAAGGCTTCCGGGGACTCGTTCACTACTTCCACGATCTTCACGCGGTGGTCAGGGTGATTTTCTGCAGCCAGCTGGACGGCCAGGCGAAACACATCCTGAAGAGAGGTTTCGGCTTCGTCCACGTGGGGGACGAATTTGTACTCTTCAAGAGTTGGCTCCCTGGGCTCTTTTCTTCGGGGCAGGGAAATTCCTGACATGCCTCGGACTTCGATGCCCCCCGCGATGATGATCTTCAGGTCCGTGTCCACGTATGCCGTGATTACTGGAAAATCATCGTCATCAACTTTAATAAATATTCGAAAATAAATAAGTTCTACATATATATTATATTCTTCTCACCTTTCTCATCCGTCATCTCTTGAATCGCCTTTTGGTGTGCTTCGGTGTCGATTACCAGTTTCCGGATCCCCGTGGGAACGTACAAGGACCTCGTGTCCATCTGGAAGAGACCCAACTGAAACATGCAGTCCATGAAAGTGACCCAATTATTCTCCCAGGAGATGATCCCCTTGGTCCCCGTGATCGTGGCGCGCTTTAAACTGCGGAAGAGCTCGTTGTACTCGTATCCTCGAAGCCGGAACTCCTTGTAGATGTCTTCGCTCGACATGCAGAAGTCGTCGTCGTCGTCGATCTTCAGGTTCGAGGGATCCACTCGCTCTTCGGCAGGCTTTTCCACGGCGCGGATGTACCCGGTTATTATCACCGACCCCTTTTCCGTGATCTCGAATCTCCCGGATCCTGCGATATTTCATTTAATTTCATTCCATTTCATTAAAAAAGACTCGACGTCCTCGTTTCATTTCATTTCTTTAAGGTGAAGTGAAACACGCCGAGGAATTTGATCAACGTCGATAAAGAAGATTTTTCTAAATGCCTACGTTGCCGACGTTGGTTTTTATATTGACAGCTGGGTCGAATTATATTGGGTATTGTACCAAATGGCATATTCCACCTGTCGTTTTCGTACAATAATTATAAAGAAATCGAAGTAAAACTCCAGAAATCCTCTGGATTCGTGCCTTCTGGGGCCCTAATTGACTGCAGAGGGACCCCCTGCGCCATCTGTGATTTCCAGGTCAATTAAATTTTCACTCCGAGACCTCGTATTACCATCGTTTTAGCAAAGAAGCGCATACAACACTTTTTTTGTCTTTATCCCCTTCAAATGCGAGTTTATCGATTACCAGAGTGTTCTAAATTCTCGTAAAATTGTCCTGACCCTTTCGATTCTCATATCAGAGCCTTCGATAATTGTATATTGATCGAAATATGAGAGCTCGACGCCATTTTGGTTCTGGTCTGGAATGAGTTAAAAAATTTGTTTGAAAAATCCAAATTTTCAATGTGTCAGGACAATTCTTAGATGATCAGGAGTGATGTGTCAAAGTTTCGGGCAGTTTGGTCTAATACCCTTAAAAAAAGTGTTGTATTCGAATCGACTGATTTGAAGGATGTTTCACTTCACCTTAATAAAACATATTTCTTAGATTCTCGTCCAGGGTACATACGACATTCCTTTTTTCGAAAAAATTAAATTTCACGAGGTTCAACACCTTCTGCTAGGACCTTCGTAATCAACTGTTAAGGTTTGATATTATTCGGTGCACCGAGTTGGAAAAAAAAAGTTTTATAATTATATCACCTTAATAAGGTTTTATAATTATATCACCTTAATAAGGTTTTATAATTATATCACAAAAGTTGGTCAGGAGATAAGCGCACCTTTCTGTACCATCAACGTGAGCTTCACGGTGTCGTCCTTCCTCAGGGTGACGACCTGGACGAATCGAACGTCCTCGAAGACGACCGACATGTTGAAGTGCAGTCTCCCACGCATGCTTCCGAAAGATTGCCAAACCAGGAAGAGGAATCCTGCCCCTGGAAGCAGGTTCGTCCCCTGGACAACGTGTCCATCCATGTACTCGTACTGCTCGTTCCTCAAGGAGATGTTCAGCGTTCGTTCGCCAGACATTTCTTCAACCTTCTGGGACATAACGAAGAAGTCCTCGGAATGGTCCCACCTGGTCACGCAAAAGCCAATTACACTAACAACTCAACTTCTTGAATTAAAGTAAGAATCGAAAAAGTGTCGAGCTTGGACTCGACAAGTGCGAAAGTGGAGTCGCGAGGTAAAAATGCAACTTTTCTCCGAAGTGGACCTACCGAATCGTTTCAATCTTCATAACGTGAATCTGGAGACTATGTGGAAGGTTCTGCCACCCATGAAATTTCATTTTTTATGTACAACATTTTTAAATATCTATAAATAGATTTTTAGACAATTGAATCGTGAGTTACAGGACTGTCTTTATAGCCTCCATATTTATATTGTAAAGTTTGAATCGATTCAGTACACCTAGTTTGGAGAAAAGTGTAAAGAATGAGAACTTTCGCGTCATTTTTATTTTTTTTAATCGACCCACCTGATGCACGGCGAGATCATGGGAGTGCCTCGACTGACTGGATACTGGACCTCAGGGTAGAGGTTTTCCACTTTCGAGTTAACCCCGAGGTTGTACAATTTTCCTAAGGCCTGTGTTAAGAATTCCACGTTTTCCTGGTGTTCGCGCTGGGCCAGAGCGACCTTGGCCACGCTCTTCTCCAATGCCTTCTTCAAGATCCCGGTGAAGAGTCCATGAGGAGCTATCTCGATGACCACCGCATCTCTCGGGACCAGGGAGAGCACCTCCTCGAACAGGACCGGACTTACGAAATTATTTGTGTGATATTCTGCGGAACTTTGTCGAGCCATCGGGGCGCTCCACTGGTCATGGGGCACGGAAGTGCTCAACCATTTTGCAGATCGAGTCTTCGGGGATGGTATCACTCCCTTCAACAATTTCAGCAGCTTCGGACCCCCCTCGGCGACGTATCTGCTGTGGTAGGCGATGTTGCTCACCTCCATTTCCTTCGCGAAAATATTCTCCGCCTAAAAGGGAGAAATAATGATAATTCATTCATTTGCGTAATTCTCCGGAAATCAATTTCGCTGGAGTTAAGGGATGTTTGTATGACCTGGAAGGCATATTATATTTTTTTTTGTACGTCGCCCATGGTATTACGGTGCAATTACCTGCAATTTTACTACGAACGAAAATCTTCTCCGCCTAAAAGGGGGGAATAATGATAATTCATTCATTCGCGTAATTCTCCCGAAATCAATTTCGCTGGAGTTAAGGGATGTTTGTATCACCTGGAAGGCATATATTTTTTTTTGTACTTCGCCCATAGTATTACGGTGCAATTACCTGCAATTTTGCTACGAACGATTTCACCGACTCCGCAGGGCCGCTGATATTCGAACTGTATGCGGAATTGTGGCAGGAGATTTCGATGCCTGGAGGACACATTGGTCGGAGTTTTTCCTGGCCGAGGCCGATCACCGCCATCGCGCCGTGCATGAATTCTGTTTGGATGGAAACCACCCCTCGATAATAGGCTGAGAGGATCATTTGCTCTGCTGTGAAACATTCGTCTGCATATGCGCATCCCAGCTCCCCAAAAGAGTGTCCTATCAATCGGGCAGGAACGATGCCAACGTGTTTCAATATGTCCACAAGTCCGATCTGAGAAGTTACAAAGAAACGTTGTGACACATTTCAAGGCTCCTGCAAGAGTTCTCATAAATTGCAAATTAAAAATCTTAGTACACTAATCTGTTCGGTCACGAACCCTGGATCTACAAATTTCCATTTCCTTTCATGTTATCAAGACGTGAAATACATACTTGGCGAGAAACTCAACCGAGTTTCTATACATCATTCATGTGAAATTCTTATAAATTTCATGGAGAACCAATTGGTGAAATAAATCACAATTTTACTGGTCCGGAAACCTTAATAGACCAGTACACGCGGTAATAAATTAGTTGATAAATAAATTGACTAGTATATAAAATTAGTAAACTGTCGATTTGTACAAGGCCATCAAAAGGCACTGTCTCGAAATGTATGAGAGGCTAATAATTTATATCGGCGACATACTTGTATGATCTTACCTGAACCGCTGCAATTCCAACGAAGGAATTCAGGATGTTATTAAAAATTCTCTCGTCCTTGGTTGTGAGGATGTGATAAATGTCGACTCCTTTTGGCCGAAGGGCCGCGTCACATTTTTTTATTGCCTCTGCAAACACAGGAAAGCGAAGCAAGGACTTTCCTGAAAGGGAAGATTTAAAGTTACCGAATATCGATTTTGGATCCTAATTAGTCCCTCGATACTGAATAGAAAAAATTCATTGAACCAGAGAAATATTCTGTTAATTCAAAGAATAATTACTTCGCTGAAATTAACCGAAATAAATTGTGGTAACTCCGAGGAAATGCTGTATCGAGTCGATTTGAGTGAAATAATTATTCTTTGAATTGGCAAAATATTTCTTCGGTTAAATGAAATCTTTTTGCCCTACATCTTACCCATTCCTGGCCACTGCGAGCCCATGCCGGAGAACATGAACCATATCGGTCGTTTTGTCTGCAGACATTGGTCAATTTCTTTGACCGGATTTTCGGATAATCCATGAGATGGTAAAACGACATACCCACGATACGAATGTCCTCGAATATCGGTCGAGTGGATATCCTGCAGGAGTCGGACGTGCTCCACGTCGACAGGACGACTGGCGACCTGGAAGTACCAAAGAAAATAAATTCTCCGCCTTTTACCCTGATTCACTGAGAAGAAAAAACATGATTGAACCAACTTCGGTACTGTGCAGCAATTAAACATATACCGATCATTTCTTACGTTTAAATGCGCTGCAATCTTAATGGTCGTTGGTGTTTTTTTTTTTTTTTTAATTTAGGGATTTAAATCGAAAGCAAGTTCTCACGTCATTTAACAAGGTGAGAACAGCCTCCTCGGTGCGTCCAGAAACCGCGACCAACCTCGGCAGATCATCTTCAGGAGCACCGCCGTTCTTCTTCTCCTTATCATGAGACTTCAACAAAATGTGGACATTCGCTCCTCCAAACCCGAATGAATTTATTCCAATATAGCCGCCATTCCAAGGAGTACATTCAGTCACCACCTGAAGTCGACCTTCTTCCAAGGCGGTTAATCCTTTCCTGGGACGTTCAAAATGCAAAGTCGGAGGAAGGATTCCGCTCTCCATTGCTGTCACCACCTTTGCAAGAAAATATTCTGTATCAACTAGATAACGCATAAACATAAAATCCTCGTTCCCGATTTTAAGCGCTCAGAACACAAAATATGAAAAATACATTGACGACGCCATCTTGGTCCTGGACTGAAATGAATAAAATCCTACTTTTAATTGAAATTCCATGGGTGTCACCTTCCTTAGACCACGTGGAAATTTCCATGGTTAATTTTGATGCATTCAGATCGATGAAAAATTGTGTACATAATTTTACATGTGAATTTATGTGACGCTTTTATGAAAGAAAAATGGCTACCTTCGCAATGGAGCACAATCCGCTCGCGGGTTCCCCATGTCCCATGTTGGATTTGACAGACCCGATCATTAAGGGTGTTGTACGTCCTGGACTGAAGAATTTGTCGATACTGTTCACTTCTTGTGGATCGCCGACCTCGGTTGCAGTGCCATGTGCCTCCACATAGGACACCATTGTTGGCGGCACTTTGCACTGTGCGTAGAAATCCCTCAAAAGTTGAAACTGCATGTCGGTGGATGGAAAAGTTATTCCTTGTTCCTTGTATCCGTCGCTGTTCACTTTTCCAGATAAAAGATTGGCGTAAATGCGTCTAGCGTCCTTCGCCTTTTGCAGAAACACTGCAACGATCGCTTCTGCACGAACATATCCGTTTCCTTTCTCGTCAAATGGCCTGCAGTATCCATCGGCTGACAAAACGCCTAAAACGAGGAAAATTGGTCCCCGAAGAGAATTAAGCTGATGTCAAAATGGCGTCAAAGAGAGTTTGTTAATGAAATTTTTCTCCAAACTAGGTGTACCGAATCATTTCGAACTTGACAATGTGAATATAGAGGCCATAAGGAGTGTCCTGGCACCGATAATTTTCAATTTTTAAACAATTTGTTTATTGGCATTTTCAAAATTCTTTAGAGAAAATGAAATCTCACGAGTGTCAGGATCTCTCTTACAGCCTCCAGGTTCGCGCAGTAAAATTTGAAATTGTTCGGTGCATCCAGTTCGACGAAAAATTTCATAAACGACCGACACTTCGGATGCCACTTTCACATCCCCTTAAGTGGAGGGCAAAAAAGGAAAAAAGATTAATTGGGGAAAAGGGAAAAAATTGAAAAACTGGTTCTCGGTACCAAAATGGAAATACTGGAGCGTCACGTTGGGATGGAGGCAGAGATTGGAGGAAGCAACAATGGCGGCCTCGCATTCTCCACTCTTCAGGGATCTGTACGCATGTTCCAAGGCGAGTAAACTCGAGCTGCATCCACTATCGACTGCATAACTCGGTCCATTAAAGTCCAAAGCGAAAGAAACTCTATTAGCCAACATCCCTCTGCTGGTGCCGGTTACAGCGAAAACATTCTCCTGAAATCACAAGCGCCAGGTTGAGGCAGAATGGCGTTAAATATTACCACTAATTTTATGAGTGCAGTAATCTACCTTCGTGTAAAAGTTCCCCTCATGCATTTCCGTCTTATAATACATTGTTTACAAGGACAAAATATTGCTAACGAGGATAACAGTGACGATGTGCTTGGAATTAATTCGATATCTGTTTAACCCGCTTTACGAACGTCTGCAATCCAAGATGGCCGCCGCGCGTTCTTCCTCCCGAGCGAGACCAGCGCGGCGGCAAGATGAATTTAATCTCACAGTTAAATCCTTCTTGTAATGAGATCCATTCCCAAATGTAACCGATACTCGGTTGAATCTATTTTTTTATTCTTTAAAGCACACCTGGAAATTCTGGTTGAATAAATTCTTCTCGCTGTCGGAGAAGCAGACGCCGACAAAGACGCCAGTTTTGGAGCCGGCCAGTTGGCGGGGGTTAAATCCAGAATCGGCAATGGCCTCGTAAGCGTGCTCCAAAATCATCCTTCCCATTGGGTCCATTATATTGGCTTGCTTAGGATGAACCCCGAAAAACAGCCGGTCGAATTTCTCCACACCTTCGATCTTCCCCATCCGTTGTGGAATGTCAGGGCAATCTAGAAATGAATGAAAATAATAAATAGGAATCCCTCGACATGGAGAGTTGACGATCCACCTACCTGTCTGCCACCGATTATGCGAGGTGGTAATCATGTCCTTTTTATTCCTCAGGTTCTCCGCGAATATCTTCATGTTTCTTGAATCCGGAAATCTGCCGGAGATACCAGAGATAACGATCTCCTCCCCGGGCTCCGAATTCATCTTCACGTGGCATCTCGATTGTTCTCCAGGTGTACCCATTTTGAAGACGTCGAATGAATATCCCCTTTTCTACTGCACTGAAGCAAAAAATCTAAAGAATCGAGAAATCGGTCATTGTCGAGACGTACACTAGGAAAAGAAATTTCATTAAACCAAAGAAATATTTTGCTATTTCAAATATAATCATTTTATTGAAACAAAAGCTCCAAGAAATTGGATGCAACATTTCCACGGAGTCAATGACAATTTATTTAGGTTTATTTGAGTTAAATAATAATTTTTTAAATTAACAAAGTATTCCTTTGGGTCGCCGAATCTTTTTTTCAGTTTAGGAAACGCATAACTGTAATGTTATATGCACGTGTATATTGTAAATAATGTACGTAAATGAAATACATATTTTAAAGTTGGAGTTATAACAAATGCCATTTTTGCACTAAGAGGACTATATCTGCCGAAAATTCACCCGATGAATTTAATTAGACAATGCATGTGCATTGTACATAAACACCTATTGCACTATCTGTTAATCCGATAAGCTAAATTTCGTATAAAATAATATTTTGTCTCCCCAAATTTCCTGATTATACCTTTTCGAGTCAGGTTAAACTTCCTCGCAGAACTCGAATTCATCCGAAAAAGACTCGAATGTGACAAACGTGGAACGTACTTATATTCTCCGAGCCATTCCTCCAAGGAAAAATCCATTTCCATAAACTTGTCTATTTGCTAATTTCGTTTGATCTTTGAGTCCTCGAGTCATTTTAGGCAACGAGATTCGAACTTTGACACGGGTCGCTAGTACTAACAGTCTATTAAAAAAGTTCGGGAAAGCTTTTTCATCGTAGCTGAAATGGCGAAACGAGTCGAGACAAAGGAGGAATCCGAAGAAATCTTTGTGCGATTTGTAAACGGCACGTGTGATTTTACAATCCTAGGCACTGATAAAAAAAAGAAAAAAAATGCTCGTCGGCCATAAAGAGGATACTGAGAAAAAAGATTAATAGACTGGAACAAATATATATATTGTTGCCCGAATCATATATAATTGCAAGAAACAATTATTTCCGTTGAAAGGAAAACTTATACCGTTGATTTAAACGAATTTTCATCACTCTTACTGACATTTCTTTGGACATATTTCATCGTAGAATTTTGTTGTAGCAATGTTTATTTTGCTTTCAGTCGGTCAACTTTTTCTTCACAGTGGAGGGACTCTTAAAACGATGATTTATAAAATGCACATAAAGACCTTGTAGTAAAGCACTGTCTGGATGTCGATAGTAGGTAATATTGCTCCTCGGTATCCTGTAATTTAAAAAAAAATAGTACATACGTTTGCCATAAATTGAATAGCCCCTAAAACCTGAACGTTTTTCGACCTAAAGGTGTCCCGAATAATTGCTCGTATGGCGATGATGATGAATATTTACAAACGGTTTTATTCCTTGATCTTGTACATGTGCAACACTTAAGAACACTAAATCAAAAGAGCGACAGTCTGCAATCGATAAGAAAAAAGGTATAATCGACTGGATAACAATATTACTGCCCGCGGTGTTGCAAAAACGAGCATGTGAGTTTGATTGAAAGAAGCAATGGCGGCGGAAATTGAAAGATGCCCAATTCTCTAGTCTCTTCGGGGAGACATTTTCCTCCGATCGAAATACAGGACAATTATAATATTAGTTCCCTAATATTTATTATAAAATTCCATTCGTCACCTTCAGAGCCTTGGGGTGGATCTTAACGAGACGTTTAGAAGTTGAAACTCGGCATATTTCGCGGAAGAATCATGATTTTCGAAAACTTGAGCAGCGCTTCTACAAATCGAGACGGCTTTTTTAAGTCTCGATCGCGTGGGGATCGGGAAATTGGGTTTTGGTTTGATATCCGCCGTAGTGGAGTTCCCAAGATGGTAGCGCGTCCAAGATGGCGGACGTCTGCACGGGCGCCGCCATCTTGGAAACCGCTTGCTTACATCTAGTTCCATTCAAGCTAGAACACGAAAGCTTAGAAGCTCATCTGGATCCGGGAAACTGTGCACGCTTGCACAAAAGGTCGCTTTCCTACGATCTATGGTGCTCGTCCGTGGTAATCGGCGCCAGGATCTTTCCATCTTCCATGATACTGGCTTTGAAAGTCGCGGCGTCTTCCAAGGGATCGCCATTGATGGCCACGGCGACCCTGGGGTCGTCCAGGATAGTAATGTGGTTTCCGTCCACGGTGTAAATCTCCACCTTATCTCGTGTGACCTAGAAAATGGCAAATAGAGGTAATCACTGAACGTAATTTAAATTTTTTAATTTCTCTTATCATAAGACTAAACAGTCGCCGTTTCCCTTTCTTTAGGAGGAAAAAGAAATACACCTCGCACGTATAAGTATAAAAGTTTGCGATTGTAATGAAACGTACCTTCTGAAGACCGTAATCGTCGGAAAGAGTCTTTGCGGATATTCGAACAGGTTTAATCAAAGTAATCGGCGACCTGATTGGTGGAAGCGGGGCACAATCGTACTCTATAACCGCGCTCAGACGTGAATAAATAGCTGTCAAGAAATGCATCTGATCTTCCTTGCTAAACTGCAGAACTCCGTCAGGTATCAGGTTCATGTACGCCTCTATTCTTTGCGTCATCGTCGCACACTTCTCCAACTCCACGGCGAGCTGGAATCCATTAACAAAGAGTTATAAAAAGAGAAGTCTGAAAAGATGACGTTTAAAATATTTTCCCTGCCGGGGAATTCATGTTTACTCCTAACTCTTCATATCTTTCTACGTCTACATTATGATGACGCATTAAGAAAAGAGATTCAACGAACCAATATAATACTTTGTTAGTATAAGGAATAATTATTTGACTCGGATAAACTGGAATAAATTGAATAATAAAATGAACAAAATATTCTATTGGTTCGATTAATTATTTTCTCTCGGTGTAGGATTACCTGCGCATTAAATGCCGGAGCCACCATGTCCATCACCCCCAAAAGAACAGTATTTTGGAAATCGCCTTCGTTAGTGGAGGTCAAATGCTGAGAAATAATGGCTTTCATGAGTTCAGGAGATCCATCTATGAGGATCAATCTACCATTAAGGCCTTCCGCTTCTAACATCCTCGCAAGCTCGATCGCTATTAACGTCCCGAAAGAATAACCAGCAATGACAAAGCTCCTGCGGTCCTTGCAGGTGGAAAGGACGCCCTGAAGAAAAGACAATAATTCTTTAAACACAGTTCCGTAACAACATAACCGTAATACCTTGTAACAAGTAACGTAACATACATCTTACATCCACTTAAAATTGATATTACCCTTTCCTCCACAGTTGTATAATTAACATAAATACTCTCAGCGAAGTAACAGTCTCAACACAAAGGTGTGAATTATTTTTCATCTCCTTCCAAGTGAACATATTCCATGCACTGAGGAAAAGATTTCAATGAACGGTGAGAAATGTCTCTTCGAAAGGTAGCAATAAAATACTCTGTTAATTCAAAGAATTTCACTCGAAGTGGAATAAAATGGATGCAAAGCTTCTTCGGAATTACGCCTGTTTATTAGAGTCCATTCGAGTGAAATAATTATCCCTTCAATTATGGTGAAGTGAAACACGTCAAGGAATTTGATCAACGTCGATAAGGAATATTTTTCTAAACGCCTACGTTGCCGACGTTGGTTCTTATATTGACAGCTGGGTCGACTTATATTGTGTATTGTACCAAATGGCATATTCCACCTGTCGTTTTCGTACAATAATTATAAAGAAATCGAAATAAAACTCCAGAAATCCTCTGGATTCGTGCCTTCTGGGCCCCTAATTGACTGCGGAGGGACCCCCTGCGTCATCTGTGATTTTCAGGTCAATTAAATTTTCACTCTGAGACCTCGTATTACCATCGGTTTAGCAAAGAAGCACATACAACACTTTTTTTGCCTTTATCCCGTTCAAATGCGAGTTTATCGATTACCAGAGTGTTCTAAATTGTCGTAAAATTGTCCTGACCCTATCGATTCTCATATCAGAGCCTTCGATAATTGTATATTGATCGAAATATGAGAGCTCGACGCCATTTTGGTTCTGGTCTGGAATGAGTTAAAAAATTTTTTTGAAAAATCCAAATTATCAATGTGTCAGGACAATTCGTAGATGATCAGGAGTGATGTGTCAAAGTTTCGGGCAGTTTGGTCTAATACTCTTAAAAAAAAGTGTTGTATTCGAATCGACTGATTTTAAGGATGTTTCACTTCACCTTAACAAACTATTTCTGTGGTACCGTTCGAAGAAACATTTCTTCGGTCCACTGACTTTTCCTTTCCCTCGGCGTGGTTGAACCGACAATATATGTGCCCATAATTATGAAAGTGGTCTAAGTCATATATTTTTTGTTTCGAAATTACATTGAATTAATTTCGTTTGAAATAATATGGCGTGAAATAACTGATAAACTCATTTTTTTTTTAATTTTGACTTAGACCACTTTCATAATTATGGGCACATATCGTTACTGAATCTTTCCCTGGCCTTATTTACATGTTCATTTGTTCACCCACCGGTATGAACTCACGAGCCATGTCTTCGATGGTCTTCAGGTCGTTTCTATGTGTGAGCTGAAGACACGTGGCGGGCGACTTCAGCCTCGTCGCCAGGGTTTCAAAGATGGTTCCACAGCTCTCAATCCCAGGAATGAGGAATACTTCGTTTCTGCCTTCCTCGCACTTCGTGTTCAGCTTCATGAAGGGTTCCCTGTGCTCGTTCTCGAGTCCCACCGTGCGAACAAAGATCCTCAGCCCAGTCGGGGCGTCCAAATCCGAGCCCGACTTCCGGCCCCGTTTTTTCTCCTCGTCCTTTTCCTTCATTTGTATCTCGATCAGCTTCGCAAAATTCAAGCTGCGGATGTCCTGCGCCGTGAGGAAGATCTCGAATTCCCTCTCCAGGGTCTGCTTGATCTCCACGGCCATCATCGAGTCCATGCCCAGCTCTGCCAAAGGGGTATGCTGACTTACGGTCTTCAGGTCTTTCAGTCCTGTCAAAACATTGCACCGTTTTCAATACGTCAAACATAAGTCCATGATCTGTTATTCCAGGAAAAAAAAATAATTATCGAGTTCTACTGCCGAACTTTGGCGTTAAGGTGAAGTGAAACATCCTTCAAATCAGTCGATTCGAATACAACACTTTTATTTAAGGGTATTAAACCAAACTGTCCGAAACTTTGACACATCACTCCTGATCATCTAAGAATTGTCCTGACACATTGAAAATTTGGATTTTTCAAACAAATTTTTTAACTCATTCCAGACCAGAACCAAAATGGCGTCGAGCTCTCATATTTCGATCAATATACAATTATCGAAGGCTCTGTGAGAATCGAAAGGGTCAGGACAATTTTACGACAATTTAGAACACTCTGGTAATCTATAAACTCGCATTTGAACGGGATAAAGACAAAAAAAGTGTTGTATGCGCTTTTTTGCTAAAACGATGGTAATACGAGGTCTCGGAGTGAAAAGATAATTGACCTGGAAATCACAGATGGCGCAGGGGGTCCTTCCGCAGACAATTAGGGCCCCAGAAGGCACGAATCCAGAGGATTTCTGGAGTTTTACTTCGATTTCTTTATAATTATTGTACGAAAACGACAAGTGGAATATGCCATTTGGTACAATACACAATATAATTCGACCCAGCTGTCAATATAAAAACGAACGTTGGCAACGTAGGCATTTAAAAAAATCTTCTTTATCGATGTTGATCAAGAAGATTTTTCTAAATGCCTACGTTGCCGTCGTTGGTTTTTATATTGACAGCTGTGTCGAATTGCATTGAATATTTTACCAAATGGCATACTCCACCTGTCGTTTTCGTACAATAAATATCAAGAAATCAAAGTAAATCTCCCGAAATCCTCAGGATTCAAGCTTTCTGGGGCCCCAATTGTCTGCAGAGGGACCCCCTGCGCCATCTGTGATTTCCAGGTCAATTAAATTTTCACTCCGAGACCTCGTATTACCATCGTTTTAGCATAGAAGCGCATACAACACTTTTTTTGCCCTTATCCTGTTCAAATGCGAGTTTATCAATTACCAGAGTGTTCTAAATTGTCGTAAAATTGTCCTGACCCTTTCGTTTCTCATATCAGAGCCTTCGATAATTGTATATTGATCAAAATATGAGAGCTCGACGCCATTTTGGTTCTGGTCTGGACTGGGTTAAAAAATGTTGTTAAAAAATCCAAATTTTCAATGTGTCAGGACAATTCTTAAATGATCAGGAAGGATGTGTCAAAGTTTGGTCTAATACCCTTAAAAAAAAGTGTTGTATTCGAATTGACTGATTTGAAGGGTGTTTCACTTCACCTTAAGTATTCGATGCCGTTCGCGCATGCTTTTAAATGTATTTGGCGCGAGACTCTGCCGAGTCTCCTGATCGATATTCCGAATCTCTTTACCCATGATGTTGAGGACAGTGCCAACGATATCAGTAGCTCCGGCACCACCTGATCTCTTTTCGGCAACGACCATGCTGGCCACGATAGGTCGATCCTGCTGCAGGAATCCATCGAGTTCCTACGAGGAAGGATAAACATGTAAGTACAATTATTTAATTCTAGCTCGTTGCAAGAATCTTATTACTGCCTTCAAAGCCAAAGAGAGCCAACAATTACATTCTGCCACCCTGAGAAAAAAAATTTCATTGAACCAAAGGAATACTCAGTCAATTCAAAGTGTAATTATTTGGCTGGGACAACCTTAATTGTTCTTCGCTTCAATGAATTTTTTTCTTGCAGGTTCACGCCGAGGAAATGTATCTCGACAATGAATCTGAGGTATATAAGACCGAGGATTAAAAATAATACGACATAAAAAATATTTGGAAATATTTTATAATTAGCCATACCTGCGTTTGAACTTATTTAGTTTTTTCATGCGTTCGTTTGATGTAAGAATTAATATCTTTTTTTCTTTTTCTTCCAGAAATTTTTCGCTCAATCCCAACTCACCTGCAGGCAACTGGAGATCCTCTGTTGCAAAGTGCCCCCGATGACGAGTTCCTTGTGGTCCTCCTGCATCTCGGCGACGAGGCCGACGTCGCCGACTGCACCCCACTGCACCGCCAGAGCCGGAAATCCTTCAATTCTGCGCTTTTCGCAGATCCTTTCCATAACGGAGTTGGACATTCCATAATTGGTCTGTCCAGCGTTTCCTCGACCACAAGAGACAGAAGAGAAGACGACGAATTGCCTGAGGCCAGGGCACATCTTCCTGGAGAGCTGGTCGAGCTGTTTCGTGGCCCACGCCTTCGCCCTGAAGGACTCCTCGAAGGACTCCGGGGTCTGGTTCTCCCACAGGTTGTCCTTCAGGACCACCGCCAGGTTGAAGATCCCGTCCACCGGGCCCAGGGCCTTCGCCTTCTTCAGGATGTCCTCGCAATCCTCGCGAATCGAGGAGTCCCTCCCGGTGACGATCTCGACTTTGACCCCGTAGCTCTTCCAGATCCTTACTCGCATGACCTGGTACCCGTTCTTGAAGCCGGCTCGAGAAGTCAGGACCAGGTTCCTGGCTCCTCTCATAACCAGCCAGTCGGCCAACTCCAAGCCGAATCCTCCGAGACCTCCCAGGATGACGTAGCTGTGGTCATCCTTGCAGAAGAAGCGCGGCAAGGCCAGTATCTTCGCGTTCAAGGACTCCTGCTCGTCGCGGACTCGTATCAGCACCTGGGGATCGTGAAGAGGTGAGTCTAAGGGTGAGAATCCTTCGTTAATCCTTTCGTCACCTGGGACGAGATATTTCACGTCCCGAGATCCCCTATTTCCCTCTTTGGCGAAATATTTCGCGATCCTGTGCCGGTCCTTCATGGGGATGCGAAAGTGGCATCCGAAGGATCAACCTTTGATGAAGCTTTTCTCCAAACACCGTGTACCGAATCGTTTCAATCTCTACAACATGAATCTGAAGACCATAAGGAAGGTCCCGACACGCGTAAAATTAAATTATGTATAGAAAATGTTGAGAAGGTCTATAAATAAATTTTACAGAAAATTGGAATTTCACGAGTGTCGGGACCTTCCTTCTAGCCTCCACATTCACGTGGGAAAATGTCAGACAATTCGGTACAACAAGTTCGCAGAAGAATATGAAAAGCGAATATAGCAACGTGCATATCCCCGTAAATCGCGATGTAAACGTTAAAAAAGAGGTAGAGGATCTCGGGTCCTCACCTTGCCGATGTGTTTCCCCGCAGCCATGTACCGGAAGGCGGCCTCGACCTGATCCTTCGGGAACACGGTCCTGGTCAGAGGTTTGATACATCCATTCTTCATGTACTCAGCCACGATTTTGTTCAGCTCGGCCCTAACTTCATCCGGAGCGGCGAATATATTATCCAGCATGACGCCGTGGAAGCTGATCTCCTTGAGGAAGGCATCCATGCCCAAAGGATTATTGGCCGCCATGTCGAACTTCCCAATTTCAAGGAACCTCCCGCCCTTGGCGAGGCACCTCACGGAGGCCTTCAGCTTCTCCTCCGCCAGGGAATTCAGGACGATGTCCACCCCTTGACCCTTGGTCTGCCTCATGACCATTTGCTCGAAGCTGATGTCCCTGGAGTTCCCGATATGGTCATCAGGAATCGAGGGGAAGGTCTCCCTGATGAACCTCCTCTTGTCCGGGGTGCCAACCGTGGTGAAGACCTCACAGCCGACGAAGAGCGCCACGTGGATGGCTGCTTGACCCACTCCACCACTTCCTGCGTGGATCAGGACCCTGTCCCCCTTCTGCATCTTTCCTTTGATCACCATCGCGTATAGGGCGGTCCCGTAGACGCAGGGGACCGTAGCAGCATCCTCCATGGTCCAGTCTTCGGGGATGGTCCAGGTGATGTGCTCGTCCATGATGCATCGATTCGTCATGCACCGGGTTTCGCGCATACCCATCACTCTCCTTCCCGATGCGTCCATCCCGCTAAACTCGAACCCGATCACGCACTCCAGGTCCATCCTGGTCTTGGCGATGACGTCGGCGGACAGCTTGCCAGTGGCCAGCATGACGTCGCGGAAATTGATGGCGGAGTAGACGATGTTCACCAGCCTCTTGTCCTGGACATTTTCGAGAGGTCCTTGCAGCCACTTCAGGCTACCCAGATCGCCGTGCACCAGCTGATTCACCCAGGCATGCTCTACGGGGACTGGCTCCATGGGAGGGAGCTTGAAGTGCCTGTAGGATCCCCAGATTCTCCCAGGGTGCAGCACGTTCAGCACCAGGTCCAGCTGCAGCTGCTTCTGGTAGAAGGGATCCGCCAACGAAAACTTCGGCGCCTTTTCGTCCTGAAAAAAAAGACGCAGTTTAGAGCCGGTTGAACCAACGGTGATTAACGTGATATTTCTTATCTATAATTAGTCAACCTAGGATTAATGAAATTCACGTTGCATTGATAGTATCGATTCATCCCTACCTGGATCAACACTCCCCTGACCGTCTCCCCACCTGGCTCCTTCCTGATGCAGTTCAAGAAGCCAACCAGGCCACTTTCGAAATCGCCCTGGCTAACCAGGATGATCCTGGAGATCCCTTCCACCTCCTTCTCGACCTCCTCCTTCGTGGCCTTCTGCAGCTCGGAGACCCAGGAGAAATCCTCGTTCCTGACGAAGACTACGACGGTCCTCGTCGGCGATTTCTCCCTCTTCCTCAGGAGGACCAGCAACTCGTTGCCGGTGCGTTTCTGCAGGATAACGTTCAAGCCGAATTTCAGAGCCCTGCCGGCGATGTCCTCCAGGTCAGGGGACTCTCTGGTGATGACGAATCCTGCCTCCTTCAGGGCTGGCAGGAGCAGACTTCTTTGTTCCTGCTGCTTGTCTTCCAGCAATCCTCTGCCGACGACGATGAGGGCACTCGTGTCCGAGGGGAGCTTCTTGGGCTCGGCCAGGACTATCTCTGCAGGGATGACACCTTCTTCGAAGGAGTCTGCAGGCGCCAGGATCGTGATGTCTGCCTGCATCAACGGCAAGTCTCCCAGGACCTCGAGCAGGATCGGCGATACCACGTCCTCCACGTCCTTCTTGTCGGACTCGTTCAACAGCTCGATGCACTTCACTTTTATGGTCAGGTGATTTTCTAGGGCTAAATGGGCAGCAAGACGCACCGCATGTTGAAGAGACATTTCGGCTCGATCTTCATGGGCCAGGAATTTATACTCTTCCAGGACCGGCTCTCCTGTTAACTTCCTCTTGCTTATGGCATTCGCTTTCAGACCTCGAATTTCGATACCCCCAGCAACGACTGCGTTTAGATTCGGGTACACGTGAACGGTGAAACCTGGAAAAAGAGTCCTTGAAGTCCTACCTCTATCTTCCACGTGAAACTTCTGAGGATAGGGTACTACACGCTGAGGATGAAAAAAATGCCATTGAACCAAAGAAACATTATGTTAATTCGAAGAATAACTTCTTAAGGTGAAGTGAAACACGTCGAGGAACTTGATCGACGTCGATAAAGAAGATTTTTCTAAATGCCTACGTTGCCGACGTTGGTTTTTATATTGACAGCTGGGTCGAATTATATTGTGTATTGTACCAAATGGCATATTCCACTTGTCGTTTTCGTACAATAATTATAAAGAAATCGAAGTAAAACTCCAGAAATCCTCTGGATTCGTGCCTTCTGGGGCCGTAATTGATTGTGGAGGGACCCCCTGCGCCATCTGTGATTTCCAGGTCAATTAAATTTTCACTCCGAGACCTCGTATTACCATCGTTTTAGCAAAGAAGCGCATACAACACTTTTTTTGCCATCTGTGATTTCCAGGTCAATTAAATTTTCACTCCGAGACCTCGTATTACCATCGTTTTAGCAAAGAAGCGCATACAACACTTTTTTTTGCCTTTATCCCGTTCAAATGCGGATTTATCGATTACCAGAGTGTTCTAAATTCTCGTAAAATTGTCCCGACCCTTTCGATTCTCATATCAGAGCCTTCGATAATTGTATATTGATCGAAATATCATAACTCGACGCCATTTTGGTTCTGGTCTGGAATGAGTTAAAAAATTTTGTTGAAAAATCCAAATTTTGAATGTGTCAGGACAATTTTTAGATATAATACCCTTAAAAAAAAGTGTTGTATTCGAATCGACTGATTTGAAGGATGTTTCACTTCACCTTAACGGAAGAAACGTTTATTCGGCTTTATGACGATTCATTTGACCCAACGAGACGTTTCTTTGGTTCGACGAATCTTTTTTTCTTTTCTTCTCGGTGCACCGATGTTCATTACGTCTTACACTTTTCTTCTTCGGTGAAGGCTCGAATTTGATTCAGATGAGTCTTGGTGTCGATCACCAGTTTTTCGATCCCTGTCGGCACGTAAAGGCCTCTCGTGTCCTGTCCTAAAAGCTTCATCTGCAGCATGTTGTCCATGAAGGCGATCCAATTGTTGTTCCAGACAATCTCCCCTCTACTTCCGGTAGTCGTGGCCCTCTTCAAACCTTGGAACAAGCCGCTGTACTGGTACCCACGAAGTCGGAATTCCTTGTAAATGTCCCGGGTCTTCAGATGGTACTCTTCGTCATCTATCGGCTTCATGAATTTAGGATTTAACATCTCTTGGGCGACGTTCGTCGCGGCTCGCACGATTCCGCTGACCACTGCTGCACCACCTTCTACGACCTCGAATCTTCCAGACCCTGATAAAGGGAGATAAAAAATAAATACAGAGACTGATTAGTCATTACCCCCCTCAATAGCCTGGACAGTTAAAAGTATTCCAAAGTTTGAGACACGTGTTCAGAAAATATATATGTTAAACTGCAATATAAAATTACGCTATCCTTTTTCAATATCACGATAAGAACTTATGGTGATATGAAACGGTCATACTATATACATGAAACGTCAAAATATTTATAAATCTTTCCTCCAAACTGGGCGCACCGAATTATATCAAACTTCAGCACGTGGTTACGAAGGCCCTAAGGAAGAACGCGATGCTCGTGAAATTTCATTTTTCCAACCAAATTTCTTTTTCTTTAGCCGAGACTGGAACCAAAATCAGATTCTTTCGTGAGAAATTAAATTTCACGAGCATCGCGCTCTTCCTAAGGACCTCCTTAATCACGTGCTGATGTGTCAAATGATCCGGTGCATTTAGTTTGGAGAAAAGTTTTATAAATATTTCTACGTTTTAAATANATGTGTCAAACGATCCGGTGCATTTAGTTTGGAGAAAAGTTTTATAAATATTTCTACGTTTTAAATATATATAGAATGACCCTATCATTTCGCCTTGCTCGTGAAATTTCATTTTTCCAACAAAATTTCTTTTTCTTTAGCCTAGACTAGAACCAAAATCAGATTCTTTCGTGAGAAATTAAATTTCACGAGCATCGCGCTCTTCCTAAAGACCTCCGTAATTACGTGCTGATGTGTCAAACGATCCGGTGCATTTAGTTTGGAGAAAAGTTTTATAAATATTTCTACGTTTTATATACATATAGAATGACCCTATCATTTCGCCTTAACTCTATGCCTATAAAGGCGTCGAACATTTGGTCCAATATTGCGTGCACGCTCTGATGAATTTCGCCCATATGTCGATAGAGTTCCATACTCAAAGGGTTAATAAGGGTTCTGAAGACCTGCAATACCTTTCTGCACCATCAGCGTGAGTTCCACGTCCCCTTCCTTCGGGATGTTGGTAGCCCTGAGGAACTTAACATCCTCAAAGACAACGGAGACCTCTGTATACAACTCTCCCCTCATCATGCCCACGGTTTCCCATATCAAAGCAAGATATCCAGTAGCAGGTAAGAGGTTCCTCCCACTGATAACATGCCCCGCCATGAACTCGAAATCCTCATCAGCCAAAGTGACTTCGACGATCCTCTCCCCGGAGACGATCTTCTCCTGCATCCTGTAGGACGTGACGTACCAGTCGTCAGAATGTTCCCATTTAATATGCGGCGCGATCATGGGAGTTCCTCGACTAACTGGGAGCTGGACTTCAGGATAAAGTTTCCTCAAGTCTGGCTGGAAGCCCACGTTGAAGAGCTTCCCTATACCCTGAAGAAGCACCTCCACGTTGTCCTTGTGTCCTCGCTGGGTCATCGGGATGTTCATTACGCTCTCTGGCAAGGACCTCCTCAGGATCGCCTGCAGCAGCCCGTGGGGGGCGATCTCGATCGTCGCGGCGTCCTTCGGGATCAGGGCTGAGGTCTCCTCGAAGAGAACCGGGCTCAACAAATTGTTCGTGTGGTATTCCGCAGATGAAAGCCGAGCTTTCGTCGTGTTCCACTGGCTGCGAGGCACGGAGGTGCTAAGCCATTTTGTGCTTCGAGCTTTCGGAGCTGGTATCACCTCCTGGAGATAAGACAGCAGTTTCGGACCCGCCGCTGCTATGTATCGACTGTGATAAGGGATGTTGCTGCAGGGCACCTCCTTCGCGAAGACGCCTTTCGCCTGAAATAATCACACCATCCTGTGAAACTACTGATCGAAGAATTTAATTTAGAATTNCGCTTCTTTGCTAAAACGATGGTAATACGAGGTCTCGGAGTGAAAATTTAATTGACCTGGAAATCACAGATGGCGCAGGGGGTCCCTCCGCAGTCAATTAGCGCCCCAGAAGGCACGAATCCAGAGGATTTCTGGAGTTTTACTTCGATTTCTTTATAATTATTGTACGAAAACGACAGGTGGAATATGCCATTTGGTACGATACACAATATATTTCGACCCAGCTGTCGATATAAAAACGAACGCCGGCAACGTAGGCATTTAGAAAAATCTTCTTTATCGACGTTGATCAAGTTCCTCGACGTGTTTCACTTCACCTTAATAGGCATCATTTTCAAGGTAGTCTACTTTTATGAATTTTCAAGTGAACTTATGGAACCTAATTACCTGTAGCTGGCTGACGAAGGTTTTCATCGACTCCGCAGGTCCACTGATAGTGGCGCTATCAGCAGAATTACGACACGCTATTTCAATATCCGGAGGACACATCTCCCTCAGGGTTTCGTACCCTAGGCCGACAGCAGCCATGGACCCGTGGATAAATTTCGTTTCGATAGAAGCCAAGCCTCGAGAATATGCAGAAAGGATCATCTGCTCAGCCGTAAAGCATCCATCTGCATATGCACATCCCAGCTCTCCGACGGAATGCCCAATTATGCGATCAGGAACAATGCCCAATGACGTCAAGATATCCACCAAACCGATCTAAAAAATTATGACAATGAAAGCCGACCTAAAAAGTCGCAACGAATCGCCCTATTGATTTAATTTCCGAAAATCTACCCCGAGAAAAAAGAAAAAAGAATATTTCACTGAAGCAAATAAACATTTCTCTTAATAGTGCACCAAGAAATCCCATTGAGCCCGAAGAAATATTTCGCCAATTCGCAGAATAATTATTATACTGGATTAAATCGTATGCAAGATTTCCTCGGAATTGCGACAATTTGTTTGAGCTTATTGGAGTGACATGATTACTCTTATAATTATAAAAATATGTCTGGTACTATTTAAAGAAATATTTTTTTGATTCAATGAATCTCTCTTTTTTTTTCTCTATCTCAGGATAAGAGAATCGAGGCCTACTTGGACCGCAGCGATTCCCACGAAGGAGTTCAGGATGTTGTCGAACGTCTTCTTGTCCTTGTTGGTCAGGATGTCGTAGATGTCGACCTTGCGAGGCCTCAGGACGGCGTCGCATTTTTTGATGGCCTCCGCGAAGACCGGAAGTCGCAGCAGAGACTCCCCTGTGGTATAAAAGAAAAATTCAAAAGGAGTGGTTTAATTACTTCCCGAGGGAATGAGGACTCTCAGGACTCTCACCCATCCCGGCCCACTGAGACCCCATCCCGGAAAAGACGAACCAGAGTGGCCGTCTGCTTCCTGGGTAGTGGTCGATGACTTTGATGGGGTTTTTAGCCACTCCATGGGGTGGCATCATCACGAATCCACGGTAAAGATGTCCTGGAATGTCGTGTAGGTGGACGTCGTGCAGAAGCCGGAAGTGCTCAACATCGACGGGCCGACTGAGGATCTATCGGAAATTAAACTGAAGTGACGTTCATTCCCCTCTTACTCCACCGTAGGAATTTTCGGTATCTTCCTTTTAAATGGAATATACAAATGTAATATAAAAGTAAGGCGCAAGAAAAATATAATATGTACGGAGCAATACTCTATAATTAATATCTGTACACAACGTTGTATTATATTTTAACTTACATCTCCTAAGAGAGCTTCCGCAGCTTCCTCGGTGCGACCGGAAATGGCGACGAGTCTGGGCAGATCGTCTTCAGGGGCGCCGCCATTTTTTTTCTCCTTGTCGTTGGATTTCAGCAAAATGTGGGCATTCGCCCCGCCGAATCCGAAGGAGTTTATCCCGACATATCCTCCTTCCCAGGGGGTGGGTTCGGTGATCACCTGGATTTTTCCCTCCTCCAGAGATTTCACCCCCTCCCTAGGTCGCTTATAATGCAGATTCGGCGGAATGTATCCAGACTCCATCGCGATCAGGACCTTAAATTAAAAAATCCCTTGTAAAACATTTTCCAAGTCTCAAAGTAATATGAAAGGGTCATTTTAAACATATATCAAAACGTGAATATATTTATAAAGCTTTTCTCTAAACTGGATGCACAGAATTATCTGGCCTTAAAAAAAAACGCGATGTTCGTGAAATTTCATTTTTCTCAAGAAATGTCTTTTTCCGGTTCTTGTCCTAGATAAATACGCATTGTTTCTTTTCCAGAAATGAAATTCCACGAGCATCGCGTTCCTCCTTAGAGCCTCCGGGATCTCTTGATAAAGTTTCAAATGATTCGGTGCCCCTAATTTGGAGAAAAGTTGTATAAATATTTCGACTTTTTAGTATGTTATATGTGAGACTTTCATATCACCTTAAGGTGACGTGAGCGACATCTGAGGAGTAAACCCTTTACGAAATAGGACGTACCTAATCATTTGAAACTTTACCATAACTAAATTACCCCTTAAGGTGAAGTGAAACACCCTTCAAATCAGTCGATTCGAATACAACACTTTTTTTTAAGGACATTAGACCAAACTGTCCGAAACTTTGACACATCACTCCTGATCATCTAAGAATTGTCCTGACACATTCAAAATTTGGATTTCTCAAACAAATTTTTTAACTCATTCCAGACCAGAATCAAAATGGCGTCGAGCTCTCATATTTCGATCAATATACAATTATCGAAGGCTCTGATATGAGAATCGAAAGGGTCAGGACAAATTTAATTTAGAATTAAATTGGAATTTAATTTAGAATCAAATTGGAATTTAATTTAGAATCAAATTGGAATTTAATTTAGAATTAAATTAGAATTTAATTACTAATCAAGACCCGAGGGGCTAGTCACTAGGACTATCAGTGAAAAGGATTTCCTCCTTTCAGAAGCGATTGTCTTTAATTTCATATGATGAACAACAATGCGATTCGGTCACTTTCAACGATTTCCAGGGACTTGGGATTCCCAGATGATTTCCACGTGATGTCGAGCATTAAAATCCATAATTTCCTGAGTAAATAACCACTCACGAGCTCGTATCTCAGTTTTAACGTTAAGGTGAAGTGAAACATCCTTCAAATCAGTCGATTCGAATGCAACACTTTTTTTTAAGGGTATTAGACCAAATTGTCCGAAACTTTGACACATCACTCCTGATAATCTAAGAATTGTCCTGACACATTGAAAATTTGGATTTTTCAAACAAATTTTTTAACTCATTCCAGACCAGAACCAAAATGGCGTCGAGCTCTCATATTTCGATCAATATACAATTATCGAAGGCTCTGATATGAGAATCGAAAGGGTCAGGACAATTTTACGACAATTTAGAACACTCTGGTAATCGATAAACTCGCATTTGAACGGGATAAAGGCAAAAAAAGTGTTGTATGCGCTTCTATGCTAAAACGATGGGAATACGAGGTCTCGGAGTGAAAATTTAATTGACCTGGAAATCACAGATGGCGCAGGGGGTCCCTCTGCAGTCAATTAGGGCCCCAGAAAGCATGAATCCAGAGGATTTCTGGAGTTTTACTTCGATTTCTTTATAATTATTGTACGAAAACGACAGGTGGAGTATGCCATTTGGTACAATACCCAATATAATTCGACCCAGCTGTCAATATAAAAACGAACGTCGGCAACGTAGGCATTTAGAAAAATCTTCTTTATCGACGTCGATCAAGTTCCTCGACGTGTTTCACTTCACCTTAACTGAATTTCTTATTATTAAGAATAATGATAACGTCGGCGATGACGTTAATAAACAGATAAAAGGGAAATAAATTTAAATCAATCGTTAATACCTTCGCCACGGAGCACAAACCACTCGCAGGCTCCGAGTGACCAAGATTCGACTTTACGGATCCAATCCTCAAAGGAGTTGTGCGATCAGGACAGAAAACCTTCTCCAGGGCGTTCAGTTCTTCAGGATCGCCGACCTTGGTTCCTGTTCCATGGGCTTCAACGTAGGATAGAATACTCGGAGGCAAACCGCACTCGTCGTAGAACTCCTTCAACAAGACTCCCTGCATCACGCTGGAGGGAAATGTGATTCCTTGTTCCTTAAAGCCATCGCAATTAGTCTTCCCGTGAACATAAGTGGCGTAGATTCGCTTAGCATTTTTCGCTTTTTGGAGATAAACCACGGCGACGGTTTCGCTCCGAGTGTATCCATTGGCATCGGCGTCGAAGGACTTGCATCGTCCATCAGGTGACAATACACCTGTAACATGTCGCAAATGTTTTATCTACATGATGTCACGCCAACGCTGAGAAAATAAAAAATCCATTCTACCGAAAAAATATTTTTCCCATTAAAAGAATAATTATTTCACTCGGATAAACTCGACTGAATTCGATGCAACGTATCTTCGGAAGATGGCAATTCATATTTGGGTTTATTTCGGTTAAGGTGAAGTGAACCATCCTTCAAATCAGTCGATTCGAATACAACACTTTTTTTTAAGGGTATTAGACCAAACTGTCCGAAACTTTGACACATCACTCCTGATCATCTAAGAATTGTCCTGACACATTCAAAATTTAGATTTTTCAAAACAATTTTTTAACTGTCCAGACCAGAACCAAAATGGCGTCGAGCTCTCATATTTCGATCAATATAAAATTATCGAAGGCTCTGATATGAGAATCGAAAGGGTCAGGAGAATTTTACGACAATTTAGAACACTCTGGTAATCGATAAACTCGCATTTCAACGGGATAAAGGCAAAAAAAGTGTTGTATGCGCTTCGTTGCTAAAACGATGGGAATACGAGGTCTCGGAGTGAAAATTTAATTGACCTGGAAATCACAGATGGCGCAGGGGTCCCTCCGCAGTCAATTAGGGCCCCAGAAGGCACGAATTCAGAGGATTTCTGGAGTTTTACTTCGATTTCTTTATAATTATGGTACGAAAGCGACAGGTGGAATATGCCATTTGGTACAATACCCAATATAATTCGACCCAGCTGTCAATATAAAAACCAACGTCGGCAACGTAGGCATTTAGAAAAATCTTCTTTATCGACGTCGATCAAGTTCCTCGACGTGTTTCACTTCACCTTAACTGGGGAAATATTTCATCGGTTCGATGAAATTTCTTTCGCGGGGTAGAATTATTTGTCTACGCTTTGAAGGAATCTATGGAAGGCTTTTACCTAAACGCGAGAACTGCAGGGACACGTAAGGGTGAAGACACAGATTCGCTCCTCCAACAATGGCGGCGTCGCATTGTCCGCTTTTTATCGCCCTGTAGGCATGCTCCATGGCGAAAAGACTGGAGCTACATGCCGAATCCACTGTATAACTAGGTCCATTAATTCCTAGCCAATAGGAGATCCTGTTCGCCAACATGGCTCTGCTGCACCCTGTGATGCCGAATCCATTAACCTGCCGAAAAAGTATCTAACATGAATGCAGAAATAATATCAAATAGTATTTGGCATTATTCTATGTTCGACTAACGTTTATAAATTTATTCCTGAAGTTTACATTAAAAATGCGAACGGAAAGAATTTCGAAAAAAAAAATGTTTACACGCAAAGCGTGGCGAGTAACCCCTTAATCCTACTCGTGTAATTTAGGCACAAGGGTGAAACAATTTTAGGTGAACAAATTTACTTCCTTGAATTAAATCTATTAATATTCAGCAATAATTCCGGACCTGTAGCTTCTCGTAGAACCAAGTTTTCTCAGACTCGGAAAAGCACGCGCCGATGAAAACTCCGGTTTTGGTTCCCCTTAATGATCGAGGGTTGATTCCAGCATCTATAATGGCCTCATAAGTGTGTTCCAAAATCATCCTGCACATGGGGTCCATGGTATGTGCTTGCTTGAAGTGCACCCCGAAGAAGACGGCGTCGAATTTTTCCACATTGTTAATTTTCCCGGTACGTTGGGGGATTTCAGGGTGATCTGGAAATCGAACAATTGGTTATTGACCGTGACATCTTTTCTGCGCAATTCCCCCCAACAAAGACGTGGTCGTATCGTGAGAATAATCGAAAGGTCGCATGTATTATTAATAAGTAACTTGTTGACTCAAAGGTCCGACAACAATCGGCAGACGGACAAATCACGGTTACCTCGATAATTTATTGCATTACGTAAACAATTAGACGCACCGAATCGACGTTAATTAATTATAATATTCGTTCCATAAAATGAAAAGCTTCCAATGTTTACCTAAGACCCTGAACTGTTAAGGTGTAAGCCCTCTAAAGCTAATAATATTAAAAAAGAAAAGTAAACCCAGTAGAACAATGCTTGGCGTTAAGAAACGTCGAGGCCCATGACCTTGTCTGAGATATTAATAATTTTAAATCATTTCTCCCGATTTAACAATTCCTACAATTTCCCATTTCACAGTCAGAGTCGTCTCGGAGCAATAATTAGCACAAGGAAAACCCGCGACGAGTCAAGATAGTTATAAAAAGTCTCAGTTGAAAATTCCAATGGCACTATAAATTGCGATCGAAGGCCGCCATCTTGGAATCAGGCGTCGCCAAGGAATTCCAAGTTCCAAAGGTGCATCAGAGGAAGTACCTAATTTCCACCTGCGATCGTCGTCGGTAACCAGGTCCACCTTGTTCATGAGATTCTCCCAGAAGTGCATCATGTTGTTGGACTCCGGAAAACGACCGGAAATCCCAGAAATGACGAGTTCCTCTCCGGGCTCGGGGGCGGCCATCTTGAATCCGTTGCACGTGGCGTCTGTCTCCGTTTTAGTCCTCATGCTGGGCCGGTGCGGTTTTCCGCCGGGAATTTCACTGTTTACGACTTAGTTCACTATGGCACCATGCGTAAAAATTCACCGCGATTGGTAACGAAGGGAAGGGGGAACAATCGGGCCTCGCGAAATGTCTCAGCAGACTCTGAAGAGGACTGAGAATCGGCCAAGTCGAAACGACCTCTTATAACCGGCAGCCCCACTGGCGCGCCTCGTCGCTCGTTAATTTCCTTTAAACTTATTTAAATGGAAATTAAGTTTCAGCTCGACCTTTCTGTAACCGCGTTTCCGATTAAGTATGCGCGCATGCGAGGGGGCTTTGAATTTTACGAACGGGCGCGAAGTCTCGGCCGACAGTGTTGCACTATTTCGTTCGCGTCCCCTCCGAGGAAACGAGAGAAAGAATAAAACACCCGTCTCGGCCGACCGTGAGAACGTCCGGCGATTATTTTCCGCGTCCCTTCCTTGTCTGTTGCAAATGATTGGTATCACGGAACCGACTTCTCTTCGTTCTAACGCGCATGCCATGTTTTAGAAGCGGACGTGGAGGGAAACCGCGCTCCGCCATCTTGGATTAGGGGATAGAAACATAACACGGATTAATGCAAACAAAACGTCGGTAATCGACGTCCCTCTCTCGAAATAAGTATCTAAGGACCTCCTGAGAGTATTTAACGATCATTTTCCATAGAATCGACATTCCGTTCTAATGCGCGCGTCTTATCTTCGAAGCGGGAGAGGTGGATGACCACGCACCGCCATATTGGATTCATGGAGTTGAAGAAAATACAGGAAATCGATGTCCGCCTCTTAAAACAGGCACATGAGGACTTTCCGAAACCGTTTCACGAATACGACAAAACAACTGAATATTCCGCCCCTGAAAATGAGCCGCCAAATTACGAGGAGGAAGCAAACACGATTTCTTTCAGCCGGAATGATGCAACACGCCCGCGTCAGAATTATTACATTCTTAAAAAGTTCCGTCCCGTGATACGATTAAATGAATATATATGGGTCGTACACGTGAAATAATAATGCCAGGAGTATGAAACAATCGAGTCGAAATGTAATATGTATGTAGGCTTATATTTAAGCAGACGCCATCGCGACATTGAACGCCATCGAAGCAAGAAAAAAGAAAAAAGAATATATGAGTTCACTGTCTGTCCTGCACCTTCGTTCTTCGCATATTAACTCGCCGATTAATGGATGAAACCACGACCGAGAGTTAAATGTCAAAGGCAAATGTTTAACCAGATTTGTATTACAGGCCGACGCGGCGGAAAGCTTCCTTTCTAAAAGTAAAAAAAAATACATACATCAAATAAATTTCGTTAATAAAAATGTACATTGAATCCAAAAGAAATTTGATTATTCGAATTTGAGAAAAAAAAAAGACAAGAATCACCAAAATTTACAGCAAATTCGGACGCCACTTTACCACGTGTTGTACCTCCGCGCATAAAATCGATTACACGTAAAATAAATCCTCTCAAAGTCAGAAGGAATTAATTTGCAAGCGATAGTAAGGCCTGAATAGACGCAGCTTGTTTCCGAAAGTTCGATCGTCATTCAATGAATAATCGTAAGTCCCATTCTGGATTAAGTAAGGATTAGGACATTGAACTTGGGCATAATACGATACTACATACATCGATTCCTACAACCACCTGTAAATTTAGAACCTCAGATCATACTAATTAAAAAATAAATAAATAAATAAATAAGACGTAATTTTCTACGATGAATAAAAATGTATGAAACTGCCCCAAATTTACAGGGAATTAATTTACTACTGTAAAATGCTACAACTTAAATCGATCAGCTCTGCTTTTAATCTATTATTATTATTGTACTTTTAATATGCAGCGAACCTCGATTTCTTCGATTCTTTCTGCAACTCGCTTAATGCAGATTAAAAATAAAAGAGATTCCGAAACTGGAGCGCGTAAATTCTCAAGCTGCATTGAATGTTAATCGGTCAAAGCTTGTTTAAAAAACTGGACTATCGTTTATAGGGCGTAAAATTTGTTGACAACAATCTCCGGATTAGGGCAATGAACCGGGTAAACGGCACAATATTTCGGTGTTCTTTGTCCGTGAATACCCGTAAAAAAAAATGCAGTCCTGCGATTCTTAATGAATATGCAAGGAGTGTGGCAACGCGACCTGTGTCAGGGGTTGCCGGATGTGGCATTGATTAGCATAACACGTGCATACATTAGTGATTGTTACGTATAAAGTATACTGGGTATAAAGCGACTGTTTAAACGTTCACTTCGTATCGGCGACACTATCCTAATTTAAAACTAGAGATCATTACATACAGTTCTAGTGTCGAGTTAGGACATAAATGCAATGTGTGCATCGAATGTTAAGGACGTATCGGAGGAATAATAAAAATAAAGAATGAACCCTCCTTCGCAGAGAAATAAAAAAATTTCTCATCGAACCAAGGAAATATTTCTTTGAATAGTACCAAAGAAATATTTCATTATCAATAATATCTCGACACATCGAATGAAAAGCTCTCTTCTGCTTCGTCGACTTTATTAACCCCGACGACGCGTCGTCGGGAGGCCGTGAAAAATGACAAAAGTATAAAACGTGTAAGAACGTCGAAAATATATTATTTATCTCGCATAGTTTCCGGTGAGAGGCACCGTCCAGCCGATTCGTAATAACTAATTACAATATCAATACGCCAGGGCGAAAAATACAGATCTCCACGTGGAAGATAAAAGTATATCTTCGCATACCCTCGACGAACACAGGTAAACTGACCTCCTCCATTGTCTTTACAGTTATCACTAGATTACGGAAGGTAGAACTAAAAATATACACGAAATGGATGAGCCCGTTTCTCCTTTAAATGCGAGGGATCTCCTCTCAGGAGTCTAAAGATACGGCAAGAAGAAATGTCCAGGAGTTCTGAGACCACCTCTACATAACGCGTGTAAATAAACAGAAAATAAGGAATTTCTTGGATCCCATTACGTGGGAAATACTTGTCGAGCCTCTTGTACCAATTGAAAATTGGCGGAGGAACTTTCCTCCCGGTTCCCACACTTAAGTTAAATAAATATTCAGTGTTTCGCAAAATGTACCCTTTTGCCTTGGCCATCCAGCGCTTCCATCAAGCTCGAGGTGAAACTGAACTCTGAGCTGCTGTCGTCTTCCTGAGCCCTGAAACCGCGTTGCAGTCGATGAGTACATAGAGATTTTACCCTAACCAGGCAGAATATAAAGTATTTGTAATGTACAGGGTATCCAGGCTGCCCAAACTGTCGTCCAAGTTGGACGTAGGAGGCCCCTCGACTTTCAGCACTTCCAGGATATTATTCATAGCGGAGACGTAAATTCCCCTAGGACCAGCCAGTCCCAAAAATCTAGGATTGTTCAGGTCTATCAGAATCCTTTCAGGGTCCCTAGACTCCGACTTGTACGTATCCTGGGTTAACTTGACGATCTCCACAGAAGAGAAGTGAACGATGAACAGGTACGGTCTCCGGAAAGCTGTAAAAATTAAATTTCCTCCGTTACTCAAATATTAACTTACAATTTGTGGTTACTAGTTCAACATCCCCGCGCCTCCTCCTTTAACCATTAATACTTTACACATTGGATTACACCGAAGAGACAAGTACACAGGCTGGATAAAAATCACGCTACGTAGTACTTGGATTGTTTGAAAAAAAAGAAAAAAAAAATCCTACTTTTTTAAATACAAAATCAGTGGATTAAAATCGTGATTTTAATCAGATGAATTAAACCAACTCAACCCTGCAAGTGATACTCTACGTACCGAAGGCAAAAGGCAAGTGACTCCATGTGGGATCAATGTTCCGTGTCCTTTGTCCACTTTCATTGACAAACACGCCGAATTCATTGTAGCACAACAATAGTTCGACCGAATTCGACGTTAAGGAGACATTTAACACGCAAACTGGGAATATTCCAAGTCTTGCAACACCGGTTATGGCAGCCTTCACCGAGCTGTCGTCCTCGTCAGGAAATTCTGCATGAAACGTCAAAAGTGATAAACATTATTCTACCACGCTACGGAATTATAAATAAATATTGAAGTCATAAGTAAAACACATCGTTGGATAAAACGATCCCAGGAATTTATTTTCGCAATCTAAAGTAAACCGAAGACCTGCCTGAGGTGCCGTTTATAGCATATCTACATCAATTGGATATTATCATTATAAACATGCATTTTTTATGCTCACCGTCGATGCAGTAGTTTTTCAAGTCGATCTGGAAGAATTTGTTGCATCCAACGATGACAACGTTATCCGTGAATATGGCACAGCTGCAGGGTTCCTGGGTCTCCAGTTCACGCACTGCAATGAACTCGCCGGAATCCTGGCTGGTCATCCACTTCAACAATCTGTAAATGACATTAATTGAAACCTAGACTTAGATGCTTAAGGTGAAGTGAAACACGTCGAGGAACTTGATCGACGTCGATAAAGAAGATTTTTCCAAATGCCTACGTTGCCGACGTTGGTTTTTATATTGACAGCTGGGTCGAATTATATTGGGTATTGTACCAAATGGCATATTCCAACCATCGCTTCCGTACAATAATTATAAAGAAATCGAAGTAAAACTCCAGAAATCCTCTGGATTCGTGCCTTCTGGGGCCCTAATTGACTGCGGAGGGACCTCTGCGCCATCTGTGATTTCCAGGTCAATTAAATTTTCACTCCGAGACCTCGTATTACCATCGTTTTAGCATAGAAGCGCATACAACACTTTTTTTGCCCTTATCCCGTTCAAATGTGAGTTTATCGATTACCAGAGTGTTCTAAATTGTCGTAAAATTGTCCTGACCCTTTCGATTCTCATGTCAGAGCCTTCGATAATTGTATACTGATCGAAATATGAGAGATCGACGCCATTTTGGTTCTGGTCTGGGCTGAGTTAAAAAATTCTTTTGAAAAATCCAAATTTTGAATGTGTCAGGACAATTCTTAGATGATCAGGAGTGACGTGTCAAAGTTTCGGACAGTTTGGTCTAATACCCTTAAAAAAAAGTGTTGTATTCGAATCGACTGATCTGAAGGGTATTTCACTTCACCTTAAGGCGATGTGAAAGTGCCGTCAAAGAGGTCGCGTTTATGAAACTTACCTCCGAACCGGGTACACCGAATCGCTTTAAACCTTACAGCGTGAATATAGAGGCTATAAGGAAAGTCCTGACGCTCATAAAATTCCAATTTATTTAAATTTTGATGTATAGGCTTTGACAAAAATATCTTAATAAAAATGAAATTTCATTGGTGACAGGACCTTCCTTATAGCCTTCATATCCGCATTATCAAATTTTAAACACACAAACACAGTCTCACGAGCGAGACCTCTTTGACGCCGCTTTCTTGTCACCTAAAAACCTTGATATACTCCATTGAAATAAATAATCATCTTACATAACGTGCGTCGCAGTTGCGGCACACAGCATGTCTCCTTGTACCTGGTACAGGTGGCAACTCTCGTTACCAGTAAGAATAGGCTGCGTACTTATAGCAGGTCTCGAGCAAGCGGCAGCCAGTGCGTTACTTTTCAGAAGTCTCAAATCGCAGGAAACGAGGAGTCGATCCTGTCCAGCGATCATCAGCGCCAAACTCAGCTGAGGATGCAGAGAAAGTTGGTGGACCCTTTTGACTCCTCGAATCGCGGTCAAAGTCTGGGACTGCGACCCTTTGTATGAAAATAATCCCTCCTCAGCGCCCAGCAGAAGAACACCCTCCTGCTCCAACTCCACCACGCAGTTCAGGTCCACCTGAGAAGAAACAAAATGGCATGAGTCACTCCGAAATGTACAAAGACTTTAAAGTCACGTACTCGTTCATGGATATTTTTCCGGCAGAACGTAACATAGCAACATTTGTTTTCAGTGTACATTTATAAATGTAAATCGAAATTCTAAAATTACAAATCCACATAGAAGATTCTGAGTGTATAAATTTACCCACCAAAATTCTACATCTATAAATTTACATATAAATTCTAAATTTATAGACAAATAGTGGTAATATTTTGTTAAAATCTCACGGACTATCGGATTTTCTAGGCTCGATAAATTCAATTACGGAGGTTATTACGGTTAAAATGAGTTCAACTCACTCGGTGTTTGTCTAGCCTGAGTACGGTCTGATATTTTTCATATCTAGCAGGCTTCTCCGGTGCGTCCTGACGAGTGACCGCCCTCAAAGTCTTCAGCCAATTCTTCTTGTCAGCCTGACTCAAGGTCATGATGTCTAGCCTCGAAGAGGGCCAACAAGTCGTGGAGGAGATAGGTTCCACCCTGAGGACGAACGGCAAGTCCGACTTCGCGGTCCCATTTACATCGGTTTGGTGGAGCGTCTCGATGACCTTGAAGCCGCCGCTTTCGTCGAGATCTAATCTGCTCATCGGTGCCATCCCGGAGCTCGGTTGATGCTCGTAAATACTTAAAGAAGAACCTTCCAGGCGAAGGTACTTCCTCTCCCAACAAGCCTTCGCTCGACCTGGTACCTTGACCCAGCCCTCCATCGAGACCTTCCCCGTGCAGTCCTTCGATTTAACATCGGACTCCACCTGTAAGAAAATGGACCATTACCTTCCGATAACAAAATTAGCCTCCAAGGCATCAAATTATCTATAAAGCTACCATTCAAACAGAGTGCATCGAATCGTTCTCAAACTTTCCCGCGTGACTATGGAAGCATCAAGGCCTTAAGGTGAAGTGAAACACGTCGAGGAACTTGATCGACGTCGATAAAGAAAATTTTACTAAATGCCTACGTTGCCGACGTTCGTTTTTATATTCACAGCTGGGTCGATTTATATTGTGTATTGTACCAAATGGCATACTCCACCTGTCGTTTTCGTACAATAATTATAAAGAAATCGAAGTAAGGCTCCAGAAATCCTCTGGATTCGTGCCTTCTGGGGCCCTAATTGACTGCGGAGGGACCCCCTGCGCCATCTGTGATTTCCAGGTCAATTAAATTTTCACTCCGAGACCTCGTATTACCATCGTTTTAGCAAAGAAGCGCATACAACACTTTTTTTGCCTTTATCCCGTTCAAATGCGAGTTTATCGACTACAAGAGTGTTCTAAATTGTCGTAAAATTGTCCTGACCCTTTCGATTCTTATATCAGAGCCTTCGATAATTGTATATTGATCGAAATATCAGAGCTCGACGCCATTTTGGTTCTGGTCTGGACAGTTAAAAAATTTGTTTGAAAAATCTAAATTTTGAATGTGTCAGGACAATTCTTAGATGATCAGGAGTGATGTGCCAAAGTTTCGGACAGTTTGGTCTAATGTCCTTAAAAAAAAGTGTTGTATTCGAATCGACTGATTTGAAGGATGTTTCACTTCACCTTGACCCAGTAAATTGCATTAAAAAAGAAAAATATCTCACTTATCCCAGACTAGAACCAAGATGGCGTCGTCAGCTGGTATTTCTATTTTACGTATTTTGCAAGAGCTTAGACTTAAAAACGAAGACCTTCAGGACCCAGGTTTAATAATTTGGAAGACTAGTAACCGAAGTTCCAGATTCACGTGAGAAATATCGAGAAAAGCATTCATAAACGCGGACAGTGAAATTCTCGATCATCCCAAACAGGTGGAGGGAATTGCTTCGTACGATCGGATTTTTTTGTCGATTAAATTTCTCGCCTGGTTTCACCCTCAATGATCATAACGATCATAAAAATCACAGCGATTATAATTAACAATCAGCTTAACGACCATAATGGTTATAGATAACGATCGTAAATAATGTATGTACCGCATCCGGCTTATCAGGCTGATCGAGAGCCAGCGTCTGCACGCTGTCGGCCAAGCTGGAGATACTCTCGTTGCTGAGTTTCCAGGTCTTAGCGAAATGTTCAGCGAATCCCCCAGGAAGTCCACAGGTGGCGGGGACATTCGGCGAGCACTTAAGGTGCGTCATAATCTGGCATTCGCTGCAAATAGCGGCGCGTTTGCCGAACTGAATGGACTCGGAGCAAGCTGCGCACTTTCCAGCGCGCATCGGGAGGCTGACATTAAACCTGTGAGGAATATTATGTCGCATCCTATGAACGGAAGGTCGCCTGGTCATGGTTTCGGTCGGGGACTCCGGGAGATAACTCAAGGCGTTCTTTGTCTCGGGGCTGGCAGGGCAAGAAGGAATCGGAGCGGTCGCCTGGGCAGCTTTAAGGATCAGCAGCTGTTCCGTCAACGCCTTCACCTTCGCCCTCTCCTTGGCCAGCTGGTTCTCCAGCTCCCTGTACCCCACGGGCAAGCCGGTGGTAACCGGAGGCACGTTCTCCTTCTGCTTGGACCCGAAGATCTTGTCGCAGACGGTCTTCTTCTTCTTGGTGATCTCCTCCAGCTTGGACTGGAGGTAGTCTATCAGCTTGGTCTGCTGTTGGCGGGTGCCCTCAGCCTTGACCTCCCTCTCCTGGTAGAACTGTCTCATCTCTTCCAGGACGCTCTCCAGCTCGGAGATCCTGGCCCTGAGCTCCTGGCTCAGGTCGACGTTGGCTTGCAGATCCGCCATCAGGCCAAAATTCGCCTCCTTTAAAGTGATATGAAAGGATTAACCTAAATACATCTGAAAGGTCAAATCGTCCGTGAAAGTATTCTCTGAATTTGGTGTACCGATTCAATTTAAATTTCAGGACCTACCTCGAACGAGTTAGAATACCATAAAAATATTATAGAGTCAGATGGGAAAATATGGTAAATACTTTCACCAACGATCGCAAGAGAATGCCGGCTTGTCTGGTGGCTAACACGTTTTTAGAGCAATTTAGTTGCAGCTAAACGTCGCAGATGGCGCCGTTGGACATACGAAACGCCTCATTTCGTATAATTCTCAATGTAGAGTGAAACAGACTTCAGCATAAATATAAATGTCGATAACGTGGCGCGCTAACTTATGTTGCCACTTGTGTATCCAAAATAGCGTTACCACCAAACAAGGTATAGATGAATTATATTTTTTCGACGTCGATTAAATTTCGCCTTTCGTATCACCTTTAATTCGTGGAGCCTGGTCAAGTGCTGAGTACTCTCTTCCTTGACGATCCTGGACTCCGCCCTGGCCGTCTCCAGGGCTCGCTGCGTCTCGGAGAGGTCGCACTCCAGCTCGCCACATTTCGCAGTCAGTTCCGCAACCTGCTTGCTCAGTTCCTGGGTGAGTTTCTTGTACTGGTCTCTCTGGTTCATCAGGCCATCCCGCTCGCCTTCGATGTCGCTCGTTTCCGACTCCAGCCTTTCTATCGCTCGCTCAGCTATCAACCGCAGCGTCTTCTCCTCGTTCTGGGCGACCTTTGCTTCCCTCAACTTCAGCTCCACCGCTTCCAGATCCTTCTGGAGCTTCATCTTGTCCTGGATCAACGTGTTCTCCCGCGTCTCATGGTCGCTCGTCAGTCTTTCATAATCTGTGAGCTGCTCCTCGAGAACCGTGCAGGTCTCCTTCAGCAACTCAATGTTCACCTCGTAGCCCTTTGCCTCTTGCTCCAGCTTCTCGACCCTCGACTCCAAATCGGATTTCTCCTCGTTGCGTCTCGCTATCGTAGAATTCAACCGCTTGTTCTCGGCATTCAAGCTGTCCACGCAATCCTGACTTGTCCGGAGCTGTTTGCGAGTCGCGTCCAGCTCTCTGCGAAGAGACGCGCTGGAGGACTGCAACTCCTCTATCTGTTTGTTGATCTGGGTCAGTGCCTGTTGTTTAAGAGAAACGTGAAGTTACTAAAGATAACACGAAGAGACGAGTTGAAGGAACCGCGAGGAAGAGGAGTTTTTACCTTCTGAGCAGACTCGGCTTGCGATTTGTACCTAGACGACTCCTTGGTGACCTCAACCAACGACGCTTTCGCGCTGTCCAGCTCCTTGAGGAGTTTCTTTGATCGCTCCTCTTCACTCTTGATTTTATTATTCAGCTGCTCCGATAATTTCTGCTTCTCCTCCTGCAGCGTCTTCGCCTTCTCCTCGGCTGTTTTGGCCTCCCTTAGGGCGATCCTCTTATCCAGATTCGCGTCAGACACTTCCTTCTCCTTCTTCCAGAGATTACTCTGAGCCTGTTTGGCAGCTTGCCGCTCGGCCGCTGCGTTTTCCCTGGATGTTTCCAACTGCTGCTCCAGCTTTTTGATCTGCTGCTCCAAGAATGCCGTCTTATCAGCGATTTCCTTCTGATTGGAGTGCCTACTCGAACTGGGCCGTGCCTTGTCAGACTGTTTCAAACTCGCGTTTTCGGCTTCGAGCTTAGACACGCTTTGTTCAAGGCGTCGTAACAATTCTTCCAAGTCTCCAACTTTACGGAGCTGCTCCTCTGCGATAATAAAAAATAGTACAAGTAATTTACAATCTGCATGTGTATCACCCAGCGATTCAATTTAACCCTTCGTCAATATACAGCATCTTAACCCGTGTGGTAGATTATAAATATGTTTATCTGCGGTGAGAAAAATTAAGGAATATATAGAATACCTTCTTTATCGAGGGAACGTTGCAATCTTTGTTGTAAAACAGTCCGGTCCATTGTTGCTTGCTCCAAATTCAAAGCGAGGCTTTCACTGTGCTCTAGATTTGACATGGTCTCACTGAGGTCTGATTTGGCAGCCTGCATAAATCACAAAGAGATGTTATTTGATTTTCATTGAAGATATAACCTAGCTAACATAGAATCACTTTTAATTATAAACTGTAACCTACGTCTAATTGTTCCTTCAAGTTTGTATTTTCGAGTTTCAGTCTGTCGATTTGTTCCTGAAGAGTCATGACTGTTTGCTCTGCCACGCTGGCACAGTCCAGCTGTTTCGATCTCTCTTTCAACTGGTTCCTCAAAGTTTCTATTTCACCCTCCCGAACTGGAATTGTAGCTTGCAGGCTACGCAGCTGTTCCTGACAGTCCTTCAGTTCACTCTGCGATAGTTCAAAAGCGACATTGAGTCTTGACTGGCGACAGTGATTCGAATCTTGCTCATTGCGTAGCTTCGTCTCCAAATCAGCATTCTTCGCCATCTCCAACTCCAACTTGGCTCGTAACTCAGCCAGCTGATTGTGGGAACGACAAGCAATTTCTTCGAGCTTGCTTTCCACTCCTTGAACACTTTGCCGACTGAGTTCCCTTGTTTTCGCTAGCGATTCTTTATATTGTACCTGCATACGAGAAAAATTATTAGAAAATATAAAAAATATAATACGTTTATCAGCTGTTGGTATTGTTCGCTGTAAAACAAAAGCACTTAACTAACCTGGAATACTCTCAATTTGTGTAGTTCCGCATTAGCAGTCTCGAGTTCACACTCTGCTCGTTGGAGACGAGAACTCATTTCGTTATTGCTAGTACACAATTCCGTGATCCTTACTGTCTGCGCCTCTAAATGTTTATTTAGTTGAGCAATCTTCTCTTTCTCCGCAGTCTCCCATTTTCTTTTCGCTCCTTTTATTAAATCAAGCGCCCGAGTCTCCAGCTCTCTTCTTTCCTGCCGCTCCAATTCTGTGGATGAGCAATAATCAGAACACCTTATATTCTAATTCATAAAAAATTAATGTACGATACCAAGACGTTTGAAACTTTTACACTTGAGAAAGAAAACAGCCATCGATCACAATTCTTACCTAAAGTTCTCTTGACTCCAGCTAAATCCGACCTTGCCGAAGCCAGTTCTCGCTCCAGCCGGTCCCTTTCTTTATTGGAAGCCTCTAGTCGCTTCGACTTCTCATCCAATCGACACTCCAGAGTGCTGGTCACTTTAGAACTAACGCTAGACTTGTCTTGAAGTTCGAGCATTTTCTTTTGATGTTCCTGAAGCTCCCTCTTCTTGTTCTCCAGCTGAACCTCCAGTTCGACCTTCTCCTTCGACACCTTCTCATACTGAGTCGACATCTGCTTTACGAAAGTGAATCCAACAAAAGGTAAATTCCTACCAGAAAAATCTTTGGATGTGTGATGGAACTCCAAACTCGGAGAACGCGAATCCGACGTGTCGACAGGCATAAAGTTTGAAGTATCGTCAGCACTGCTGACCAAAGGCACTATTGGCGGAGCCTTATTCCTAATATTACTCCAATTGATATTGGAGAAAAATGAATGTTGCAATATCTGTTCATGAGTCAATCTTGCGTTGGCATCTTCCAGTAAACGTCGCACAAAATTCCTGAACGTTGTGCTCCCACTTTCAGGGAAAGCCAAGTTTTTCTTGTGGTTCATTATATTACAGTACGTTTCCAGTAACTGATCCCCAGCGAAAGGAGTTCTTCCATAAACCATTTCGAACGCTATGATACCAAGAGACCAAAAATCGCATTCCTTGCCATATGAAGACAGTCTCTTATTTTTGGAAGCACCTTCCATAGAGCGCAATACCTCAGGGGCAATATATTCCGGAGTTCCCACTGGCATCTGGCTCGAAATTAAACCCTGGTTGCCCAGTTTAGCAGCGGAACCGAAATCAGCAAGTTTTACATGACCAAGCCTGTCCAGGAGAACATTTTCAGGCTTTACGTCACGATGCGCATACCCCATTAGATGCAAAGCATGTATAGCTAAAGTCAACTCTGCTAAATAAAATCGGGACATGTCTTCTCCCAAGGAACCATCGTTTCTATCTAGCAGAGCTGCGAGATCACCTCCGGGATGAAACTCCATAACCAAGTAAAGAGTGTTATTATCTTGGAAGGCATATTGTAGCTTAGTGAGCCACGACGACATTGCTTCGGCCATTATGTTGCGCTCTTCCTCGTATAAAGCAAAAGTATCCTGTTTCAAAGCTTCGATCTTCCGCAGAGTCTTCATTGCATAAATATCTCCCGTTTGTTTCTCCCTAACCAATTGTACTTCTCCGAAATGACCCCTACCGATTAACTTCTTCACTTCAAAATCGGAAAGATTAACTCGGAGTCTGCGTATCTCAGCCATCACGTGTTCATCTATAAGCAAGAAAAACATGTAATTGTTGAATTCCTACATGCAATTATTGCTACGTTTAACTACTGCATTCATGAAAGTCAATAATTTCTCAAGTTTCATGACTCTTGATTTTTCATCTTCAGTTCGATATGATTATAATTCGGAATAAATTTTGACGATTTCATTTTTTTGGGGCAAAAGGAACGATGACAAAGAACATTTAGTCTCTCCTGGGCCTCTTTGTAAACACCTACGTATTAATTTATCATGTTCGCAATACTTATGATGTATAGGAAATACTACAGTAATCGTAGCAAGCGAACGGAATGAGATAGAGTGGGCAGAACGAGGAAGATAAGATAAAACTTTTTGAGCTCTCACGAAGGGTGAACGCCCTAATAAAACTTACACTTTTCGAGAAACCTCGCAACATTTCTGTCTCTCTTTAGATACTCATTACTGCATTCTTCGTACAAAACCGTGAAAGCATCCAGGAGGCCTTCCCTGACGAGGAGCTTCCCAGTGGTGGTCGTGGAAGATTGCGTCGCAGTTTTGTACAATAACATATTGTTCATTCGTGCAATTCGCACCGCGATAGGTTCTGCCGCCATTTCTATTATTTTTTTATGAACAAACTTTGCATATACGAAAATCAACGCTAACAACGCCGAAGCACTGAGCAGGTATTCGAATCTTTGGAATTAATATTTTTCACAGAAACAAATCCATATTCTGGTGAAATTCTTAAACAAACGTCCGCATTAAGTAGCAAGGCACCTTATATCACCATTTGTTTATACCAAAAGTACATTGTTTATGAACTTTCATCCCTCGAAGGACTTGTTTACGCGTAACGGTCGCGGGTTTGTTCTCCATTTTGTAATTCAAATTGACCCTCGGTCATGAATCAGGAGATCATAGATGGCGAACCGAATTGAGGTTTATAGGTTAGTTCGCCGAAGTAGCGCTGCTTTGAAAGGATGCACAGTGGATAACTTTTAAAAATTAATAATTTTCGTGAGCAGTGGGAAAATGTTTCAGTTATGTATAAAATGGTCGAAGATAAGGAATGCTAATTGTTATTCAGTACTTATTTAGGTTTTAACTTCGGTACTTTATGCAAAAACGTTATAGAATATTGTACGCATTTTCAGGGGTACGATACTTTTTATATATACACATTAATAATCATGCTTTGTGTAAAAGGTTACTTCTTCTTTTTCTTTTCAGTACCGGTTAGAGAAACAGATTGAGACGTTGCCTTTTCGAGAACCACTGGAGGATTTTCCAACTTGAAGATCAAACGATATTTAGGAATACAGGAAACGTGTAAAAGGGCAAGGTTTTGCATGTAAATCGACCAGAACAGCTTGAGGGATAAATTGCATTCCTTTGGGCTGAAAATTTCAGCCTTTTTGGGTGGTTCCTAAAAATTGATATTTTAACATTTATTCAAAACTTTGTTACGATGGATTTTCCTTTCACTGAGGGAAAGCTATAATGATATAGTATTAATGTAAACAGAAAAGATAATTGATGTACTATTTAATTAAATAATGAAATATTATATACTAACTGAGACAGAGTGCAGCAGAACTCCATCGTAGAAGAATTTATAAATTTCAGCAGCAGTTATCCATGGAGATTGCAAAAAGTGACGATGAGTTAGATAAACTAATCCCAGCAGAGCGGAAACTGCTTTACCCGAAAAGCAATTCTTTCTGAAAGAAAAACCTCCTCCATTATAAAATTTCCCTAACTACTTTGAGAATTAGCGATGAATTACTCAGTTAAACGTATGAGTTTTACCTTGAAAAATTAAAGACTTGCCACATCAAACTCACAAATATACGTTTGCTTTTATCTTTGAATTTAATATCACATAACTTTGTTTCTGAAAAATGATTGGGTTACGTAGTAAAAACATCACAACTTTATTCTACTTCGTAATTATTTTTTATAACATAATTACCAAGAAATGAAACAATTTGTGCTTTGTCAGTCTGATATTTTTTCATGAATGAGATGTCTTCCGATGCAATAAAATCCCAAGTACAAAGTCGTGGTACCAATGTAGAATCGTACAGTTGATGTGCTGGATTTTGTGGAGTACGCCATGGACCACATAGATCATCATAGTTCACGGTATAATATATGTAAGGGTCTGAAGCCAATTTTACCGGCAGACATGGAACGTCAATTGAACTAGCCGTAGGCTCGGACAAAGAATCTATTTTAACCTCGTCAATGTGACAATTGAAACCATCCTTATGATTGCCTGCATTCTTCGAATGAATACTATATTTTGTCATATTGCTCGACACAAACTGATATCCTTGATAAAAATAATAAGTAAGAAATATACCATAATTGTAATTAATTTATGAAAGTGAACGTTACCATTAATATTTTGGTATATGTATAAAAAGAACAATTATTTTGATCGATAGTCATTTACTAATTATTTAAGCTATTACTATTATTACCATGGATATAATGATTTCGTTTTGAGGCTGACAAATGGGTGTGTAATTATTTCGTCACTTCAATGCTTATCAAGCGAACTCGCACTAAAATGAACTTAAAAAATGAGCTTTCCTACATTCAGGATTATTTGCAACGGTGCTAAGAATAACCTTTCTCATGAATAATTTCACAGCATTTACATTTAATGCGTTACGAACAGAAACTAAATCAAGTGTCGACACAGACTTACAATGAGAATGCTCTGTACAATTAGAATATTCACAAGTTTATTATTCTTCTCTTTGCATAATCATTCATAACTTATTGTGATTTATCGATAAAATTAATATACAATATATTATAGAATATTAAATGTTATACACGGTATAATCTAACAAAGAAGGTATAATAATTATATAGCAGCAGGAATGCCCTCTACTATTTTACAAGATTTTGCGTGCCAAAAAGTCGTGAATGTATTTTCCATATATTTAAAGGTATCATTATTGTTGTTCTCGTTATCATTATTACTTATTACACAAATCATATAACCTATATGATTTATAATATAATGTATTTATATATATTTATATATTTATAACGAACACCGCCCAGTACTACTAGAATTACAGATGGGAGTTGCCGCCTTAACAGACCTGTCATTCGAGACCGATGGTATCGTCGAATACAAGAGGCATATGTTTTCTGCTGATCATTCATTCAAGCAAACGTTCGTGCTACACAAATCACTTCCCATTTCTTATAGTAGCTTTTTCTTGTGTATATTCCACTCTCAGCGGACACATTCACGATGTAATTATCTTCATTAAATATGGTACATACCTGAAATGAGAAACCTGTCGTTAATCTCACGTTTAAAAAAGTTCTAAACATTTGATTAAACGTTCACAAGTACTTGGAAAGCATCGGAATTAATTCAGGCATTTACATTGAGAGACCGAAGAATATTATAATCTAAAATATTGTCCTATGCCTTGTTTACATATTATGTTTAGTGTGTGTGTGTGTTTTTTTCTTTCGCAGCATATTTACAGCATATCTTTATAAAAGACACAAGCACGAACTTCGGAATATATTATTTTTAAATATTTCACTAACTTTTTTACGTACTGTCGGAGGTCCTTTATTTTTAGCTCCTAGTTAACTGCGGTTTCTAAGAAACCCTCATTGTTGTGACGTGGGAATCAACTATGGAACTAAGCCACTTATGAAGTCCCAAAGGTTTCATTGCTACTTACCTTGATTCTGGTCAAGATGATTATAAATCATATACGAAATGTTTTTGTACAACATAAGTGACTATTTATCGACCTACTCTATTCCTCCTGCGTACTTGTTTTCTTATTTCATTTGCCTCTGTCAAAAAATGTAATGTAAAAAGTGTGCAATTAATTCTCCTCGTCGGAAAGCATTCGGAAGAAAAACAAAAAGACTCTCTAACATACTTACCATGTATGTACTTTTAACAAACCAACTCATCCAACGGAATACATTTAGTACATAAAAATTATATTAACTTCTACTTTTTACTCGACGTCAGATAGGCTTATTATATTTAACGATACTTTATATCTTTAACTCTCGAAACAATTAACCTTTAGAGTTCCTTTAATAACAAGTCAATATATCCCTGAAACGTTTATTCCTTCACAGACAAGATTAAACTTGAAAAGTTATTTACAATTATAAAATTACTGTACTTTGAAACACCATTCTTAGAGGAAATTCATCTAAATGTGTAACAAATAAATCACTATATCTAGAAGCATGGTAATAGACTACATAATCTTTTTTTTTTTCCCTTGAAATACGAGTAAACTGTCAAAGACCGTCACTTACATTTAACAAAAATATACTTTGATGCACGTAATCATACGTTTTGATGTAACACAAAGCAGTATATCATAAATAATTTCAGTGAGGTATGCTTAAATATAGTGTTTAAAATTTCATTGAGATATATTGTTTTTTGCAAAACACCAGGAGGGTTTCTAAAATAAGGTATACTATGTACGTTGAGAGACTTATTGATCGGAATACATAGATTACGACGCAGAAAAGAAAAATGAAGAAACAAACGCAAAAACTGTGGAATCCTCTACTTCTGGGACAAGAAGATAGAAAATAAATGCATGAAAATGCACCGAATTTGCAATTGCGATTAAAAAGAGAAACGAAGAGTAGAGCTAGCAGCGGAAGAAACCATAATTCGTATTTCATTTCATTTGGCCATGTGTCAAAATGTAATCACTCAAAAAGAAACGTACAATCTCATCTAGCTAAAGTTTTTCATTCAATGTTCATAGAGTGGTATGCACCAATTAAATAACTTAACGTTCTAAGTACAATTTCGTAAAAAAAAAAGAGAAGAGTTATTTTCCCAACGTATAGATTTTTTTTATAAAGGTACGCAGTAGCGTTACTTTTAGCTTGCTCCCTCGAAACTATAGTACACGTGTAAACGAACACTAATCTGACTCCAGAATGGATTTATAATTAAAAATAGAATATATATATTTTAATCGTCTACTCTTTCCTTCACTGTCTCGTAATACTAATTTTTTTCTTTTTTTAAACGGTTGCGAGCTAAACTTCATCCCCGAGATGTATAAACACGCAACTATTTCATTCCAACACAGTATCCGCCGTGTAACATATTTTCCTATTATTATAAAATATATATATATGTATGTAAATAATACATAAAGGAAAATACATAGCACATGATTGGATCGAACCACAGGTTCAAACGATCTGACTGACGTATATCAATTATTCTCGATCACCTCTCCGATAATTCCAGGGAAAGTAAATTTAAACATTGCAAAAATATGTACCAACGTAATACGTGTAACACGTACGGATTGGGATAATCACTTGCAGCAATTGCCAGCTGCTGCTTTCTGTCCTTCTGATTCGACTAGCCGACGTCCCTGTCCACTCGTACTCGCGCTTCCTGCTTGTTCATTCTTTGGAAGTTTCTTAGCTGTAACAGAAAATCCATTCCTGAGCCATCGGAGTGATTGGAGGTTATGCAGCCCCTTCGCCACTACCTCATTAAATTAAAAATTCTAAACAGTGTAAATCACAATAACCTAGAAAAACTAGAACGTATCACACACATCTGTCGTGATAAATTGATTTCTATCCGATTGTAACACACTTCTAATTTGAGTTAAATAACTGCCATCCTAACCTATCTAGCATCCACCAAATTCCGACTTCTACGTTCGGTCTAACTTCAAAAATACAAATGATTTTTTTCTTACCGATCGCAAGGAATATGTCATTAACGTTCATGGCGGTTTTGGCAGACGTTTCCATGAAAAGAAGGCCATTTTCTTCAGCATAACTCTGAGCTTCCTCGAAATCCACTACGCGCTGGTTAGCGAGATCTGATTTATTTCCTGCAAGTGCTATCACTATTGCCGGACTGGCTTGCCGTTGCAGTTCTTTCACCCACGTTGTGGCACGTACAAATGTGTCCTGAATGTTTGCAGTTCAACGAATTAAACTTACAGAAAAATTACATGTCGTGAAGTAGTGTTCCGCACTTCTGTCATCGGTGACAGGTTAATGAAAGGAAGGTACGAACCTGATTTGTTATGTCATAAACAACAATTGCTGCCTGTGCACCCCGATAATACATAGGTGCAAGACTGTGGTAACGCTCCTGACCAGCAGTATCCCAAATTTCAAATTTTACGGTCGTGTCATCCAAACATACCGTCTGTGTTAGAAATGCCGCTGTACATGAAACATGAGAATATTCATTAGTTAATTGACACGACTCCGAACTGCACGTCAGCAATTTATAAACTGAAAAACTCACCTCCTATTGTACTCTCTTGATACTCGTGAAACTGACCCTTCACGAACCTCAGTACGAGGCTGGACTTCCCGACAGCAGATTCTCCTAATAATACCAATTTAAACTGACAAATTTTCCCTTGCGTGGAACCATTTGGCCTTTGAGCAGTCATCCGATTAGCCATGATGCCCTAGAAAAATTTTAATTATTTTAATTCTGTGCTTATCGAAGCAATTAAACCTTTTCAACTTTTACACCTTACGTACGCGAAACGATGCGACAAATTAACAAGAAACATCCTAATAATGTATATTTAAATCACTCGCTCGTTACCCTGTCACTTCTAATCATAGAATCTCTATATTTACATTAAAGTCACACGCTTCGATGCACATAAGTTAAACTTTTTAACGAAACCTCTGCCATTCAACTGATAAAGACCTATTTATACTAGAACTGTGTGTTCATCAGATAAGAAATTCATCCATACAGAAACTCCACATACGTAGTGGTGCGCATTGACTAGATACTGCTCGTTTTTGCACTCAATAAAGGTCAACCTTTCTGATACGGTACTGCACAAACAATTAATGTTTTCTCAATATAGCGGACGCGTAAAAATTGATAAGATGGGAAATCAATGAAAATAAAGGAGTTCAAATCAAAAGTGAGTTATTTTCACGACGCTTGGCGATAATTAAAGGGCAGGGAAAAACGATCGAGAGCAAGTAGAGTACGCTAAGCTTATCGGTGTATTCATCTCACGAAACCGAATGAAACTGGATAAACTCAGAGTAGTATCTCTCCGTGGCAAAAAGGGCAATGTTCAAAGGCTCTCGACACTTTTGTTCCACATTTAAATGGGAACGAAATGGCACGTGATATTTTCAAGACCACAGATCCAAGTCAAAATTTGATGGCGTATTAACAATATCGAGTAAACAATAACGAACAATGACCCACTGTGCCCAAAATAAACCAGAACCAGGTCGGCAAGCTCCAGGAAAAGCATCGAACGCTTGTCAATATCCTAGCGATCCGTCTCAATCTATTAATTAATCCACCTGTCATGATAACCATCGCTTTCAAAACCCTTGTAGCTATTTAATCGGACTACCCATCAAAGATACATACAATAAGCACGCAGCAAATAAAAAATATCTATGTCCACAAGACAAGCATTTGTTACATTAAATACTTCACGACGAAATAAATACTGCATGCTTGTCCCATCTGAAAGCGAAGCGCGATCAATTTATTAGGCTACTTGAAAATAATTTCTCTTATACCACGATCATTTGATCTCTCGCTTAAAAAAAATACCACAAAATTTGGGATTGTTCAACGGCACTCGTGAATCAATAACAATCAGCTCCATCTGAAAATGAGGGACGACTATCTCGACGGGCTCTCCAGGGGCAACTTTTTTAGCAGCATAATCTCTCGACACCGGGCTTGCAAAAAATATGGTAAATTTTGGAATGCTTAATCAGCACTCATGAATCGATAACAATCAGTCCCGTCTGAAAATAGGACACGACTAGCCCGACGGGCTCTCCGAGAGCAACATCTCTAGCACAATCTCTCGATACCTGCCTTGCAAAAAAAATTAGAAAATTTGGAATACTTAATCGGTACTCATGAATCAATAACAATCAGTCCTATTCGAAAACGAGGCACAATAATCTCGTCAGGTCTTCCGGGAGGAATTCCACAGTCCTAACACAAGCCCGCGCGTGGACTCGTTCATTCCCTGGAGCGTCGGACTGCCAGAAATTGTACCACGAGGGTGAGCTGTCAGCGTGTCCGCGTGTAGCCCCGTGTCCGCGATAACGGTACACCTCCACTGCGTACTCGGTTCTATCCTCTCTCCTCTCTCCGCGTCCGCCCACAGTGGGCCGAGTCTCGGGAAACGGCGACCCCGTGACAGCTCCCAGGTCAGCGCCGCAGTCGCCGCGCGACGACGCCGACGCGGCCTCCGGACACCTGTCACGGCGGAATCCGGAGCGCGACTCGGGAGATTACCCTCGGAGGGGAGGGCGAGGGAACGAGGGCTCCTTTTCTGGAGCAGCGGATGACACACCGACTCGCGGCGCCGTCCGCGGTGACGCAGCGAGTTCTCGACCTAACCTAGACACGGACGGAGGCGGACACGGCGGACACCAGGCGACACTGGGAGCACTCGGGCACTCGCGGCGACGGCGACGTCGACGGCGACACACACGGCGCGCACTGGTCGCTTCTCTCTCGGCGCCGCCCGCCGCCGGCGCTCGCTCGGCTGGCATGGCGCCTCCCGCACAAAGGATGCCCTTGTCAATTACCAGTTGCTTGCCGAGGAGCCGCGCGGATTACGCTCGAGTTCGCTGCCGCTGGTTCCCTCGAGGATTTCTCCCGATTTCCTCTACGTCTTCCTCTGCTCTCGATCGGCGCACCCTCCGCACTGCTGTCCGTCCATCCCCGCCAACATGGCCGCCCCTGCCCAGCGAGCGCCAATCAGCCAATCGCGTGACGCCGAGATTCAAAATGGCCGCCGTTTCCCGAACGAGGGCCATTAGCGAGGGCGACTTCCGCTGCAGGAGAATGGCGGAGGACGGTTTTCGGTCGTTTAAAAAAACGCCCAGCATGTTCCTGCAGGTTCGCAAAGGATTTCGAGGAATTTAAGGTTTTCTAGCGCTATTGTTCAGCCTGGAACCATGGCGTTATGTTCGAGGCTTCGACGCGTGAGTCGAGTGTTTGGTTCGGGCGAGGTCGCCTTGTCACGTTTCCTTGGAAAAAATAGTCATTCGACCGCAACTTCATGGTATTCTCCTCCAGGTGCGGATGCTGGTCGGAGTTTTCTACTAAATAGCCTGGGAGGAAGTGAAGTTATGGGGCTCGTATGTACATTTTTATTTGCGAACTGAAAGTAGTGGAACGGAAGGGAAGACTCGATTTGATAATTGGCAACAATGGTAATGGTACACTTTATGCGAGTTAACGTGGGTTTACTTGGGAGACTGATTATTGTTTGTTATGAGTAATGTTAATTTTTAGTATATAAATGAATATGAAGAGAGCAAAGCATCGAGATCGTAGTATTGTATAGATTGTAGTCAGTCTTTGGAGCATTTGATTGATGTCCTTTTTATTTATTACAAAGTGTTATCATTAAGGAATTCGACAACTTATTGGTTCTATAGATTCCAGGTAATGGTACCTGATAAAGGTAATGGTTATTTTAGATCAAATCTCAATATTTTCAGTCCAATTTCAGACAGTGTTGCACCGATCTAGAACTAATTTACAATTTCTCCAACACGGAGTATGTTGACATTTATGTTATACATACTGTGAATTAATGGTTTTATCGAGAACTTAATAAAGTACACGTCTGTTAATCACCGCAAATTGTTTACAAATTCTTTTAAAAAAGACCCGTCGATTTAACAAACCAATTAAATAGGATTATAAGATGGTGCTGTAAAGAAGCGAAAAGTGACTACACTCTTCGGTTCCACTGACCTGGCACAAGAAACTTGTCCAAATCAATCGAAGATCTGATTGGTTGCGATGAAATTGTAGAACTTCCGGTATATATGGCGCTATTAACAATAAAAACTTCCCTTAAGTATTTTACGAAAGCTGACGTAAGAAACCTCGAATGTTGCGTCACTGCACAACCCTACTTATTAAAAAAGTATTTTGAAACATGTCTATCTAGTTGAAAGCTTGAACGAAGTTGTGAATTTAGGAACATACCCTGGCTAAATTCATCCACGAACTATGGCGGATATATGAGAAACTGCCTTAATATGTGATCGAATGCCTTGGGAGGGTGAGACGAGTTCGCCGTTTCAGTATAATTTGATTATTAATTTAAAGCGATAGCATTTGAAAAAAAAGTGTCACGACTGCTGCGATCGGTAATTAGATTTGCCTGCATTATCTACAGTTGTACTTGTCTAACATTTGAAAGAAATTCTGCGAGAATATACTTAATATTCTCTATTTTCATTTTGTATACCACTCGGATGCTGTTACTTGACATAAGTTAGCGCATTGTTATCTCGGCTTTATTGTAATTAATCTCTAATGGCATGTCGAGCAAGTAATACTGGAGAATTGATACAGAAATTCCTTTTATTTCTATGAATTCCTCTCTGCGTATCCAGAGTGAGCGTTCGTATCAGCAATCAGTTTCCAGGCTGTGATAAATATTGGTATTTTTAAACATGATAATGACAGAGATCGTTCTCTGCCTTTAAAAATTTCTGCGAGGCGATGCACTCACATTGTGTGATTTCATTCTTGTTTCCTTTATAAGAGTATCTTAACTAATGACAACTGTTATTAGTTTTATAATTTTCAGGCGATGATCTGTGTTAATCGTCATTTCTATTAATCAGAATTTACAGGAAATGTCTTTTGATAAGATTTTCACTGTATTAATGTTATCTTTCGATAATACAATAGGCAGGTGTGTCGACGGAAGTATATTTTACCACATTGTTACTTTCCCACCAAGACTTTCTGCATGAAATTTTAATCCAAAAATCAGTAATTGTTAAAAGTATAAATATAAAATATGTGTGAGTGTAATATTAATTTTAGGCTTGTCTGTTTTAGTCTACTAGAAGGGGTAGAGTATATATGTTAATAATTATTGATACGATTATGTTTTAGCGAAAACAGTGACGACCAGAGACAGAGACAAGACAGTTTCGTTAGAACGCCTTCAATTATCTGAAGCGGATACATAAGTACAATTGTGACAGAAGCAAATGTAATTTGTATTAATGCCTTTGCCTTTAACGACACAGTGGCCGTTAGAAATGGAGGAATACTCAGTGATGTCGGACGTGTCCGTGGTAGACGTTTATGACATTGCTTCGGAGATAGGAAAAGAATGTGAAAAACTTATCGATGTATTCGGAGCAGACTCAGTGACCGGGCTTATGCCTAAAGTGATTAATGCTCTAGAATTGTTAGAAAATCTTGCAACCAAAAATGAAAGAGAGAACTCAATGGTCCAGGAACTGAAATCAAAAATATCTCAGCTGGAAAGCGATAAGATTGGCAAGGCGGAGGACAGACAGAGATTCGAAAAGGTATACCTTAAATATGTGATCGGTCCGTTCTTTTTTTACTTTACTATATCTCCAAGGTTTTGTTACCATTATTGTTTACTTTTTACAGGAATTGGAACAGATCGAGGAGCACTGGAGGCAAGAGTCTCGGGAATTACTAGGCCTGGTAACCCGACTCCAAGAGGAGAACCGACGTTTAGCAACGGCATTACATGAGTCCCGAAGTGACACTCAAGACAGCGGTAAACAAAGTACTAACCAATCTTCCCTCCACTAATATTGCATCAGTATTTCAATGCATCCTGAAGGATGTTCAATATGGCTCGTTTTGGTTCTCAGCATATACGACTAATCAAGAAATGGATATTGCTGTGTTACAACGTTTGAGATCTGTGATCGATGAGCAAAGAGAACAGATTCGAAAGAGAGATAGGGAACTCTCGCAGAAAACTGGGGAAATAGAAAACGTAAATGCATACTTTGTTAGAAATTTCTGATAAGTGCTCGGATTGATACGGGATTAAGTTGGTGTTCTTTAATTCGCAGTTATCAGGACAAGTTGAAAAGCTGACCGTTGTTGGTCGTGAATTGAAGAGGAAGCAACGTCAGGCTCAGATGCAATCCCGAGGCTTGGTTGAAGAAAGAGCGGATTTCTTGGCCCAGCTTCAAGACCAAAATCGAGAACTGATCAATCTCCGAGCACGACTCGGGCTTGCTAGGAAGGAAAACGAGGATTTGACTAAATCCCATGGATGTCCTGACCTCACGAACAAAGCCATCTACGATCTGGACGACCCCGACAGACCCAGGTTCACCACAGCGGAGTTGAAGGAAATCCTACACGAAAGGAACGAACTCAAGGCTAAGGTCTCCGATCTAGAGGATGAGTTGGAGTTTTATCGACCAAAACCTGAGACGTAAGTTAATAAGGTTATAAAAGAAGAAAGCCCAACTTAATATAGTTTATAATAGAAATTATTTGTAATAATTGTATGATATATATATTTTCTTTAACAGGCCCGAAGACGAAAAAGATGCACCAGTCCAAGGACCTTTGCCTTATGAACCAGACGACGCCCCATGGAAGAAATCATCCGAATCTGGTATTCGTAAATTGTGAGTAATCATCACGTAACCTCTTGACGCAGAGTAAATTGACTAAATATCTACATATTTCAGCTTCAGAAAAATATTCTCTGAAACGAGTGGCGGTCTTCTGGGAGGCAGCAGTCCTCGGCGAAGTCTTTCTAGTCTGTCAAAAATGGCGCTGTCCGGAAACGGCACCAGTGATACGTCGATTTAAAACGAAAAAACAACTGATTGTGCTACGCCCTGACCTTTCAAGCCATATCAAAAGTATTGCACAATTTTTCGTTGGAACCGAAGTCGAGACCACGCGATTTTCAAATACCGAGTTTGCTCAGATACGAACTGAACCTAAAATTCCGTTCTTCCGAAAATCCTCCCTTTTCGTTTTAGGTCTTTTAGAGTGCTAGACGTTTTAACGAATTGTGTACGGTTTTAGGTTAGGTTGATGCGATAATACGTGGACTAGTCGAAATTACTAGCACTCAAGGAGTAGGAAATGTAGTGAATGTTCGACCGAACACGTTAAGTGCACATGAGGACGTAATTATTATTGCACACTTTTATAGAGACACTTTTTTTTAGACTTTCATCGGAACCCAGACTCTTCCACTTACATTTCGAGTATTTCAAGAAGTACGTCATTTCACAAGTTTTATTAATGCTCGTAATTCTGCATTTTTTTTAAACAAAGCATTGCTTTTTAATGGCAAGAATTGACAAAACTTGTTCGATTTATTAGATTTTTAGGAACGAATATCTCCAAGAGTTATTTTACACGTTTCGATGCACATGCTTTATACCATGACGTCACGGTTTTAAATCATGTTAGGAGGCTTGTGATTTTTAAGCTTTTCTTGGAGATCCTCAGGTGAGTTGTTTCAAACCAAAAAGTAAGTAGCCATAATTACTGATGGCAAAATTCGACCGACACCAAAGTCAACCTCCTTGTGATTTCTACGATTCTTCTTTGCGTCACCAAAAGGTATATATACAATATATATATCGACTTTGTATACCACGTTGTTTTGTTAGTTACCAGTCGTTGCGAGTGCATGTTAAGTATTATTATGAAAAGATTTTGAAAGATCTATTTATTTATTTCAAGAGAAAAGAATGACTATTGAGATTTTAATGAAATTATGTATATTATTGGATTGTAAAAAAAATTGGGGCATTGCGGCATGAATAAGCATTGGTGCTTTTATCCAAGATCTATGGACCGTGTTTTAAACAATTCCTGTTGAAGAAATTCAATCGAAAGATATTAACAGAAGTTGGGAAAAAAGGCAACATATAATTCTAATAGGATTCAATTAAAATTGGCTATTACCATAGCCTTGTTTAATTACGTACGTTTCCATTTTTACTGAACTGTAATACTTTAATTATCTAACATTTTAAAGAAGATACTTTAAGTCGTACTCATTCGAAGTAATAATAGATGCATCTTTTTAATAACGTATTACTTCTGTACGAAGTCCAGGTGAATGCATTGTACAGTCGAAGAGTTAGCATTATTTTTAAGTATTCTGCACATGCAATTGTCCAACATGAACAATGAGAAATGTTTTCATGCCAAAAAAGGATGTGATTACAAGTCAGATATATGTCTAAGCCGAAACTAAGTCGTTAATCCGCTTTACTCTATATGATTATTGTTAATGATAATGTACGGATAACTTTAGAACGAGGGATTGTAAGGAATCATCGAAATGTTATAACAAATAATTGTTCTTAATTGTTGCAGCGTCATTGTCATAAAAATATCGATTTTACAAAACATACAGAAATTATATAACCCTTTTCATGCACACCATTGGATCTTATCTTTTTCCTTGTTTCTTTTATCCTCTCATCGACAAAAAATATTAGAGTCCACACAATGTAAATAGAGGATGTTGGCAAAAAATTATTATACCGTATTCAACTCGATTATCTTAACATCGTTTATAAAGAAACCTTTTGTTCATCCTCTCAACTTCTCAGAGAGCTTCAACCTCTGCACTATAATTCTGTATTTTCTCCTCGTCTTGCATAGACAAATTAACATCGCAAAATGAAAAACCTTCAAGAATCGATTCATCTTCCATAGATTTACACATCTTGAATTCTTTTGTGAATTTACTTAAATTCATGTCAGATTTATTGCCTGAATCACATTCCATAATTGGCTGTTCTATGATAGTCATTCATTTCCCAAGAATTCCAAAGTCTTCGTTTGACTGGAACTTTACGATCCTTAATTAAGAGTATTCTTAGGTGGTATTTAACATTACAATAAAATAGCCAAGAATTAGAACCGAGAACATTATACAATATACTCGAAAATTAGAGCATTTATAATAAACGCAAATATCAAATTTAAAGTAAGAGCTTCAAGAAGCACGAAACGAGGTGAAACTCTCGTTGCCTCAGCGAGAACTTCACTCTTCAGGAGGAACATTTCCAAGGTACACAAAAGGACTCGTTGATTACTTCAATGAACGTTTATTCACGATAATGTCCTCCCAAATACGCCAATTAACATGGCATACTTCTATTACTTCGTAATAACAAAAGCCACCGGAGAACTCGCCTACCGAGAAGGGCTTGCTATCGTAAAGTCGGACCTCCAAGGGTGTTAATATCCCCTCGCGTTTATTCCTGACAAGATTATCAATCTGACATAGCGTTACGTTCGGTAACTTTATTTACAACCCGTCGCTTCCGTATATGCACTAAGAAATCTGCCGTTTCATTCTCACGTTCGCACTTTCTCTCTTTCTCTCTCGCCTCTTTCCTTTCTCGCAGGTCGTCACTATTTACAGGGATCACTTAACCTAGCAACTCGTTAGGGCATGGACACCCGCGGGCGCGATTTTCTCCGATCGGTCCCATCCTCTCCCTTCCCACATCCACGAAACCAAAGGGAAAACGCCGCACTCCCCCCGGCCGAAGGAAACTCAAAAAAGGCGGAGAAGAACGGAAAAGGACGCCTCGTCGCCGCCATCTTGGATTTCCCTCGACGAGTGCGACCGGCGCGAAGTTCAACGAGCGATTATCGCGTCCTCTCCTCCCCATAATAACCCTAGATAACAGAGCACTAGTAAAAATCACCGAACGAACTCCTTGAGCATGTTAAATAACACGTTACACCCGGACATCTCGGTTATCTAGGGTTAAGGGCCTCGCGTTAACCGTTTGGCACTTGTTGCGTTCCTCTCGCTGGAAACTTTAACAGGCTCGATCGGCGATTTCGGCCTGGTAGTTCCTCTCGTCGCTTAACTAGACCTTCCCTTAACTTTAAGCGCTACTTTTAAAGGTATCTTGTACACTCCTTGCTCCACACGCAGGGACCCTTTCTGCTAGAAGTGAGCCTTCGCCGAAGGACAGCCGCAATGCCTTAACCAATAATATATTGGGAGTAGGGATATACATGTATGTATATATACATCGCTGCAATTGTCGAAGGCATTTTAAGCCATTCTGGACCTATCCGCATCGCCAATATTAAGATATTAAGCTTGGTACGAGAGATATTGATACAGCCTATGAGTCTAACCCGCCATCAAGACCTTAACGACGAACCTAACCTCTTAACGCCTCTACGGTTTCAGCGGGGTACATCCGTTAACGAGTCCAGGCCTAGGTTACAAATACTTTCGCGGAGTCTCCGGGTTATGGGGGACTTTTTCGGAAACATGGAGGACTGACACATTTCGCCGACTCTACGCTCTGGTCACCCTGACGAGAGCGGGAAACCGCACAGTTCTTTCACTCGTTTCCCTTCAAATCTTTAGTAAACACTTTTTTTTCGCAATTCCGAGTCTCGGAGGAAACGCTTCCATGCATTTGAGATATTATCCTCAGCGATAAGTTTCAAGGAGTTATGTACATTGTCTTTTCACAGGTGCAGGGTATACGTAGACGATTTAGAAACCACTGCCAAATTTGCTCCGCCTCTGATTTTTCCATTTACCAAGGATTGATTTTATACAAAAACACAGCATCGGATCGCCATACAGATTGGAATTTCAATGATCTCGCGCCTCCTGACATAAATCCATTGCTATAACGACAGTGGAATCATGTCAGTAGATGGATTTAAATTAAGTACTATTCACTTCCGATTGAAAAATTTCACATTATTTTCGCACGCTCTCAACTACAAGGATGTATCTTCAATATTTAATTCCTTAATTCTCATTGTACAGCGGGTCTTGATTTTGTCACTCTCGTATCGTCGCTAGTGGAAATTCATCCTTTCTTCGGAACGAGTCTTTGAAAGGAGACTGCAAAGTATTCTGCTCAGTAAGTCCCAAGTGTAAAACTCGTACATCTTGCAGTTCAATTAACGCAGTTATGATATACACGTAATGCCGATTCGAGGGACAACGGTAACATTATTCATAAACATTATTTAACGATACCGCAAACCGGTACAAATAAACATGTATATACATATACATACTTTTTCTCAATTTTGGCAACACTTTTACAAATCCAGGAATACGGGAGGACCTGTCGAAGGTGGACATGTATTAATTACAATACTTTAAACAAAATAGGAGAAATACAATTTGGAAAGCTAACTCACGTTGTCTCTGACGTGAGGGTATGTAGTTAAATTAATAAATTCCAACTAATCGAGGGAAACCCTGAAAGCAATGAAACGAAAAATGTTACCAAGAATCGAAAAATGATATTCGTATCGGTGTTGAATCATCATTTAATTACATCCCGTAGCAAGTTACTTAAAGTACCATAGCACGACTCACTGTACAGCGAAGAGAGAACGATTCGATATTCCAGAGACCGACTCTGTAATTGATTACAAACGTTGCAGCCATGACGGAGAAATCAATACGAAAAGTAAAAGGAAAGACACTTCGAACATCGGACACCGGGGTAATGCGAAAAAGAACATCGGTGCCTTGTGACACGAGGACGAGAGCTAAATACAATTTCTGTCCCAACGACGCCTAACAGTGGGAAATACTTGAAATTAAATTTACTCCGTGCTTCACAGCGAAGAATAAGATTCGTGATAAATATCTCCAGTCCCTATCGTGTACTGCTAAAGTAAACCACGTCGTTAATATCGAGTCACAGAGCACAGTTACGTCTTCCAACCGCGGCAGTACAGGTTTCCTCTCCTTTCCCACCTTAAATTGGACATTATCACGTCGTCCTCGCGTTTCTACGAAGCCGACAACATATCACCGATAAGTAACGAGCGCTCGATCGAAATTACCGTAAACTGCGTCATTTCAAAACTGGAGCTCTGCCATCTACCGGCGAGCGATGGAACCTCCCGAGCGCTGGTACGAAATTCAAACATGGTCGCACTGGCAAACTAAGCGATGCGACGAATCGAATGCTTTTATCAACTCGAGTTACTCGAATTCGAAAACACAGCCAACTCCAGTTTGGACAGGAGTCGAAGATTCGGTGAAGGAAAACCGAATTCGCAAACATTCCGCACGAGTGGCGAGTTAAACGACTCGAGTAAACAAACGGGTTGGTACTTCGAGCGACGAGAAAAATGACTCGAGTTAGTAGGAATACAAGTTTCACCCGAGTTTAATGAATTAAACCATCCAACTCGTCACATCTCTAGTTTCAATACGAGCCATCTTTCGCCCAATCGCGACCGAGGACAAAGTCAGAAGCGAGATCGATCCCGATTACTTTCTGCCGCGTCCGTCAGAGGTCGCCGTTCGCGAGGCGCGACCGGCGTCGCTTCTACAGCGATCCGAGGTCCAAGAACGAAATTCGCCACGAGTTTTCCGAGGTCCCCCGAAGCTTAATCAGGTTCCTCCTCGAGAATTGACGCGGTAATTACCCCAAGGGTCGAGCCACACGGATCCCCTCGAAAGCTAAACACTACTCGCCTTCGAGGATCGATAATAGTGAGCTTGCAAAAAAGTGCAAGACCAAGACCCTGGTAGTCTCTCTCTTGGTCTCACACCTGCTTGTCCCACTATTCGCCAGCATTCCTACGAACGTCCAAGCGCCGGTTCGCTCTGCGCAATGTCTTTTCAATCCGCTTGAAGTTGTCGCGTCCATTTAGTTCGTCAAGCCCCCGAATATCTGCCAGGGGCGCTTCTCTAGTTGTGAACCGTTGTCGAGGCGTGCTGAAGCCTCTCTAGGTCCTCCAGAGACAGGACGTTGCTGTGGCCGAGGTCCGGCAATTTTCCAGCGCGCGCTTGAGCAAGTAATTCCGGACTGAACCACCGCGCTAGTTGGTTGGACGTCGGCGAGAGGTCGCCACCGTTGCTGCCCATGTATCCGAGGCCAGGAGAAGCTTGCCGACCCACGCCCATGTTCATCTGTTGAGGCTGCACTGCTCGCCCCTCTGTTAAAACACACGAATCACATTAATTCACACCATGCCATGAACACTTAAAAAAAAAATCCCCCATTGAAGCCTGAAACAAAAGGTTAAGGCGACGTGAAAGTGGCATCTGAGAAGTCAATCGTTCATGAAACTTTTCTCCAAATTTCATATATCGAATCTTTTCAAACTTCGCAATGGGGGAATATGGAGGTTGCAAAGGAAGTCCTGACACCCGTGAAATTTCATTTTTTCATAACAAATGTTGAAAACGTCTATAAGAAGTTTCGTGAACGATTGACCCCTTAGATGCCACTTTCACACCCCCTTAAGGATGGAAGGATTAGGGAGGCATTACTTCGGTCAAGATCCAAAGCAAAGAGGCGGTTCACCGGAAGTGGACGAGAATATCGGGAGGGTTGTTACATCAGGGTTGTCGTATTAGTCAGATTTCTGAACTCCGTTACACGGTATTTGATTCGGGAGCGTAGGACTACCTGAAAAAGTTATTTACAGGTCTACCTAAGTTACATAATAATGCATCCGCCATGCTGCGACGTTAAGGGGATGTGAAAGTGGCATCTGAGGAGTCAATCCTTCATGAAACATTTCTCCGGCCTGCGTATACGGAATTGTTTCAAGCTCTACAACGTGAATAGGAAGGCGGTAAGGAAGGTCTCAACACCCATGAAATTTCATTTGTCATATAAAATCTGTAAAATGTCTATAAACAGATTTAAAAGAAAAACGAAATAGAATCTCATGGTCGTCAAGACTTTCCTCACATTCTCCATATTCACGTTGTAAAGCGTGAAACTATTAGGTACACCCAGTTAGGAAATAAGTTTCATAAACGAGATCTTTGTTGACGTCACTTTCACGTCACCTTAATTTACCTCATTAGCAAAATGTTAGTCTCACCAGTTCGGGCAGAATTGTAATTCTGATTCATGACAATCTGCTGTAGCTGGGGATTGACGCTGCGCGGCTGCTGTTGCTGTTGCGGTTGCTGCTGCATGGAAAGATGAGACTGCACGTGCTGCGACTTCATGTGGTTGTTCATGTGATTCGCTCTCTGGCCGATCACGGGATTGGCGTTGACATTGTACTGAGGAACATTAGACATTGGCAACGGAGTGGCCATCGTGTGTTTAGAGCGCGCAGGGTTCCCATAAATCCCGGATGTTGCCCTCTGTTGCTGCTGTTGTTGCTGTTGCTGTTGGAAATCGATGTTACTGCTGTGATGGAACTGATTCCCTCCACCACCCCTGACTATCGGTCGGCCTGAAATTCAAAGAACCTTTTTTTAAACATACATTTCTGACATCGCATACTATATTTCAAACTTTGCATCGATCTCACTTAAATACACTTATCAGTTATCTCGTTGAAATTTAAGTGACGTAGTAAGTCGCATAAGTTTCTTATCTCTCCCTTATTCACAGAATGATCGATGGAATTAATCTTAAGAATAATTGATTCGCTGCGATGGATCCTTCGATGCACCGAGGTGATTGTTAATTGTGCCATTTGTAATGTAGCGTAAGGATTTGTTGGATTAATATTTTTAATGTTGTTACACCAGGACTGTGGAGGCATCAACTTACCAGGATGCTGTTTTATGGTAGGATTCGACCAAGAGGGTTGAACAGGTTGAGGTCGAAGAGCTGCATGCCGAGACAAGACCCCCTGCGCTAGCAATTGTACAGTAGACTGCATTTGTTGCATCTGAGCCGCCTGACTCTGAGCAGTCAACTTTGTCGGATCATTGTTGCCTATACCCAGATAAATGACAATACTTGAGCTTCCGAGACCAGATTTAGAAAAAAACCTGCTGTCGGAACACTTAGTTAATAAATGTACTTCTACGATTAAACTGAACATTCCTACGTCAAAAACATTACCAAGGCAATGAAAAATCGTAAACGAAACACTAGAGTAAAATATTCCAGGAGATTACGCTAAGTATGATATAAGTGTAATATAAAATGTCTTAAGTGTTTGTTTTTCTTTTTTTTCATGTTTGGGAATTAATTCTGTACCGAATGTCTAGAACTACAAGCTGAAGCATTGCGAGAGAAGGGAACGATTTAGCGAGTAAAACCAGGAAAATACATAAACTTCAGTTTACATCCCATTACATCGTGATGCTTCAAGTATGCGAGCATAAAGGAATTGATAAAACCATGCGAGGAGATAAGCAGAAAATAAAGCATGCATCTACCTAAGAAAGAGAGCCTAGCGAAGCAAGAATGAGGAGAGTAAGTAAGCAAGAAGGACAGCTTAAAAAGCATGGAGGATGATAAAGCATTTTATTTAGTAAAATCTATTCGTAACACACTCAGCACGGCAGAGATAAGTTGGCCAGGTTGGTTTAGAAGTTTCGGTTAACACCGTATGCATTAAAATTATGGTCCCGGTGAGTCCGGCATTAGTCTCGAATCCAAAGGGAATAAAATAACATTCAGTGAACCAGTTAGATTATCCCGATTGGATCCAGGATTCACCATGATTTGGGCAACGGTGAGTGAAACGAATGAAAGAAAAATGAAAATAACTAAATGAGGATTCCCGGTCCGGGCAGAGGATTAAGAAACTAAATAAAATCACGTTCCACGTTTTCCTTATCCAACAATCATGAGTGCCGCTCCATTAAGATTAGCGCGGACTTAATCGCGTCCATTTCCATTATAGTCTCTTTTCTTTTTCTTTTTAATTATATAATCTCGTCCAGGGTAATGCTTAGGACCTCGCATCGTACGTATTATTCTCGAAAATTATTCCGGCCACCATTAAGGTGACATGAAAGTGTCATATACGTGCCAAAAAGTCAAAATATAAAACTTTCGCTCCGAACAGGGTGCACCGAATCATTTGAAACTGCACCACGTGATTATGGAGACCCTGAGGAAGAATGCTCATGAAATTTCATATTTCAAACAATACGTGTACCTCGGTTCAAGTCTGGGATAAATAAAAAAAAAAAAGATTTGTTTGAAAAATGAAATCTCACGAGCATCGCGTTTTTCCATAGGGCCTCCATAATCACGTGAAGTTTCAAATTATTTGGCGAACCCCCTTTGGCGAAAAGTTTTATAAACATATCGACGTTTCATGTACATAGAGTGACCCTTTCATATCACCATAGAGGAGTGAAACGTATTGACATCTCGTTTTGAAAACGACAGAACCAGCTATTTAGCACCTGAACAAACCACGCTTCTAAACTCTGGCTACGCCGAGAGAGAAAAAAAAAAAAAAGAACAACTTGAAATACTCTCATAGAGGTTACCAAACACCGCGACGGGAACATAAATTGCCGGCATCCTGAGCGTCGCAATTACCCTGAGACATTCTGCTCCCCCTTGAAATCCGTCAACTCATTACAAGAACTATTCAGCCCATCCGTAGTCTCCCTAAGATCGTCAACAACGTCTGAATCTTTTCCCGCAGAATTTCCAAAATTAAGCCCCGAATTCTGGTTCAAATTGACTTCATCCCCCTCGGTACTCTCAAGATTCCCACCCTCCTCGTTACAATCACCACCCTTCTGAGGATTATTATTCCCGTCGATTTTGGCAGAATCGCAAATGTACTTGGATTTCAAGGCGGATTCCTCGCCATTAAGGGAGTCGACGATCCCGTTCCCGTCTACGTCGACGGTAGACCGTTCCAGGACGATTCGAATGCCTTTGTTGGCCTGGGATTTCTCGTTATCCCCGAGCCCGTCCGGATTGTTGGGTAAGGAAGGACTATCCTTGGAATGCGTGCTCTTCCGACAGCCCATAGAGATAGTCAGTTCTACTTTTTGACTTTGAGGTAAAGGAATCGCACCCTCGGTCTCCTTCTCGGCAGTCATCTTCCGCAAGACCGAAGTCGGGGTAAAGGCGAGCGGCGTGGGGCTCAGGGTTTGCTTCGTCGACGAGATGACAGGGCTGGAGACTCTTTGCTGTTGCTGCTGTTGCTCCTGCCGCTTCCGGAAATTCTCCTGCTGCTCCTCCAGCTTCTTCTTTATCAACGCGTTCTGTATTATGGACTGCGTGTGCATCACGATCTCACGAGGCGATGGCACTCTGTGTTGCATCACTGTTGAAACCATCGACATTAGTAAATTTATTAAGGTAATTAAAACGATCCTATTACAAGCGTATAGTCCTCGACATACAGTGCACAAGTGTCTAAACAATCTATCAAGCCGATGTACATGTGACTCCGAAGAGGTCTCACTTATGAAACCTTTTTCCAAACCTGATGTCCTGAATCTTTTCAAACTGCATTACGTTAATACGGAGACTATACGGAAGGTCCTGGTACTGGTGAAATTTCGTTTCATAAAATTTCTTTATGTACATTTTTTAATTCTCATGAACGTGGACACCTACTACTTAAATAATTCCCGGAAACAATTGCTCCGCATTTGTTGTCTCTTAGTTGCATGGGGTAAGTACGTATATCTTCAAAAAAAGAAAAAGAAAAAAAATACTGATTTTTTACCTGGATGTTGCACCGTCAAGGTGTTGGGACTAGGGGCCAAATTTGGTGATATAATCGGAGCTGGACAGTAAGCTGCATTCCAAAGAACGAAGAGACTTACTCAATGGCAATTACATTCGCAAGCTTCGATTGAAACTGATGGCTACGACTTTAACCTACTTTCAGAATTAATTTAAAATAATTTCACTTAATAATTAGTTCTGGTTAGAGCCAGGTCGGTTCGACTTCGCTGTCCATGATGTGGTTATGGGACAGTTCTTTTTTTTGTTCCTTACTTTTAAGAGGTAACAATATTACAACCGTTTCTAAGCTTACCAGTGTTCATCGGTGACGGTATTCTCTGCTGCTGATGTTGCTGTTGATACAGCATCTGTTGGAGGATGTGATCCTGAGGGGTGGGTGCAACTGGATGAGGACTTACGGTGCGCGGTGTGGTCCCCCCATAAAGCTTCAGGATATTCACCAGAACTTCCCTATGGCGGTGCTGAATTGCCGGATTCTGGACAGCAACGTTCGTGAATGACAAAATTGCCCAATCGCCTCATCCAGTACATTTACATACTACAAATCCTCCTAATACCTTCCCCGATACACCACGTGGAACTTTAAAAGATACGAAACTTAGAATAATTGTTCATGCTGACATCGAAAGAAAAAAAATGCATAATAAAAAATCTCGTAGACCTCCCCTCGATGTATATCATCAGCTGACCTGTACCTGCAGTTGTTGAATGAGATGTTGCTTAGTAATTTCGCCCTGTTGCAGGCCTTTAATGATGGCCTGGGCTTCGGGCCGTTGCAGCAACTCCCGACTCGACGGAGCATTATTAACGATCATTTGCATATCCGGAGGAACAGGGCTGACGCCGACCATGCGTTGGCTTCCGAGCATTAACGAGAGCATGTCGGACTGCTGCTGCTGCCGCTGCTTTTGCTGTTGCTGTATAAAGGAGTGGCATTAATGCAAGATATCAAACCCAGTACCGATCGATACCAATTAGCCCAATATTGCATACTTGCTGGATCTGCAAGACCTTCATCAGGTTTTCGTGCTGCACTTGAGCTTGATGAGGATGCTGTGCCGGACCGAGGGGTCCGCCATGGTTGAAGGTCGAGGCGTGCAGTTGTTCCGCGAGCTGCTGTTGCTGGGCCACCTGTTGCTGCGTCTTCAGCTGATTGTTAAGTACCTGAAACCCGAAAAGCCGGTTAAAACTAATTACCCCAGCTATTGCGAATGACACGTCCGATGGCCGAGGTTCACCTGCATCAGAATGATGGGCTGCGGTTTCTGCGGAATGGGGCCGTTAGCTGCAGGAACGGCTTGACCACCAGTGACCTGAGCGAGCTAAAAGAAAAGATTGCAATAAATTATCACCCTCACGGTAAACGGTAAGAGTAACTCGAGGAAGAACGTACTAATTTCTTAAAAGCAGAGAGATCTTCAGTCTTGTTAACTCTTCTAGTTTCAGCGGCGGTCGGCGCGGGGGCGCCACCTCGCATGCGAGCCTCCAATTCCTCCAGACTGTGCACGACCTTTCCACCAACTTCTAAAGCGAAATTACACGGTTAATCATGACTAGTAGGTTCCACATGCGCTTGAAATCCACGCCAAGGAAGAAATTCTGCTAAATGGGAAGCGCGTTTACCCATATCCTTGATGGAGGAGTTCTTCATGAGAGGGACTACATTGTTGGCCACGTCGCCCTGTCCGTTCTGGCTGGGAGTGCCTCCACGTTGCAGCATCTCCAAGAGCTTCACTCCGGTCGCGGGTGTGGCGTTGTTGGTCGTGTTAGCCGGTGAGATGGGCGCAAAATAGGTGTTGGACTCGGTTACGGAAGGAATCTGGATGTTCGGCTCGGTGATGTCGTTAAGCAGGTTGTTCAACAGCTCGTCCTGGATGGAGGCCCTGCGAGTGTCCACCTGCTGGACGGGGCTCTCCCTCTTGAACCACTGGCTGAACCTCGAGCCAGAGCTGCCGTTGGATCCAACACCATTCTAAAATGGGAGACGCGTCTTATTCGTGGAATTACGTATTGAATAATAAAAAGAAGACCAGAAGAGGCCATCAATTCCTAAATATCAAATCCCGGACTAACCGTGAGTAGTCCGGGTACGCCGGGGAAGGTGTCGGACTTGAGGAAGTCGTCCAGGTTGAAGTCCGAGTGACTGTTCTCCTGGGCCTTGTTGAGGCTGGAGTTGTCGGCGGCATCGGAGGAGCTAGGCTCGGTCCTGTCGCTCTGGCTGAGCCCGGTCTTCTCCTTGGGCACCGGAGAGGGTCTCTCGTTCCTCTCGGAGATGGGGGAGTGGGGCGTGGGCACGGGATTCATGGGTTGATCCATGGCGGTCGGGGTGCTGCGACCCTTCGGCCCGGACGCGACCTCGCTCTGCTTCTCCTCCTTCTCCTCCTTCTTCTTGCCCCTCTTCTTCTGGGCGGAGGACTGCTTCTTCGACTTGGCGCTGCCGATCTTAACGACCTTCTCCTCGGGGATGTCCTCGAAGCCGCGCAGCTCTATGGTGTCGTGCTGGGAGGTCGGCCCCGAGCTGAACCACTCGGGCTCTTCGGGCTCCTTGTTCTCGCTGAAGGTCCTTCGCCGGTCGTTCCCGTACCTCCGGTCCCTGCGGTCCTTCTCTCGGTCCACCGGGTGGTTCCGGTCGTTCCTCTCGTTCCTCTCCGAGTTACCGCGGTCCCGGTCTCGGTCCCGGTCGCCGAAGGAGCGCCTCTCGAAGCGGTCGTTCCGCTCGTCTCGCTCGCGGTCCCGGTCTCTCCCAGAGTCCCGGTTGTCCCTCGAATCGCGCTCCCTTAAGGGTCCACCTCCGGGTCGGAAGGTGAACTCCGGTCGCTCCGGTTCCAGCTTCTCGTTCTCCCGGAAGTCCCAGGTGTTGCGGGCCAGGATGCGGCCGCTGCCGATGCGCCGCACAGGCTCCCGATGGGAGACCTGAAAACAATCGGATCTAAGTATCAGAACCGTCTAATAACATTAAAAAACGAAAGTACCAATTTGTACACTTCTCGATTACCCAGTATCATGCCTAACAATTGAACATACAAGCCCGTATAAACGGAACATTTTTTCCACACTTCTGCAGATGACGCTGTAACGCACAAAGTGGCAAATTATCTTCTTCACTCTGATTCTTTTCATTAAGAAATCATGACAAATTTTGGAGTAATACCGATATTAACATGATCCCTTAAATGTGAAGTTAATGAAAATAATTATGATATTTTAATAGATTAGCGATTTTCATCTTTTTTCTTTTCTTCTAAGAAATCAGGATATTTGTTAATCCAGAGCCACTCCAATCCAACATAACCTAACCTCTTCGCACTCACCTCGGGCTTCCCTATGGGGCTCTCAGGGCGCCTCGCCGGTGGCTGGCTAACGTTCACAAAGCATCCGGAATTGAAGCTCCGCCTCTGCGGGCTCAGGACTATCCCGTCCTGTTCCTTGCGGATCCGTTCCCTGGGGTCGCCACTTCTGCGCTTGCCATGATTCTCGGCGACCTGCTCCCCACGTCCCGTTCTCTCGTCCTCGGGAGGCGTGTCGCTGGGTTTCCTGTCCAAGGGCCTGCAAACGATCCTAACCCACACCTTACATCGCACCTTTTCATTCAACCCCTCGCATCCAGCCCCACGTCCCCCCTTCAACATCCGCCCCTCAGCATCCCCAAAACGGCCCTGCACGTACTTATTATTCGAGATGTCCAGACACTCAGGCCTCCTCTTCGACAAGGGCTGGTTCTTGATCTCCATAAGTTCCTCCTGCGAAGAATATAAAATATCATTCAACAACCAAAATTCTAAAACCTAAGACGTCAACATCGGAAAGATTTATACAACTTTTCTCGAAACAGGGTCCACCGAGTAATTTCTAACTCTACCACGTAATTACAGACGTCCTAACGAAGGTCTTGAAACTCGTGAGATTTCATTCATCGAAAGAAACTGTTTTACTTATCCCGGACAATCCAAGGAATTTTTTTTTCTTTCTTCGAACCATACAGTTTCATGAGTTTCAAGACCTACGTTAGGACTTGTGTGATCAGCTGTTAAAGTTTCGAATTATTCAGCGCCCCCACTTAGGAGAATAATTGTATAAATATTCTGACGTCTTGTTATACATAAAAATCCTTAAAATAATCAAGGGTTTCTCCAGAACTCCAGAGATACTTTACCCGCGAGTACTGGAATTGAGGTCTGGACCTCCCGACCTCCATGATGGAGTTGTCGGTCACCTTCCCGGCGACGGACATCGAGATGATGGCTTCATCCCCTGAAACATGAAATTCACCGTAAAGTCACTGAAAACGTGGCTGAAAAAGATACCGGCATAGTTTAAAGTGAATATCCGATCGGACCCGTGGCGCCCTCTGGGCGTTTATTAGGATAAACAGGAGTCCGTTTATCCCAGCCAATAGGAGCGCGCGAAAAGGGCAAGAGAGGGGGTAGCCTACCCCCTCCCCGCCTCCCTCTTCCACGAACTTACGAAGAGCGTCTCGTTTTCTCGAATCGAGGGACTTGCTGCGACTGAACCACCGACAAGACTTTGTCTGGAGGACGAGATCATCCAAGAAAGGAGACCCGGTGGGTCCGACCAGCGGACGACGTTTGTGACGCCGATACCGATAGGGCACCGACCTGGCGCGGTCCCTCGCGTTCTCCAGCTTCATTTTAACCGCCCAGAAGCTTCGATTGACGGTTTTAAATCGAGTATCGATATCCCACAGAGATTCCCCTCGATAATCCGCCCGTCGAGGGCGATTCGAATTCCGAGCGAGAGACGGTTAACCTACAACGGTTTGTTTACACCGACAAGGACGTTTACACCGGTCGAGGAAGAAGCGCGTTCCAAAATGGCGGCCAGCTAACAGGTCCTTCCCAGAAATACGTATTTCCCTCCTCCTGCCAAAGAACCTGCAATTTTCCTTCCTCCTGCCCCCAAAATCTAAGACAATCGACTTTCTCTAAAAACCGCGACTCTCGCCCCGTCCACCCTAACCCAACTCTACGCGACTTAATGTATTAAATACATGTATATATATACACACATGTATATATAATTCGGATATATATTAAATATGTATAAATGGGAGCCGATGCGAGGTCTCTATCAGCGGGATAAAAGAATAATTGAAATGGTGATAAGAAAACGGGAAATTCTACTAAAGCGCCTCCAACGCGCGATCTAATTGCTCCAGTTCTCCCCCCGGGGAGGGACCGCGAGAAATTTCCCGAGAAATCTCGTAGTAATCCCTGGACGGAATTAGAAATCCGAATTTTGAGGTAGCCAACCGACGCGCGCGCAATTGACACCGAATAGAACTCGAGTTTCGTCCTACGAGACTCTCTACGAACTGAGGCCCTCGGTAACCAAACCTCCGGTTAAAAGTCCCGCCCGGCCGGCCAATCAGCGGCCGGCGTGAACGCAGCCGAACCGCTCGATTGGCCGGGACGTTCGAACGGCCCCTTGGAATCGGAATTTCGCCGAAAGGGGCAAAAAAGTTTACCCGACACACATTTCAAATAAACACGGCATAGAAGAAAACAGTCATCTGGAATTCGCAAATTCATTAACAAGCCCCGGAAATTTCGACGTTCGCTGTAATTATGATATATATATATAAACAGGGTTATGCAATGACGCGTCCTCGAGGTTTCTTTTTTTTATTTTTTTTTTTTCGAAGAGAAAGGCAAAAAATGTGTTTTATGCGCTTCTATGCTAAAACGAAGGTAACCCAAGGTCTCGGAGAGGGAATTTAGTTGACAAGAAAATCACAGATGGCGCAGATTGGCATCCCACGGTCAATCAGGGCATCAAAAACCATGAATTAAGGGGATTTCTGGAGTTTTACTTAGATTTCTTTATAATTATTGTACGGAAATGATATATGGAGTATGCCATTTAGTACAACACCCAATGTAACTAGACACGGCTGTCAATATATATATATATGTCGATTCAATTTCTCGACGTGTTTTACTTCACTAAAAAAATAAACTACCGAGGCCGTGAACGCAGGCGTGCCGAATTTCGCTGTGCACGTGAATACAGCTAAATGTGTATTTGGCGCGAAATTGATGAATATAAAATTCTATACGAATACCGCGAAGACATAACGTACGTATGTAATTTGTGTCACGTTAGGTGTGTTGATGAGTAACGGGAGAAATTTGGTCAGGGACAAAACAGGCCACGGATAAACGTTTGTTGGGGATGGGGAGAGATATGAGATGGGTTACTTTAGTAAGGAAGGGGTGAAATGTTGAGGGCAGTGCAGAGAATATGTCGCACTGCTAGTTTCTGCGGAAAAATGGGCACTTTCGGCCCACCTGAAGGTCACCTCTGCAGTGCGGGTTAAATTCCCGCGACCGGGCGGGGGAATGTGAGCCTTATGGCGCAGGTGATTAGAGGTGCTATCCAGAGAGGGATAAACAAACGTTTTGTTTTCGTTTCTTTCTTTAAACCGACGATTGTACACGAACTCGGCTTGAATTTTGTTACGTCGGGTGAAAATATTACTGTTAATGTACAGGTCGAAAATATGAATAACCAGTATATTATTTGCAATAAAGAATTTAAATATTCGGTATCCATCGGAGAATGCGAAATATTTTCATTATATAGTAAGGAGGTAACATTATGTATTAAGAGTAAGGTGCAAATATAAAAACTAATTAAACCCAAAACAAATTACTAAAATTTCATCCACCCGTTCGGTCATTCAAAATCATATCAACTAATATACATGAATGATCGTACGAAATAATCATTTCTCTACTACTTAACGGAACTTTCGTCTCAACTTAACCCCACTTTCTAACTTTCATAGGGTCGACTAAGAAGTCTCGTGATGCTAAATTCTCACTTCTAAAAGTATGTTGCTAATATCGCAAGATATTTTGGGCAATTCAATAGGCTCGATAATATGCCCGAAGCTGTTGAGAACTCCACATATCACATGCAATCGACTATAAATCACAAACGTGCATGTCGACATGCTTAGATACAGAATCGTAAAGCGTCGATATCCCGCAGAAAGAACGGTAGCACGTACCTTGTTTCTCGGCCTCCGGTTGCTTGTCGCTAGAGCCTGATTTCACAGACATCCTTCCCGTTACTTCGAAAGGTCGCATCTCCTGGAAGGCGGTCTTCACCCACCGTGACCGTGGTGGGTCCTCCAAGGTGAGTAACTGGGTATGCGATGCAGTTGTACGCCACTAACTGGAGCCGTACCGTACGGTAAGACGCGTCCTTATGTATATACGTGAAGAATGGTACCCTACGAGCTACGGTCCTATCTACCTGTATATCTTAGTACTGTTTAGTATCACAGACTGGTTCTCTTTTGTTTTACCTTCCGGCCGTGGGGCCGTGTCACAAAATGCGATTCGTGGCTCTCGGGAATACTTTGCCAGGTCAGTCCCTTACGGGCGGCCGTCAGCTCGGAACCGCCGAACGCCTCGGCTGTATCACTCAGGGAAAGCGACGAAAAAGTGTGTTTTCGTGTGCGAGCCAGACCACGGGGCAGGAAGGGAGAGCGAGCGGCCGAGTCCGAGACCGGAGAGCTCGAAGCGCGGCGCCGCGCACGCTAGCCGATGCCCTATGGAGTCGCGCGCGACGAGTTGGCCGTCTCCTCGGCGAAAGTCATCTCGTCCCTTAGCGACACGCTTGCTCCCTCGATTTATCTCCTCTCGCGATCCTACGATTTCCCACTAAATCTACACACACAACACTAGTTCCACTGCTATGCAAAAATAGAAAATGGCGGACGATCCCCATTTCCGCCGTTGTTTATCGCTGCCATCTCGATCGTCTCGGCCGCCGCGAGACTCAGCAAGAGATGCGCCCTCGTCGGTGGCGTAACCTGCCGGCGGCGCGGTGAACCGACAGCGCGGCGCTGTTTTCAAAATTCGAAACGGACTCGAATCCTCGAGTTCACATGGATTTTATTCGCATAGGAATAGATTTGCAAGCAAAAATTTTACATTTTTGCTAAGTCGCGTCGTTGGTCAGCGTTTAAAAGTCGTATACGAAATCGTCAATTTCCCATGCGAAAGTTAATCGTATGAACTCGAGATTTAATTACTCACTGTAATGAATTTATGGGGGGTGTTATGTTAAGAATTAGGGTTAAATTGAAGAACGTTCGAACGCTCTTTATGAATTCCTTGCAGTAGATAATTCAACACAGGAGAACGAGTTCCACTTTCGCCGCCATGTTTACCCGCGTTACTGCAAAACCGAGAAAAGTAATCGTTTTTAGTAGTAATCAGCTTTTCTTGGCAATTAAGGTTAACAATATTCTTTTGTATCATTGTCTTACAAAAAAATATGTAGTTTAGTGTTGACGACACCTCTTTATCGTTACATTTGGCTTTGTATTGTATGGAAAATAATGTAAAATGAATGTGGAACTTGGTGTATCGAGGGCCGAACAAAATGGCTGTTTTCAGCCATGAGTCTATGAAATTCGTACCTTGGTGTGTCCCCACTCTTTTGTTACACCTTATACGTTTGCTTGCACTCACGGATTCTTTTCTGATCGAAAGTTTTTCACTCAAGAAGGCCGTGGCGTTGCTCGCACCGACTCGTGTTGATACGTTTCCTTTAATTCAATTAGCCGGATTGTCAGAAGTAGCGAGAAAATGGCAGCGATCAGCCTGTTAAACCCGAAAGCCGAATTCGCGAGATCTGCTCAGGCTTTGGCAATTAACATTTCTGCGGCGAAAGGCATTCAAGACGTCATGAGAACGAACTTGGGCCCCAAGGGAACCATGAAGATGTAAGTCGCATGCGACATTCAGATTTTTGGCTTCCCCTAATCTTGCAGCAAAAGCTAGCCATGAATATCTGCCGCCTCGCTAAATATAATAAAATCCCATATACAATATTACATCGATGAGTCGTTTGGGAATACTGGAGCGAAGTGACCATGCTTCCAATGTGCTTTCCTTATAAGGCCATATTCTCCAGGCGTTCATTAAAGCTTTTAATACAATATAAATGCCTCGTAATGTTCATCGTATTTTAAAAAATAATTTGCATTGGGCGTTTTGCAATTTATACCGTAAATGCTTAATGCAGTTTTTATATCGAGTGTTAATTATTTATAGGTTGGTTTCTGGAGCAGGTGACATTAAAATCACTAAGGATGGTAATGTTCTGCTTCACGAAATGCAGATTCAACATCCTACTGCCTCGCTCATTGCCAGAGCTTCCACTGCTCAAGACGATATAACTGGAGATGGCACGACTAGTACGGTTTTAGTTATCGGAGAACTTCTTAAACAAGCAGAATTATATATAAGCGAGGGTCTTCATCCTAGAGTGCTCACCGAAGGATTCGAACTAGCCAGGGCTGTTACTATCGAAGTTTTGGAGTCTTTGAAAATTGCTATCGAACCTACTAAGGAGAATTTATTGGACGTTGCTAAAACGTCCCTTAAAACAAAGATTCATCACTCTATTGCCGACAAACTGACCGATATTTGCGTCGATGCTGTATTAGCAATTAAACAGGGCGATAAGCCGGTCGACTTACATATGGTTGAGTTAATGGAAATGCAGCACAGAACCGCTGCTGATACTACTCTAGTTCGTGGTATTGTAATGGATCATGGATCGAGGCACCCTGACATGCCTAAGAAAGTCGAAAATGCTTACATTCTTACTTGTAACGTCAGCTTGGAATATGAAAAGAGTGAGGTATATAGATTTATTTTTTATGTCCGGTACTGTATAACTTAAAATCCCTTTAAAGAGATATTTTATTACATCATATATCTTTTTATAGGTTAACAGTGGATTCTTTTACAAAACTGCCGAAGAGCGAGAAAGACTCGTATCGGCTGAACGTGAGTTTATTGACAACCGTGTGAAGAAGATTATTGCCTTAAAGAAAAAATTGTGCGATGGTACAAACAAGTCCTTTGTTGTAATAAATCAAAAGGGTATCGACCCGCCTTCTTTGGATTTGTTTGCAAAGGAAAATATTGTGGCCCTTCGTCGTGCCAAACGTAGGAACATGGAGCGCTTAGCACTTGCCTGTGGTGGTACTGCGATGAACTCTGTAGATGATCTGAAAGAAGAGAATTTAGGATGGGCTGGTCTTGTATATGAACATGTACTGGTGAGTAATTATTCTTACAAAAAATATTTATACATTGAACAAATTTTATGAAACAATATTTCTAGGGAGAAACCAAGTACACCTTTGTTGAAGAATGTAAGAAACCCACGTCTGTGACAATTCTTCTAAAGGTACGTAATATGATGATATCTTGATCAAATTGATAATCAAATTTTTTTGGACATTTCGTTAATAACTTAAGATTTTTATCGTATCTTTATTATCTCTACCATACATGTACCATATTGTTTTTATTATTAAAGGGTCCGAATAAGTACACATTGATTCAACTGAAGGATGCGATTCGGGATGGATTGAGAGCTATTAAAAATGCCATTGACGATCGCGCTCTCATTCCCGGTGCTGGGGCCTTTGAAGTATTTGCTCATCGTCGTCTTCAAAACTATAAGGAAGAAGTTAAAGGGAAACAGCGTCTTGGAGTTCAAGCATATGCCGAAGCTTTGCTGGTTATTCCAAAAACGCTTGGTACGTATGCAACCGTATTCGATATTTCACAGATAATTCCTCGTTTAGTTACTAGTATAAAATTTAATTTTAATTTATATAATACTAAAAGATTTATAAATTTCAGCTGTTAACAGTGGCTTCGATGCCCAAGATAGTATCGTGAAACTGTTGGAAGAAAGTAAACTGTTGGATGAGCCAGTAGGACTGGATCTTTCGACTGGCGAAGCCCTCAAACCTAAGGATGCTGGAATTTATGATAATTACATAGTTAAAAAGCAAATTATCGATTCATGGTAAGTCATCGATGTTCTTCCCTGTATAATTTTGGTTAAATGCATGGTTAACTCTAGATTATTAATTTCCTGTTCATTTTTTTTCAGCACCGTCATTGCCAGCAATCTTCTGCTTGTAGACGAGATAATGAGAGCAGGAATGTCCTCCTTGAAAGGCTAATGTTCCGAGTACTCGGCTACCAAATAATTTAAGGACAATTGCAAATGGCCCAGCGACTAATTATATTCTTTACACGTTTTGCATATTTTCCTGCAATCAAGTATGTTGCACGGTTTAACTTGTAATTGTACGCTTGATATTAAAACATAAAAATTAAGGCCTCAGAATTTCATTGAGTATTCGTAACCAATCGCATCGATTTTTACTTCGAATTCTAAATACTATTTTTAGCCTCGCTACCTATTAACCTCTTTTGTACTTTTTCGACTACTTTGAAATAAAAGTATCCTAAATCGAATAATTTGAATCTACGAGTTTATAAAAATCAAAAATATTTATTTCCAGTGGTATGTTACAAAGTATGTACAGGTCTTGACTACGGCTAAGTTTCATTTAAATTATGTAGGACACTCATGTCAGTCTTGTCTTTTCGAGCCAGAAACTTACTCCTCTCGCTCTCCTCTCGCACTAAACTAAATAACTAAATACTTAAGTAGAAACGAAAGCTAGGTTAGGTGTATCTTGTCACCGAATGTCAACCAAGGGCCAAACAACCCGAGGGAACCAAAGTAGTCAATTTATTAGTAACGCTGCGAAACACATGGCTCAGTTCAACTTCTTTTGAGTGTCAAAAGACTCGACTTACTTGCGAATCTTGTATTCGGTACACACTGTACATATCACATATAAATACAAACGCGGGTGATAAACCGCGTCCTCATGAATGCAGTCCTAAGCCTCGGAGGCCACTTCGTAAAAACGAACTAATTGACCTAACCTCAAAAAAAAAAAAAGAAAAAACGGAAAAGACTTCAAGCATATAATACAGGATGAACATTCTACGTTAAAAGTGTGTACGAGGAGTCGAGCACTCAAACAGAAGATTCGCTGTCCAGCTTTGAAACAATAAATTAACTAGCTTGCCCTATACGATAAAAGAAAATTGTAATCCGAGAGAAACAGGACTACAATTTACTGGACCTTCCCTTCGGAAAGATCGTAATGCGCAGGTAAAACTTTATCGTTCCGATAACAATAAGTGCAGTTTCACGTGCTGGTGCTTTGGAAATAAACGGGTCAATGTCGACGTTGCTTCTACAACGAAGTGATTACTATTAAGCAGATAAAAGAAGACAGAAAAAAAAAGAAAGAAATTGTAATGCCAACTGAAACACTGTTAAAGCGACGGCTCACAAATTTTTGGTACTGGTTAATGATTCATTGAAGCATTGCGCGTCTATACATGCCTGTTAATTAAGAACATGTCCGAGTACATCATTATCAGTTCACGTAATCATAAAACAAATTGGAAATGTTCCGAGCTTTGTCGATATTTCAAGTGATTGGCCGTTGTCCAGGAACCCGTTAATAATTTCGGTTTCTACAAAATATGCAATCAGTCCTTCATTCCCTCCTAATCGTTTCAAATTGAGCTCACTTTCCCGGGTTTCCAGTTGGCACTCCTGCCGCGCTTAGCGTCGACCAATCAGCGGCCGCGTGACGTCATTCGACAGAGCGCTGATTGGCCAGCGCCGAGGGTGGGAAAAATGTCGCCAACCGAAAGTCTATCACCTCGAGACTAAACCCTATTAATTGATACGATCCTCATACACTTCTTTCTGGCGGCCGACCTTCCGGCAAGTAAATGCTATTTCCTATTGGCAGCTGCCGCAAGAGGGCGCGTCAGTTTGCAGTCCTTTAGCATAACCCTGGGATTGATGTTGATGAGCTGCGCCAGGGTGGTGCAGTTCACTTTCATCTGATGTCCCCCGACCACCATGTACGTGCTCAAGACGGACAAGTCAACCGGAGTCCTGGGGACCCGGTAATACGAAACTTGAGGAGATTTGCTCGGGTCACCCCCGGCATCCCTGCAGCCCTCCAGGGCGAACGTGATCCCCGGCGGGTACCTCGGCAAAGGGTTGGTCGACTTCCTGGCGACCGCCTTGAATTTCGTAGGCGAGGGCATCAATCCTACCGACGACCTGGCCGTAGACTTCCTGGCCACGGAGCCCTTCTTAGGACTCGCCCTCTCCACCTTCACCTCCACGTTATTGTAAGACACCCTCGCCATCATGTTCTCGACGAGTTCCTCGTAATTCGTTATACTCTCGATTTTCTGTTCCATGCCAGGATGGGCCTCGGCATTATGCGTGGTAACCAGGTTCGGCAAAGCAAAGGCCTTGTCGCAGTGCTTGCACTTGAAGAGGTCTATGTGCCTAGCCACGTGTTTCTTCATGTTCCCCGGAGAGGTCGTCGCATAAGGACACTCCGGACAAACGATCTCCCTGACGTCTTCACTTCTTCTTTTAACTTTCAGGGCTAGATGGGAGTGGAACATGTTGTGGTGGTGCTTGGCCTTCGCCTCGGACTCGCAGAGTTCGTTGCACCAGTCGCAGACCCAGCCGTCCTGCACGGGCTCTTCAGGGTCTACGAAGTCCGGAGGGAGGTCCTTGTGCTTCTGCTTCATGTGAGCCCTCAGGGTCTGCCTGGTCGCTGTCTTCGGACAGTAGGCGCACTTGAGCACCTTCTGCGGAGGCGGCACGGCCACGTAGATCTCCCTGTACCTGAAGAAGAGTTTACCTTTGGGTGCGCTTCCAGATGCACTGCTGGGCTTGGAGTCCTTGTGCGCCATGGTCCAGTGAGACTTGACCGTGTCCACGGAGGGGCTCCTCATGGAGCAGTAGAAACAGCAGTACATCAGCTTCTGCTTCGCCGGGGTGCTCTCGATGACTGCGACCTCCTCCTCTATCACGTCGTCGCTGTAGTCCTCTACCTTGCGGACCTTGCTCGGCGGACTCGGGGACTGCGAAGGACCCGGCTCTTCCTGTTTCACCCCCGAGTGGCTGGTCGCAAAGTGCTCCAGGACCTCCGCTTTCGTCCCTCCCACGAAGACGCACAGAGAGCACTTGATCCCCGTCTCCGAGGAGTGCGACCTCATGTGGATCTTCAGACCGGAAACCGTCAAGGCCACGAAGTCGCAGACCGTACACGTCATGTCGACCTCGGACTTGACGATCTCCTCCGCTTGTTTCTCGACTTTCTCCAGGCTGACCTTACGCTTTCGTTTTTTAGAACCCGATTTCGAGCTCCGAGGACACGTCAGGCCGTATTCCTTCTCCCAGAACTCATCCGTTAACTCAGGACCTCCCGCGTCCGGATTGGGGATCACCTTCTCTAGCTGGCCAGGATGTTTCGTGTGGATGTGTTGCCGCATCATCGGCTCGGAGTTGGTGCTTCTATCGCAATATGGACAGAGGAACCCTAGACGTTTCAAGTGGTTCACCTTGACGTGCAGCTTGAAACCTCGCCAGCTCGAGATCCGCACGTTGCAGTGCTTGCATGGAGGCGGCATGTCGACGTCCTTCGGAGGAACTGCAATTTTTTATTAACAAACATTTAAATCAGTCCCTGGCGATTTACCCGCTGGGCAGAAGGTCTCTTCCCCATGAAAATTGGGATGAGACACCGATAAGAATTTTTTCTTTATCAAACCTTACGCACCTATTATCGGTTTTTTCTCAATTTTAATGATGGAAAGGTTTTCCTTCGTGTCCTCGACGTCGTCCTGGACGTCGTCGTCGTCGATTTCCACTATCGCGCTCTTGCTGTCCGCATTGCTGATGGAACCCGTCTCGATGGTGTTATCAGTGTCTGTCGAGATTTCCGATTTCTGGGGCGATTGCAACTCTTTCGAGGACTCGCGCTCGGTTTCGATGTTCGGGGTCTCGTTCCTGCCGGTCCCTCGCATCTGGTTGAACTGCTTCCTCAGCAGGCTGGAGACCTAATGAAGGCACGTACGATTTTTAAACATGTGTATGGACAATTGGGGTTCAATTGAATTTTCATTAGGCACGCACCCAATCCTCGATGTCCATTTTCACAGGAAGCGACTCGAACTCGGGGCTGTTCTCGGAATGGTGCTTCACGAAATGTTTCTTCAAAGTGGTCCCATTCGTCGCCAAGAATCCGCATCCTTTGCACTTCCACCTGAACATTGAAGGGAGAATTTAGTAATCGAGACTGTTTAATCCCCTTTTAAAAATAACATTCATAATCCTGTTCAAGGTGGCGTCAGAGATCAATTTTTTTTTTATTTGTTCATAAATATTTTCTACATAGTAAGAAATGAAATTTCATGTGTTTCAGGACCTTCCTTATACCCTTTGTAAAGTTTGAGATCAAGTAGGGCGAAAAGTTTCATGAACGATTGACCCCTGGTGCCCCTTTGACATCCTCTTAAGGAAAAAAAAAAAAAGAGAGAGAGAGGTGCGTAATTTTAATTGTTTTCAAAAAATTTATAACAAAAATGTGAATGAAACTTTGAAAGATAAATGTTAAAATAAGCTGGATATATATATATATCAATAATGAAATATTCGATCTTTCACCGACGTATTTGGTATCTGTTGACATTCACCGGTGAAAGTCGACATTCTCCAATTTCGGTAATTCACGGTAACATATATATATATATAATTTCCAGGAAGAAAAAATGATCATACTCAGAAATGAAATTAAAGGTATTCGTAGCAAGGTGCACAGCTCACCTGGCGTACATCAGCTCCTTGTATAAATGGTCCTTCATGTCGTTCTTAGACTTAACTTTATACTGATTGCAGATCGTACAGACAAAGGAGTTCCCATCGGGTTTACCATAGGGACCGAAGACGCCGATATCGGAGTCGCTGAGTTCATTAAAATCATCGGAAGCAACGCTTTCGGTGACATCGCTGCTAGAGAAGGAGACGTCGAGGGACTGAGTCCTCTTCGAGGAAGTGTCCTTACTCTGCCGAGTCGGCCGAGTCTCCTTGGTCGATTTCTCCTCCTCCTCTGTCTTCTTCTCGGTGGACAAAGATCGTTTCTGAACATCCTCCGATTTATTCCCATCGAGAGAGCTAGCTTTACCAGCCCTGACTTTTGCCGGTTTCCCGGAGCCGGGGTCGGCGTCGCTCTTCCGTTTCCCCGATTTAATCGGGGTGTCCGAGCTGGCGACTTCGTCTTCCTCTTCGAGAAGTATCCCCCTGATGTGTCTTATACGAGGCATGTCTCTCCTCCAAAGGGGAGTCGTGTCGAAGGGCTCGTCCTGGGAGACTTGCTCCGGCGTATCGGTGATCTTCTTCGAGGTCCTCTTTATCTTCTGGTAGACCATCGTGTACTCGACGTTCGGCTCCTTCGGGTGCTTCCCAGTGACATGCTGCTCGAAACTGACCTTCCCGTTGGTCTTGTACGAGCACAGGGTGCATTTGTACTGAGACTTCTCGTCATGGGCCGAGGAAGCGTGGCTGATCATCTCCATCTTGTAGACGCACTTGTGCTCGCAGATGTTGCATTTCCAGTGGTTGCCGTCAGGGTCTGGCAGGTCCTCTTCGAGTTCCCCTTGAGGTGTCTGAACGTTCTCCGTGCTTTCCAATTCTCTGATCACCTTGACGAAGGGTCGCTTCTCGGGATGCTTGTCGGCCAAGTGTCTCTCCACGACGTGCCTGTTTCGGAAGTCTCAGAATTACCGAAAGCTGCGACGCTGAAGAACTATTTTAGGATACGATACCACTAAAAATAAAATTACCTGTGGTAATGATGGTGATTGCAGTGGGAACACTTGTAGAGCCTTGTATCATGCATTTTGAGATGGACTCCCATTTTGTCGATGGCTATATTCTGAGACTCTTGACCCACCGGTACTTCGGGGCAGTGAGGGCATCGGAAGAATGGCTCTTCGGAGTGCAAGGCCTTCAAGTGGTACCTCAACATCGCCTCGTCCACTGTTAAATAATTGCATTCGGCGACGCCGCAAACGTACCTGTAATAATATATGAATTACCTCATTGTTCGGTGTCAAAAAGAAAAAAGATTTCGATTTTTTAGAGAATTATTTCAGTTACCTCTTGTGTTCCGGGACGAATTTCGGCAGAGACTCGTCGTCTTCTTGATCTTTACTCGACTCCTTCGTCCTTCCACCCATTCGGCCATTTTCGTGGGAGCTGCTGGCCAGGTTGACCATTTTATCGAACATTCGCTCCCTTTTGTCCAGACAAGGCACAGGATTCACTGGACCTGATTCTGGCACGGTTTCGTCCTTGGCGTGAAGCTGAAGATGCCTGACAATGTTCGTTCTCACTTTTGTTGTGTATGGACACACTGCGCACTGCACCTCCCTGTTGTAAATTGCTTGTCGAGGAAGAGATTCGATCTCGTCAGGGCCAAAAGTAGTCTTCTCAATCTCTGCAGATTTGTCCACCTCTTTCTCGACTATGGGAACTTTTGTTGGCACCTTCGCAGTAGCTCGTTTCCTCCCCTTCCCCTTTTCGCCCGTGGTCGGCTGGAAATAAATTTAATCCTTAACTGTTTCTTCAAAAATAGTACGTTATTTCTGAGAAAAAAAAAAGATGTTACTTTGATTTTTATTTATTTATTTATAGGAATTGATAAGGAGCAGGTAAGATGCACCAGAATTACCATCGGTTGTATGATAAAGAGTCCCTCCGCAGATGGATTCTTCGGATCGGCAGGAACCAACTTGCTGTGCTTAAATTTGTGCTTGTGTCTCATATGAGAAGTGGCCTGGTACGGCAAGGTGCATCTTTTCTTGCATAAAGAACACCCAAAACGCTTCAACCCATGGACTTTCAAGTGATCGACCAAGAAACGAATCTGTAGGAACCTCTTGCTGCAGTGAATGCAGGTTAGGTTCATGCTGCCATCGGACAAGTTGCAATTCTTGATGTGAGACTTCAGCAACAAGGCAGTTGCCGCGCTAAATGTGCAATTTTTATATCCACACTTGAATAAATCTTCTCCATCCAAGCCAGTGTTTTTAATGTCTTCCAAAGTCAGAGGCTTGTCTTGCACCTTCGGAGCTTCGGTCTTACATTTCACCTCGTCTGCATCGATACTCTCGGCATTATCAGTGTCGACATTGTCAGTATTGTCAGCATTGTTAGCATTATCAGCATTGTCAGCATTGTCAGCATTGTCAGCATTGTCAGCATTACCAATATTCTCAGTATTCTCATTTTCAGTACTGCTTTCGTTTGCAGAGAGCTGCTTGTCTTCTTCGATAACATCCAAGACTTCGATCTTTGGTTCAAGCGGCTTCGCAGCCTCCTCTTTCGTCGCGACTCTCCTGATGTTCATTCTGCTAGGTGGCGCAAAGTCTTCCAAAATCTCGATATCACTGTCATAATTGTCGTCTTGAGTTTTATCACAATCGGTACTAAAGGCAGATACATTAGACCGGTCTTCGACACTCTTCAAGAAATCTGGATTATCCAGCACATTCATGTTGATAAACTCATCGCTGCAATTCAAACTTTCTGCAACTCCCAAGGGATCTACCGTATTATTCGCATCGCTGTTCACAAAGCGAAGTACCAACTCTGGTTCCTGAAGAATATTTTGATTAAGAGGTTCGCATAAACTCTTCGGGCCCTCTTTGATGACACTAACGGTGCGACTGTTGAACAAATGCTGGAACTCCGAATCGTCCTGCAGGACTTTCGTAAACGCCTGTTTTCTGGACTGAGATTTGGATTCTGTCCTCGGAGTTGAATTATCAGAAGCGGGAGAACTATTTTTCGAGTCTGAGGACCGATTTTCAGTCAAGGACGTTTCCAGTGGTTTCTCGGATGATCTCCAGCTCGGCGATGCGTGGATTTTCTCCATTGTGAATGGGTTACTCGACGAGTTGTCAATTTTTCCAGGCTTCTCCGGACTGAGAGGGAAAAACCTACCGGCTGTTAAGTCCAGGGCCACGGGAGAATCGATGTTAATTTTACTTGGGGAGTTCAGCAACTTCGGGCTTTTTTCCAGCCCTGGAACCGGCCTGATCGTTTCTGTGGAGCACTTGTAAACCTCGTCCACATTTCTCAGCATCAGCTGTTCTATCACGTCCTTGTTCTTTACCGGCTGAAAAGGAAAGTAAAAATAATTATTTTACCACGCCATTAGAATTTCTAGTGCGTTTCGTTATCCTTACATAAAAAGATCCTTAACTTTAAGGACATTACTTACTAAATGTAATCAATTATTTTTAGAGATTAATTTAAATACAAATTCTCCAGGGATTTTTATAACTCTCGAGAATTTAAAAACACATGTATTCCTGTAAACCGATTTATCAGGATCGTATCTCCGTTATTTCAGGAATTTTCAATTCTTACCCGTGGTGGAAGACACCTTTCCATGATGGTGGGCTTTTGATGGTAATGGAAGCTGCTGAGATGGAAGTGCAGCTCCGAGATGGTGTCCGACCCGTTCAGGCAATAAATGCACTGGTACTTGTAAATCCCGTGAATCTTGTAATGCTACAAAAGAATTCCAGGTAACCACTTGCCACTAGTTATACAAATGAATAAACATTGGGAATAGACAAACCGAGACAAGATTTTCAGCTTTCAGAAGAGTAGCCGGGCACAGGTGGCACTTGAAGATGGACAACATGGAGCAGTGCTTCGTCTTCAAATGACTAATAAAAGTCTCAGGTACGTAGAAGAACTTGCCACATTCTGGAAGAACACACCCACCATGAATTTACCTACTCCAAAATCCCTAGACATTGCAAACCTCGAACCTACCATGTTGGCAGACAAATGGCTGGACAAACTCTTGCTTGTTGATGACGACCGGCGGTGGGTTCTCCTTCACCATGGGATCAAGAAGAACGACAACAGACTTCCCGATATGGCTGGACAGCTGACGAGGAAGAGCACATCGATAAGTGAATAGAAGTACTTTCTTCAGGTATGGGTACATTAAGGTGAAGTGAAACACGTCGAGGAACTTGATCAACGTCGATAAAGACGATTTTTCTAAATGCCTACGTTGCCGACGTTCGTTTTTATATTGACAGCTGTGTCGAATTATATTGTGTATTGTACCAAATGGCATATTCCACCTGTCGTTTTCGTACAATAATTATGAAGAAATCGAAGTAAAACTCCATAAATCCTCTGGATTCATGCCTTCTGGGCCCTAATTGACTGCGGAGGGACCCCCTGCGCCATCTGTGATTTCCAGGTCAATTAAATTTTCACTCCGAGACCTCGTATTACCATCATTTTAGCAAAGAAGCGCATACAACACTTTTTTTGCCTTTATCTCGTTCAAATTCGAGTTTATCGATTACCAGAGTGTTCTAAATTGTTGTAAAATTGTCCTGACCCTTTCGATTCTCATATCAGAGCCTTCGATAATTGTATATTGATCAAAATATGAGAGCTCGACGCCATTTTGGTTCTGGTCTGGGCTGAGTTAAAAAATCTTGTTAAAAAATCCAAATTTTGAATGTGTCAGGACAATTCTTAGATGATCAGGAGTGATGTGTCAAAGTTTTGGACAGTTTGGCCTAATACCCTTAAAAAAGTGTTGTATTCGAATCGACTGATTTGAAGGATGTTTCACTTCACCTTAAATCCTAGATAGAGAATCGTCATCCAAGGTACGTGGAGGCTACCTGGTGTATCTCGATGTAGGACTCTACAAGGCCCCTGTAGAAGCAGTAGCTGCATTGGAACCGACAATAGACATGTTTCTCGTCAAAATGTTGCTTGAACTGTGTCCAATCGGCCAGTACGGTGTAGCAATAGGGACAAGTCCTGTAGTCGTTGCTGGGCACGGCTCGCTTTTCACTAATGGACTTTTCATGTTCCAGGTAATGCGAATGGAACATCTCTACCGAGCTGGTGGTGAAGCTGCAGGAGCGAGCCATGCACTTGTACAGGTGTCGCAGCTTCTCCTGGGTCAGCATCAAGCTCAAGGTCTCAGGGGTCTTCAGCTTCATCGCCATCATCTGGCCAGCGTGCTCCTTGTGCTTTAGGATACTCCCAGCTCGCACGACTTTCACTATTTTGTAATTAAGCTTTGGCGTGGTAACGTTCTCTACGTTGTAGGCGGTCGCCTGGCTAGAGGAACTGGCATTCTTACTTGGAGACACAGGAAACGAGAGACTGTTGGGATCTACGTGGACGGTCACATTCGGCTTCCCTGAAATGGAGACGAACCCACCAGAGAGGCTTCCTGCGGGTGGCGGGACAGGGATCAGCTTGAGTCCTTCGGGAAACTGCTGGTTCATTGACTGGACCGTTCCTGAAAGGGTCACCACCTGGGCAGGTCTGATGGGTCTCTTCAGAATGATGGGGCCGGTCTTCAACAGAGACAACCGCTGCTGGCCCTTCGCCGGAGAAGTCTCCGTCAAGGGTCGCACGTTCTTAACCTGTGGACCAAGAACTTGAAGAGGACCCTGCGGAAGTCGCACTGTTCTACCTTCTTACTTCTAACAAGGAAACATTCCCAAGTGTCCGCCTCCGATCTTATTGAGTTTCATATATGTTGAAGAACACAAAAATCTAAGAGACACGTGTTTTTTTATATCTGCAATGGTCCACATTTAAGGGGTGAAAGAACCCCCCAAAGTTTAGCGAAAAATCGGTTTTTTAAATATTTTTCGTAGGAGCAGTGGAGGGATTTCGACGAAACTTTGCATAAACGTATTCTGTATAAGGACGGTGACAACACAATATTGTTCAGCAATGTTGCACCCCCTCAAGGGGGTGAACTACCCTTCAGGTGACATTTTTTTGTAATATCCATTAAACAAGCACTCCTACTTAAGTTCCACTTACGCGATGTGATTGCTCGCAAAAAATTAAGAAATTCGTGTTTTTTGCTTTTTGCCAATAAACGTTTAAACATCGGTTGTCGAAAAGTTTCGTCAAAATCCCTCCACTGCTCCTACGAAAAATATTTAAAAAACCGATTTTTCGCTAAACTTTGGGGGGTTGTTTCACCCCTTAAATGTGGACCATTGCAGATATAAAAAAACACGTGTCTCTTAGATTTTTGTGTTCTTCAACATATATGAAACTCAATAAGATAGGAGGCGGTCACTTGGGAATGTTTCCTTGTAAGTCGGCGTTGAAGGCAAATGTATAAGTATTAATGATGAATTCACTTACAGAACTCTCACTGGTGGCGTTGTCGGATGCGAGACTCATGACGCTCTCGATCTTCAGGAAGGAACAGTCGTCGTCATCTTCTTTCGACTCTGAAGGGTTCCCACTAGGCGCTTCAAGGAAAGGAACACGGCTTTACATTTCGGACTCAATCAAGAAGCTCTAGGAAGCGACGAGCTGAATGTGGAGAACGAGAGAGTACCTTCTCAGAAACCACAAAAGTAGTTTCTTCAAGGTCTCTCATGTGTTTGTTCAACTTAAGGACTAGGGAAAATAATTTGGTGCTCACCAGTACTTGAAGAAGAGGTGCTCTCCTGGCCGTCGTTCGCAGGTCCAGGAATGGACAGCTTGTCTCCACTTAGTCTTCTAGGTCTGATGATGAAATTCTTGGGCTTGTCATCTTGTTTGGCAGATTGAGTTCCTTGTTTAGCTTCTGTCTGATTTTCAGACTTCGGGAGCTGAGCATCGGACGCTTCAGCGGGTTTCTGCTCGAAGAAGCGCTTGATGCTGGAAATGGGGACGACGTTGGGAGGCTTAGGAATGACTTTCGTCGCAGGAATTTGCCCTCCATTTTCCTGACCAGGAGTCAAGATAGCATCATCCTCGGCAGCAGTTTGGGGCAACGTCTTCCCCTGAAGTTGTGCAGCCAGCCTCTGAATAGTCGTCATCATGAGACCTTTGGAAGACCCATTGATGTCCGACGTTTCCTTCAGCAAGCTATTCACATCAGTCTGCATTTCCTCGTGGTCAGTGTCCGAGGAATCCGAGTCATAAGGTAAATTACCCTGCACGTTGTTCTCGTTATCGCTGGTTTCCACGTCGCTCACGTAGGTCTTGAGGGGTTCCCCGACAGTGGTCAGTGGGTCTTTTAGCTTGCCTTCAGCTTTGACCTCGTCAAGGCTGGGCGCATCATTGTTATTCTGCTCACCACCCTCTACAGGAGCCCTTAATCCCACTTTTGCTTCAGGTGCAGGCTCCGATCGAGCATCGTCATCGGTCTTCAACTGTGTTCCCGAACTTGAAGCACCAGTTTCGCCAAGGGCAAGATCTGCAGGAGTCGCCAACGCATCTGAAGTAGCCGCTGAAGGGTTTGTCGAAGTCTCCTCGCGATCCAGATCAGTACCCATGATGTCCTTCAGCTTGTCCGTGATGGACAGCCCCTTCCTGGGTGAGTCCTTGTTCACCTTGATGCCGATGTTTTCAGCAATCTCCTGCATCCTCTTCATGCGCTCCATCTGGATCTCCACCTCTTTGTTCTCCAGCTCAGGTGGACACACGAAGGCACTCAGGTTCCCAGCAAGCGTGGATTGTTCCGGAGTGTCTTCCTTAGGTACCACATCTTCAGCAGATGCCAAAGACGCCTCTGCATCGTTAACATTATCCGGAAGGGGCATGGTATCCGAGTCTTCATCCGCCACATCCGGTGCCGATAGGACGAACCTCGGCTCCTCCACGTCGTTCGACGCTTCCAGTGCATCCTCTACTGGAGAAGCAAACTCATCAACATGGGATTCCTCTTTCGGAGTTTCCACGTCCATCGACACACAGGCAGGTTTCTCTTCGGTTTGCACATCTAAAGGTACCGCATCATTTGGCAATTGTGTCTCATCTTTTATATCAGTTTCGCAGACCCCAGCAGCCGTGACGGACTCTAGGTTCCCAGGTAACTGGGAACCATCGTCAACTTCTTGTGCCGATTTCCGAGCAACGTCTTCAGGTACGCTGAAAGGTTCATCTCGGGCACTGGGACCATCCACCATGTCGTTGGACATGTTGATCTTGATGATCTCCGTCCCTAAGGCGTCCGTGTGCCACTCTTCAACGTGTCTCTCCAGGTTCTGCCTCTTCAGCTGGACAAAATTGCAGAGCGAACAGATATACCCGTAAATCCGACTATCCTCCGGCACCTTCTCCTCGATAATAGCGCCGGAAATGCTCTCAGCGAGAGTCTTTCGACACACCTTGTAGTAGTGGGTCCTCATGGAGGACTTCGCCACGGTTTGATAAGGACAACCAGCGCACTTAAATCTGTACTCACCGGTGTGTGTCGTGCAGTGCTCGTAGAAGGCTTCCATCGCCATGTTGCACACACCTTCGGTTCTCAGGTGACAAAACTTGCACCTAAACTTATATGTGTCTTGTCGAGGCTCCGTAGGGCTATGCTCGAAGTCTTGCTCTTTAGCTTCGCTGATAGCCCTTTCCGCTTCAGGGACCGGAAGCCTCGATATAGACACTTCTTTATCAGGATGGTTTAGCTTATAGTGATGCACTATGTTCTTCCCATAGAAGAAGCAGTGCAGACATTTGTACCTTTCTTGCCCGACCCAGGTGTAGCTCACCAGCTGATCGGCGTTCATCACTGCCGGAAGACTCCTCTTCGTCACCATGTCTTCATCCTTCACCATGGTCAGCTCAATCACGTCTTCAGGGTCTGTACAACTCACTTCTGGAGGTTCCTGCTTCTCGCATTTCGGGGGAATTGGGATTTCGGGAACTTCAGGGATCTCTTCGGCTTCGCACTTGGTCTGCACTGTTAGTGGGATCCCTGAAGAGGGTGTAACATCTTCCACTTCTTCCTTGGTTCTCACATTCGTTATACAGATTCCTGGTAGCTCCACCGGCTCTTCAGCCTCGTGCTTGGTTCTCACCTGTGTGATCTGGATTCCCGATTGGGTCTCTTCAGCTTCCTGCTCGGTGGTCACTTCCACTTTCGGAACTCCTCTGCTTGGAACGTCGACCTCGCGCTTGGGCACTACGTGTGTTATTTTAACGTCTTCACCATCAGAAACTTCAATCTTTATCTTATCTTCTGTTATTGCGATTCCTGTACCCTGTTTGTCCTTGGTGGATACATCATTGACCTCCTTCTCTGCTTTCAGAGTGTTCGGGGTATTTGGTGGAGCTTCAAGGTCCAGAGAGCCATCCCCGGGAGCGTCGTCATCGAGAATAGTGATCAGCTCTGCACTGAAGGACGCGTTAACTCTGGGAAGTGGCTTCTCTTCAGTAGTGATGGTCTCGTCTTTCGTCACGATTTCGCTGTCCAGGTACCCAGGTCTCTTTATGGTGGACTTGTCGACCCCCAGGAACCCATTATTCGGGATTTCGAAGGGCTTGACATCTCCATTGCCGACTGCTCCGCCACTTGCTGAAGAGTCTGCCTGTGTTGTAGGATTTGCCTCGGCCACGTTCGCGGGAGAAGCTGCGGAAGGACCTTTCTTCCTTTTCCTCTTGGAGACTATGCCCAGCTGCCAGTTGCTCTTCTTCTTCTTCTTCCTCTGATTCGGCTTTTTCGTGGTCTCGCCCGCCCCCAACGCGTCCTCCACCTCTTGATCAACCTCGGCGTCACTGGGCTTGTCGATATCCTGCTCGTTCTGTCTGTCCAGGTCCAACAGGATGTTCGTCAACATGTCTTCATTAGCGGTTCTGTGCGACTTTGCTACACTTCTATTGGTCTTCCTGCCCGATGCCGAAATATTGCTGCTGGTCATTGAGATGTCGGAAGTCATGCTTCCCTCATCAGTGAAGGAAGCGTTCTCTCCAGTCTTGTCTTCAGCATTGAGAGCAGAAGTCTTCCTCTTCGGGGTTTGTTTGCGTTTGGCGGCGGCTCGAGGTTTCCTCTTAGGTGCCCCAAAGGAACCCGGTTCAGCTTGTTCTTCATGGTGAAGAGATATGTCGACAGCCGCCGTCAATTCCGATACGTCGATGCCGAAGCTCTCGTCAGAGGAACTGTCGAACATCGGCCTTGAAGAGTCCCCACCCAAATTCGGGTTCTCCAATGACGTCTTTCCCTCTTTGGACGCAGTCTTACGAGTAACGCGTTTGTTCTTCTGTAGAGAAGCGGCTTCTTCAGCGGTCCCTGAAGGAGGCAACTTCTCAGCGGTCAGAGGAACATGGAACATGGATCTGGCCTCTTCGAGTTCACTATCAGAGCTGTCCACGATGCTCCTGGAGAGCAGCTTCGCGGATCGTTTCTTGCTTCTTCTGGTGCCCCTGGACTTCAGACCAGCCTCTTCGGTATCCGATTTCGTCTTCGACTTCTTCTTGGAAAGCGAAGTGGACTCGTCCAGGCTGGACTCTTCGGCATCCTCGACTTGGTTCTGCGTAGGTGCTCCAAGAAGATTCGAATTGTCCAGGTTCGACTGACCCTCCTTCGCAGCCCTGCACATGCGACGACCAGTTGCAGTGACCACATCCTCGCAGATGAACATCTCCCTAATGTCTTCCTGCAACATCTCCAGAGAGTTCCTTCTTTTAGGTTTCTTCTTGCCCAAGGACTTGGCATCTTCCCTATTCTCCACGGATCCATCCAGGTCCTTCTGCTTGTCCGCCCTGGAGGTCCTTCCCTTCCTCTTCTCTTCAGCCTCATCTTCTGAATCTTCCACCGCGTCGCCATCTTGCTTCCTCCGCGGCTTCGCCTTCTTCTTTTTCTTCCCAGCTTCCTCATTCGCATTCTTCTCACTTGCAACGTCTTCGTTCCCGACGTCTTTGGAGCCGTCCAAAGCCTTGGATTTCCTCTCTCTAGGTTCATCGCTCTTATCTTTGGCCCCTTTCTTTGTTTGACCTTCTTCATCGCCTGCGTTCAACATGTTCAGTCTCTCCGCCAGGCACTCTTCCTCCGAGCTATCGGACACTATGACCCGCCTCTTCTTCTTGGCCGCAGTTTTCTTCAGCTCCTCCTCAGCACTGCTCTCAGATTCAGCGTTCATGAGCTTCTTCATCTCATTCTTCTTCGCGTTCATCAGGATCTTCTGAAGAAGCTGTGCGTCTTCCAGCCCGAGGGACTTCTTCACCAGTGCGTCGACGATCTCCTGCAGCTCGTCCTTCTTCAGCATATCCAAGCTTCTCCTGGCGCGAGCAGAGGCGTCTTCAGCATCATCCTTGGTAGCTCCCTTATTCTTCTCCTCAGGATTCCAGCTCTCGGCTGGCTGAGGATCGTCCAATGGGCATTCGTCATCCCAGTTTTCAGCCGGTTTGTTGGAGTCATTCCAAGAGTCGACCTGAACATCCTCAGCCCAATTCTGAGCAGGAGCACCAGGAGCCCAATTTTCTGCAGCAGGTTCGTCATCCCAATTTTCATTCCCCCCGCCAGAATTCCAGGACTCCTGATTCGCATCCCAGTTGTCATCAACCGAGTCAAGAGTCGGCTTCGGGGGTGAAGCCTGTTTCTTCAGCTTCGGTATCTTGAACTTTTGCAGGCCATAGCCCTGGCCCGTCTTCGCTTTGGTATCGACAACGCCATACAAGCTCTCCAACGGGGAATGCATCACCTCCTTGGAAGAAGGATCAGCACTAGCTCCCTGTTTGCTGCTGGTTCCAGGAACAGGGTTCCTCTTCTTCTTCACCTCTACCGGCTTGCTCTTCGGCTTTTCCTTGCTCTTTTGCGGCGGCACCGCAGGCCTCTTGTACTCCTTTTGCTCGACGACGCGTTTCTTGGGGTTCCTATCAACGGAGGACTGTATAGGGACCTTGATGATCGAGGGACCATGGGCAGGTACCTCCACAGGTTTCATTGGTAGCGGGGTCTGATTGGCCTTGGCAAGTCTAGGGTCCCTGCTAGCACTAGCAGTGACATCAGGACGAGTCCTAGGGTCTCTTCCAGAAAGAATCCTAGGGTCCTTTACGGGATTCCCATCTCTGGGTCTGTCGCTAAAGAACTTACGGCCCCAGACGATGGGAGCCTCGGAGTTCTGGTACCCACTGGACGCTGCAGGCCCAGAAGCGGGTGGACCTGCAGGTACAGGGAACGAATTGTCAGATCCCCCGTGGGGGGAGGAATCCCAGGACTCGCCGTTCTGGGCGAAGTCGGTGTTGGGTCTCTCGCAGTTCCATCCCGGATGTTGGTACCCCATATACGTGGGTTGGCCGACCGGGTAGGCTGGGGCCGCCATCATGGGTTGCATGTTCATGTCCCCTTGCATATTGGGGTTCGCCATGGACCCGACGACCTGGGTGTGAGCACCGGGGTACGTCACGTTCATAGGCATAGAGACTGACTGCACGGTGCTCATCCCATGGGGGTCCACGGGCATCGCATTGGACACCGGCGCCATGTTCCACATATCCTGATGCATGGGCATAGCCATCGGATAGGGACCCGGCATGCCTGGTGCCAGAACGGGTTGGGGGGCGGTAACGTTACCCCCATAGCCAACAGGCATCCAATGGGGGTTGCAGTAGTCAGCGGCCACGGTGTTGGGCTGGGGTATGGTTCTGAGATCGGGAGGTGGTCTGGGATCTGAAGGCACTCTGGGTGGTTCCGTCGGCAGAGGCGGTTGAATGGAAGGCCTCGACTCCGGTGGAAGTGGAGGCGCCGGTGGAGCTTCACCAGGCATGGGGGGCTGGTGATTGGGCAGTCTAGAGTCGCCATAGTACTCCGGGGAAGCAGAGCCGTCGCTCGTCTCCCCTGGCAGCGGCCACTTCATGTAAGACTGTGCAACGCTTTTGTCTATCGTGAAACTCAAGCCAGAGGTATCGTCCGATAACCGCGACAGCGTCTCGGACCCTGCGTTCTTATCGGATTCGACTTCTTGAAGGTGCCTGGAAAGTCGATCGTAGTAATCGGCATACCGGGGCTCGGATGGTCGCGGGGAGGGCGGACGGTTCCTGGGGTCCGATGACTTATCGCTAGACTTATCCGTAGACTTATCGCTAGACTTATGCTTAATCTTAATCTGATGCTTCTTTAGGTCTTTCTTGACCTTAACGAGCTCCTCGCCCAGGGTGCCCCTCTTCGGCTTGCTGTCGCCCTTGGCGTCGCCGTCGTCGTTCAGCAGCTCCTCGAGGTCCTCCATGGAGAGCGGAGGGACGGTCAGTACTGCGGGGGGCGACAGCAGCAGCGGCGCCGTGGTCTTCGGGGAGGTCTTCTTCGAGGTGGAGCTTCGCTCCTCCTTCGGCGACACTTTCTTCGGCCTGGGGAAGAGAATCTCCGGGTCGGGGGATTTAAGCCGCGCCTCTTGGACGTTCACCGGTGACTCCGGCCTGGAGTCCAAGTCCATCAGGTCCAGCTCCACGCCGCTGAGCCTGTTCTTCTCCAGCACCGACGTCAGCCTCCTGGAGCCCCCTAAGGATGGCACCGGAACTGTCGGCACGTGCGGCTCTAGTGGAACCCCGTGACCTCTCCTCTCGGGGTCCCTCCTCTTCGGCAAGTTGTTGCCCACCAGTTTCGCTGCAGTGGCCACATCCGGCCCAGTGGTCAGGACCGAGTGCCAGGGCTCCGTCCGCTGCTTCCTGTGGTTGTAGCGCTCCGAGTTCTCCAGGATATTCCAGTCGTTCGCGTCTTGCTCGTCCCTGTCCTGGTATTTTCTGGGCTCCCTGACGCCGTTCAGCGGTATGTACATCGGGATGGGTCGAGGGGACGGCACTCGCTTTCCATTTGGCGACCCTGGAGGACTGTCCCAACACTCCGGGCTCGGCGACCTCTTCTTCGCTACCGCCGGTTCCTTGTACCTATCCTTTCGCTTCACCTCGTTGCGGCCTTCGTACGACTTCGTGCTATCTCGCTTCTCTAGGCGGCTCTTTCGTTTCTCCTTTCGCTCACTGTTTCGCTCGCTGTCTCGCTCGAACGTGGTGGCGCTGTCTACCACCTCGCCCGTACTGAGCCGCATCTGCCTCTCGAAGAGGATGTCGAAGTCGCTTCTAGCCTCGAAATCCTCGCATCTTTCGGTCGGTATTATCACTGGCCTCAGAAGCGAGGAGCAATCGGGACTAGCAGGAGGACTCGGACTTGCGGGTGTTAACTCCATTATTTCTTCCTGAAATCTACACTCCCAGAATTGCGTGGGGTCGATCAGATCGACGTCGTCGGAACTGCAACAGAAACGCATCTCCCGCCATTAGTCGTCCTAGCCTAGACCTCGATACGGAGTTGAAACAAATGATAGCGAATAATCATATGCAACGCTTCGCCGAATAAAAAGTGTATCCGTAAACCTCGGGACTATTTAATTAAATTAAATTAATTAAATGAAATAATGAAAAGAAAAAATATCAGCCATGCCTCGGATAATATAAAGTGCTGTTAATGTTTATAATAGACTAAGGGGCTCTACACTGAGAAAGAAAAAAAAATTTGAACATGAAACAATTGAAAATTGAAACAAATGATAGCGAATAATCATATGCAACGCTCCGCCGAATAAAAAGTGTACCCGTAAACCTCGGGACTGAATGAAATAATGAAAAGAAAAAATATCAGCCATGCCTCGGAAAATATAAAGTGCTGTTAATATTTATAATAGACTAAGGGGCTCTACACCGAGAAAGAAAAAAAATTTATTTAACTCAAACTCGAATAAATCGGAGGCAACACTTATTAGGGTAGACTTCTTGGCATTAATGAAATAGCTCGATGAGGTTCTTTCTTTCTCAGTGCAAGTTATGATTTATCTTATTCCTAAAACTAAGTGTAATGTAGTTCTCACTCGGAATCTGCAGAGCCGGAGACATTCTTCTTGACCGAGGAATTCGATCCGGATAAGTTTACCTGAAACTTGTGTCGAATTAGGGAAATTAAATATTAGCCACAAGACGTGCAGAAATACTGGAATAATAAGCGGGAAATGATAAGTTAAGTTGAAAGAAAAAAAATAGGCTCGAAAAGAGAGAAGGATATCGGAAATGTGTCTCAAGCAAGCTACGCTTACATTTGGTGCCACCTTCGCGTCTACTTTAATCAGTGCAGATAAAAGATTAAAAGTAAATAAATCAAGAGCAACTATCAGTGGATACATACGAGTAATAATAAACACTCAATGCGTAATCTACGAGAAAGCACAAGATGTTAACGTCAGCACTGTAATAACATTACAACAAAATTCTCGCCAGTTCGCTACGAATGAACTAACAAGACATTTTTTCTTTTTCTCCAAATAATTTCATTCGACGGTTAAACATCTCGATTGGTTTTTCGAAACTGTGAAAGCCGAAAATTTTCGTGCGACGGTCTCGGGATTAAAAGATTTAGAAAAACGCCATTTATGGGTACCAATGATTTCGGAAAACGAAAGACAATTTCGCGGTATCTTTTTTTTTTTTTTTTCAAAATGTCGATAAACCATTGACATTGTGCAAGCAAACTTGTGGGTATCTACCTGTTCTACTTTTTTATGCAGATTCTGGAGGACATCTTCGCACCTCAGCAAGGTCTCATACTTCAACCTGTTCCGTTAAATAACAAAACGATTTTTCTTTGTTTAATATACAAGACTCCAGAGAATTGCCTAAGCTTTTTGAAAGTTCATGAAAAAAAGAAAAAGAAATGCCAAGAAAAATAAAATCAACAAAATAATCCAACATCTTTCAACTGGTAATTTAACTTTTAACGAAACGTCATCGAGGTAAATTATTAATGGCAATGTTGGAATTTTTAGACAGGAGCGAAACGATCTGCAGAGTCGCAACATCACGGTACAATTTTGCGGATGTTAATTGATATCAGAAAACCTTTACATAATTATCTTGATAAACCGTTTGCTCTTGCCCTGTGCACCCTTCTAATGAAACAACGACTCTAATGATATTTCCGTACTTGCTGACATTACATCGATTAAGTGCGTACCAAGCGGACACATTAATACGCCATGCATTGCAAATAAAAAAAAAAAAAATACATATAAGGCACGATTGAACATAAAGTGCAACAATCTAACGATTAAAAAGTGCGATCAAGTGCAGAACAAATTGTGGGCCTAAGTAAGGTTACCAGATTCCTGTATTTGCATTTCTTCTTTCGTAGGAAAATTAAGGAAATGTTTAATCATTCGACACACGTATCATACAATCAGATTTATCAAGGAGAAGAAATATATTTGATATTTTTCCTTTAATCCGGGTAATTTATATATATAAAAAAAAAGAAAAGAAAAGATGCAGTTCCAGCACCCATAGGCCCATAAGATGAGGTAATCAAATTTAACCATGCGCAACAGTAAAGGTTAACAAACAGGTAAATAGGAATTGTTGCAACAGAAGACGTAACCATAAACTAGTCTGCACGGCATAGGGAGAGATTTTTTCAGCTGCACTTGTAAACCCCGTAAGAATAATCGGAGAGAACGCATCCCTTGCAGGCGCCATTTTGTAAAAAGCCGTAAAAGCGTCACTCATGGATTCATCGACACCTTTTACCTCAACCAGGAGTTCCAATGAATACATTTCACTAGCCATTCAAAAGGAAGAGATATACCAAGACATCCGACATGAATTTTCAGGCGCAACAACCATATCTCAGTATTTAATGTCAAGAAGAGCGACAAAGGAAAAAGTAATCCCCCGAGAGATTGGCTGAACAACCACATCAAAGATGTACTTTCCACGTGTTTTTTTGCTCTTTATAAACAGTGCACAGGGCATGGCGAGAGAGCCAAACATTTTCTCTATTTCCTCTCAACGAGTAATACGTCCGATCTTTTGAGTATCCGAGACTTGCGATCTCTGCAAATTTAGGTAACCATGCTCCGAAGTCGACCGAAGAATAATGACTTATGGTTGATTAATGTAACTTACGGTAATGATTAATAACCATTAAGGCGATATGAAAGTGGCGTGAAAGAGGTCCCCTTTGTGAAACTTATCCCCAAGCAGGGTGTACCGAATCGTTTCAAACTTGACAATATGAACATAGAGGCCACAAGGAAGGTCCCGCCGCCCATAGAATGCCAATTATTAAAAAATCTGTTCCTTGATATTTTCAATAATTTTTTTCACAAAAAATGAAATATCCCGAGTGCCAGGGCCTTCCTTCAATCCTCCAAATTAACGTTGTAGAGTTTGAAACGATTCGGTACACCCAGTCCTGAGAAAAGTTTCGCAAACGAGACATCGACGCCGCTTTCGTATCGCCTTAATATAAATTGATGTAATAAAAAAATATATAGGAACAAAGGCTGGAAGCTGATAACGTTCTAGCGAACTCTGCGCCGAAAACTCGAAATAAGTTGGCAATTTAATTCTCCGTTGCAAGGAATTGATCGACCGATCATTCGATCATGCACGATGACGTACTTCCTGTTGGTGTCTAACAGAACCGCGCGAAGGCTCTGTATTTTCTCCAGATGATGTTGCGACGTCCCCTTCTGGAATTGCTCGATCAGTACCTCCAAAACCGGAGTGTACTTTTGCATGTCGGCGACCTTTTTCTTGTACTCGTCCTCCATCTTGCCCGCTCAAAGGAAGCGCCCACCTACAACAAGAGCAACAGAGACCCCGGCTCGGAAATCAGCGTCCTTAGCAACCGACTAATAACAAACAGCCCCAGAAGGCGAAATTCCGAAATTCGCCCTGCCAAATACTGGCAGAACCCACCACTAAGCCACTATATCCGATTTCTCAATCCCACTCGTGATAAAAGCTGCTTAACGATAAAGTCGAGATTACATTAATCCCCGTCTGTGATAACCATAAGAGCATTACAATTTTAGTTATTAATCATACTGGTCAATGAGCATAGGTTTAACCAATTTAAGTAACGTTGTAGCGGCATATTTCCCTTAACATTTATTATTTAAATATTCCCATTTGTTAAGATCGATTGATTAATGCAACGGGCAGTCACAGCGAAATCTCCTTTATATGCATTGTTATCATTTAACATTCTTATATCCAAGCGTTTATCGTCCGAATGACTATTTATCAGATCTCCGGGGGAGAAAATTCGATTTTTACGATTTCTGCACCTCGATAAACAATCCTGAAGAGCATTTATTGCTTGGGTCAATAAATGCGGTTGACCTGGTGAGAATTAATACCGCGCATGCCCAGTTTTGATTATTGAACTTTCCCTCCTCTTTCCAGGTATTTCTTACGTCCCTCCTTTCCATCATTTATATAATCATTGTTCCATCAACAATAACGCACTTTGGCGTGAGGATTTCCACTTGAGATTCGTTCATAAATTCGATAATTTCTCTGGAACGACAATAACGTTCGCGATTGCTCGTCAAGGTGGAATATGTATTTCTTGATGGGTATGAATATGTACCAACAGGACATAACCTCTTAGCAGAAATTTGAAGGTTTGGAAGACTATATAATTCGGCTTAAATTCCTCTTCAAGAACTTCGTAAGTCTTCAAATCTTCTCTGCGTGTCAGTAAATCCGTGGTTTCCGTAGAGACGTATAAACAGTATCTCGCACGATATTTACGAGGAAACGTCGTAAACGTACGTATGAAAAGGTCCAGGCCCCCCGGCGTCCATTTTTTCCCCTTGTCGCGGTATCTTTGTATCACCGACGTCTTCGTCTTCTTCATAAAGGACCCACGTAAAAAAAAGAACGCACCGAGGAACCGGCAAAAGGTCGAAGAGACCCCTTTCAATGAACTCGAGAGAAAGGAGACTCTTTTAATCTCTCGACACGAGCCCAACGAGTCGAAAGACAAGTGAGCACGCGCGAAACAAAGCTTCGCGTCCGAGCTCTTCCAAGATGGCCGCCATCACGCCAAGGAAAGTAACCTAACCTCACTCGGTAGTCTACATAAACGAGACGAATCCTGTGTGCCCCCTTTAGCTCCATCCACTCCCTCTGGTCGAAAGAACCGCCAATCCACATAATAAATTCCCCGATAATCTCCGTGGACGTCCAACGAGACTCAAAATGGCGGCCCTTAAGGAGTGACTTTTTCCATCCGAGCTTTCATATTTTCCTCCATTATCTGGATTTCCTCCCTTCCACTTTCCACAGGTCGAAATTCCAGTGTAGATAAATGCGCATCAGAACGTTCTAAGCTTCACATAGTCGGCTTTATGTAACCTCTTTCGAAGATCCACCATTGCGAGAAGAAGAAAAAAGTCGTACTGTCAAACGAATTCTGAAAATCCGTTGTACCTGAATTCCCTGCCAACGCATCTAACATGTCGAACGAGACCTAGAATACGACCACAATCTCTGTAAAGTGACGGTAAAATGGCCGGAGGTCGGTCTACCTCACTTTGGGAGCAACCGAGTATCCCCTCCGACTCGATAATCCTAGGGCACCGACTCCTCGACGAAACTTAACTGTTTAGTGCATCCAGAGCACAGAAATGGGAGGCTAAGGCGACCCGGGGCGACCGAAAACTCCGAGGTAACTATATCTGCGACCGAGCACATGAAACGCACCGAGATACAGCTCGAGTCAGTTCCGAGAGCGGTTAACGTCGATTCAAGATGGCGGCTACTCGCGCATACCCCTCGACACGTCCGAACGACGCAGCAAGACCCGTCGAGTTAGCCTCCTAGAGAGGTTTAGAGTAATGGCGAATCCCTCGTCAGACAGAAAGGAAGGCGTGTACGACTCGGCGGAGCTCGAGAAACAACGCACCTAAGACTTTTCGACTTGTCCGAGCGTGAAGCTCCGGCCGGGCAAGATGGCGGCGGCCTGGCCCATGTATCGCGGGAGAACGCGTCTACCGAAAGGATCATCGGAGAGAGGAGGAAGTACGGCGAATGCGCCAGCCTCCCTGGCGAGCTCGAGCGCGCTGCGGAACTAAATGCGCCCGACGTTCACCCCTCCTAACCTCACTTCCCCCTGCCAGGCTCGCCCCACCCGGCCGGTCCTAACCTCGCGCCGCTCTCCGCGAGTCTCGCGTCTCCCTTCCGACTTTGCGTCCGAGCTCGGCCGACTTGCGGTCGTTCCTTCTGTCAAAGAAATTCAGAAGTCTCCATAGAAGCCCAGAAGGATGCGGACGTTCGACGCTGGATAAATAGTACGTTAGCCAACGGATGGCGGCGCTGTAGTCATCTCTCCATCTCTCTTAATCTTACGGCGATGTATAGCGAATTGCATTCTTTCCTTGTCTCGCACACAATGCTGGCCTTTCTACATGCGTCTCTCTTCCTCCCGTATGCGAGATATCGTTGGCTACACATGCGATCTCTCTTTAACCCCCACTTTTGGTTTGTTAACCGATTTTTAGAGCATCAAGCGCTGATATAGGACCTGGACTTCTATGGGACTTCGGAATTTTGTTGCTTCTGGACACTCGTAATAATGCCTCGCTCGTGTCCCCGGGTCGGACGGAACGACTCGCGTGCGGCACGAGGGAAACGCAGGATGCCAGTGGAGATATTGGTGATGGGAGTTACCGGCAGGTGGGAATGTGACGTAATGATGCGTGATGAGGTGATGCAACACGTACTTCCACGTTCGCGGAGTCGGGTCGAGGTTCGCAGGGCGTATGCGCGGTCACGCAGTTATAATACTAGACTCTACGTGTTTACTGCGGGAGGTCGGAGCGCCAGTTGCTGGCTACGTGCGCCGGAGAAGCGCCAGTGCCGCCGCGGCGCCGAGCGGCGGGATCGGGTACTACGCGATCGGAAGCCGAAGGAAACCACGGAAACGGCCGAAGGGCTCCGGCTTGGTTCGCTCGTTGAAAGGAATCGGAACGCGTATTTGAGAACATTGATGCCTACGTTAACGTAGAGAGAGCTGCACGGAATAAAAATCTGAATGCTGGGAGAATAGAAATACATTGAAATACGTTATTTACCGAACTGAGGGTTGTATAAAGTATAATTTTGGGTTTATCGAGGATTTCGACGCATATTACGTGAACCACGTAAATTATCGTGAAAAATCGTAGGAAATCAGTAAATTACGTTTTCGATATAAAGGACGCCGCAGATGTGCGATACACGACATCCGCTAGATTATAAACGTCTATTAGCATATAATATAGCATAAATATTTGTATGGAATAATAAATTAACTAGGGACGTATTATACGTTGTAATATACACGTAGAAAACCACGTATATTACATACCCAACCCTGGATGGAACGTACGGATATGTCGGATATATAGAGCAACTGAAGCGTTGCATTTCATCATCGCAATAGATTTCTGAGAAGCGACATCAGCGCCAACGGACGCGAACGGCGGAACCGTGAAGCAGCAGCTTGGTAACCGAATAGTTCGCGGAAACGCCCAATAAACCCGAGAGTATACATTAGCGGATCGGAATACACGAAACGCAAACGTGACTAGATATGTCATTTGATGTCTTCAATTAGAAACATATGTCGCGCTCAAATTAGGGCTAGAATATCGAATAACGGCGACGATAACGCCGCGATAAACAGAAGTGGAGTAAATACAGCGATAACTTCAAAGGATAACCGTTTCCTACTCGAGCAGTTTAGTTCCAGGGAAACAACTGCAGCGCCAACGGAAACTAGCGGCGGAAGCGCGAAACACTCGATCGACCATCGACGCACTTCATGGCAATCCTGAATCTACGGTAACCATTATAAATATTCCATAAAATGATACAAAAAATTGGATTATAACATATCTCAAGTGACATTGTATTTCTGCTACATCTGGAAAGACCCGGCGACCTTAAATAATAAACTAAGCCAAGAAGAGAGTGAAGAAAATGTCTCCCCTTCAAGGTCTGGTATTCCAACGCCATGGAAGAGTGAAAAAAAAACCGAGTCGACGTTCTCAGGGAATTAAAAATATACCCCTTGACGAGGTATACCTCATTTCCATGAAACTTCTCTTTCACCGTTTCTACAGCAATCCCCTAAAATCGACTGAGTTCAGTGCAAACATTTCCTCGAGTGAAACCGCACTCAAAGCATGAAAATAAGCGAAGAATGTGCAGAGGGGAATGAAGATGTGAATATTTACCATGAAATGGAGGATCTAAGCCCGCAAACGTCGCTCGTGGTCGAGCGAAGAAAGGATGACGCAAGTCCGAGGAGGACGCTGAGCTCTGCCACGTAGACGGATTCTCTCCCTACCGTGGCATGAGTCGCCTGGCTCGGGTGCCGGAAATGGCCGGAATCGAGCGAAGCCTTCCGGGGCCCGAGACGAACACAACTGCCGAAATCCGTCTCGTCCTGCGAGATAAATGGCTAGGATGCCATTTTGGAAATCGGCCTCGGGCAACGAGACACGAGGGGTCGCTGTCTGCGAGGACGACGTGTCGTCATTGGCGAGGGCGCCACGAATGACGGGGTCGTCCAAGGAGCCCTCGGACCTATGCGACCCAGGTTATAGACACGGAGGACGACGAAGTGAATATCCTTCGGCTTTAATCCAACCCACGTGGCCGGTTGTCCTTTCTACCTTAGGATAGAATGCGATCGATGGGCCGCGCCGGCTTTAGGCAGGGATACACTGTGCTACCGTTGACGCCGTGTACCTAGCTCACCACCACACCTTCACGGAACCGCTACGAGACTCTTTGTCCAGCCGACTTCGTTTTGAAGGGTCTATACCTGCTTTGTCTTCGGGAAATCCGAATGTCAAGTGGACTGTTCATTTTCTACGAGTTCAATCACACTTTTAGTGTGTATCATAGATGTATGTATGTGTAATCTTAAATGTATGCGTATATATCATTTTAATTGTATGCGTGTGTACGTAATCTTAGGTCGTGGGTTAAAATAGTTTTATACGTACATGTAGAGTGTTAATGCCTTTAGTATAAAGGAATCAACGCTACGAGATTCTCGCTCAAAAATGTATTTGGCTCGACACTCTACCGAGTTTCTTTATATGATCTTGTGCATTTAACTGTTGATGTCCGTTTATGAGTTTCGTTTGTTTTCTTCCCACGAGTGGAATGTTTTTCGGACTTTTAGGGTATCTTTCTTAGATCATGGGTTAAAATTCAGTGTTAAAGGGATATGTAGAGTATCCTGCTGAAAATACCTTTTGTGGCAGAAAATGAAACGAAAATGTATGCGTATATATAATTTTAATTGTATGCGTGTGTACGTAATCTTAGGTCATGGGTTAAAATAAAGTTTTATACGTACATAATTAATAACGTTAATACCTTTAGTATAAAGGAATCAACGCTACGAGATTCTCGCTCAAAAATGTATTTGGCTCGAAACTCTACCGAGTTTTTTTATATGATCTTGTCTACGGTGCTACCGCGTCTTGATAGCATTTTCTCGTGGATTTGAAGTTGTGTATGGTCTTGTGCATTTAACTGTTGACGTCCGTTTATGAGTTTCGTTTGTTTTCTTCCCACGAGTGGAATGTTCTTCGGATTTTTAGGGTATTTTTCTTAAATCATGGGTTAAAATTCGGTGATAAAATTGTAGAGTATCCTGCTGAAAATACCTTCCGTGGCAGAAAATGAAACTTGTCTGATATCCTACCGCGTCATCGTGAACATGAAGTTCTCCATTATACTTGGCAACTGTACCGAGAGAAATATGGTTATGACTATCGCGTGCCATTCGGATGTTATTGCGCATGTAATGTTCAAGCTCGGCGTGGAAAGGCTTGTTTCTCGAGGGTAAGGCTGTGTTGGAAGGAGCACTGTCTTATTTGAAAGCTTGGCACAATGTTGCGGTTGCAAACTGCAAAGATACGCGAGATAGGCAGCTCTGATCCCAACAATTCATTCGTAACGAGTGTACGTCTACCCTCTAAACAAATAGAAATTATTCCTAAACAGGTCGACATTGCACTTTGCGTTAAGAAAAAAAATCCCATCTACGTGAGATAAGGATCTGATCCAAATAATTCATTCGTAACGAGTGTACGTCTACACACTAAACAAAAAGAAATTATTTAATCCTTCGGATACGGAGCCTTTTCGACATATGGGCGAAATTCATTAAAGCGGACAGGCAATATTGGACCGTAAGGTTAAAAGCAGGGCGACTCTACACTTTGCGTTAATGAAAAAAAATGTGTCCTTTGTTCAAGATCCTTCCTCTTAGCAAGCAACAAATATATAAACCATCACCAGATTCGGGCACAACAATCCACCTGAATTTCAATAACCGTGGAATTTTCTGCGGTACTTTTGGGCGTTACGTAATCCGTACTCCATGGCTAGAAAGCAAATCGACGCGTAGAGGTAAATTGGAAATTGCGAGGCCCCTATCCATCATCGTTATTTAAAGTATTTCCAAGTACTAACGCATAAAATATTTTGGTTTTTCCACGACCACTGTTTCCACACAGTCTTACCTCCTCCCTCCCGAAAATGCCAGGTCGACACATTTCGGAGTCGCCATTTAAAACATTTTCCACGCCGAGTCTCGCCCATTTTGAGGTGGTATCGGGTTTTCCTATGTATATAGCCATTATCCATGGTGATTATTTCCGAGCAGTCTTACCTCTTCCCTCCCCACATTAGCCTTTTCGAAACGTATCTCTTCCTTCGGCTAAGCAGTGCGTGGCAACGATTTCTTCTCTACTGAGAGCCTACTCGACGACGCGTCTCTAAAAATCGCGCACAAAGGAGTCTCCCGAAACCCTTTCGATCTGCCGATTACGTAAAACCGCGTTAAACCGCGTAAAACTCGGTAAAACTCGACCCCGTATAAACGCACTGGACCCTCCTGGACTCTCCTCGCCCTTGTTACTAAAAAAAACCGAGGCGATGGCCGACCTCGCAATGGCAGTCGCGACACTAGCCCCAGGCAAACCTCGACGCCTCGAAGGGCGTTTCGGATTCACAATGGCGGCTAGCTGCGTGCGTCCAATTAGGCCAAATCGCGAAATATGGAACGGGTCGTCCAGAGACCGTCCAAACCTCGTCTCGCGATCTCTCGACGGACATTCCGAGTGTCCTTTGTCCGTGAGGATTACTTTACGTCTCGCTGGACCTCTAACACGTAGATTCCATGTGCGCTCTCCAACCTAACGAGCCTTTGCATCGCCTACCACCGAATAACTGATGGAGCCGTTCGGCGTCCATCTTGTTTTCCTCGAAGCGACCGTCGACCGTTCACACCCGACCAGATGTTCTTTTCTTTCTTTTTTCCACCCGACTTTTTACCGAAACTCGGTTTTGGGGGGCTTGTTAAAGCGTCTACTCAGCGGTATAAACGGTGTAAACGGTATCAACAGGTGGAGATTCACTCTTTCGATTATATGGTTTATACTCGGTGCACCTTTCTTGCTCTTGTTTCTTTACGTGGTTGGCCGTGACTTACCGTTTAGTGTTGCTTTAATAATTATGAACAGCGGGGAGAATTAGGATTTTGTTAGTATTTTCCTTGTTTCGGGCTACGTGGCTCGTGGGAACTCTTAATGGCGACGTATTTGCGGTAGAGAGATGGATCGAGAAAGCGAGATGGGTTCGGCGAGATTGTGGTGATTGGTATTTTGGATCAGAGGTCGGGTGGTGAGCGGTTTTTAGGTTATGTGGGTTCCTCCTGGCCGGCAGAACCTGGAGGGGTTTATTTTACCAGGTCTCACCGCCTCTCGCACGACGGAGAGGCCTTTAGGCCTCCGTCGAGACTATCGCGACTCGTCCGGGTCCGCCATTTTGCACAGAATGACGCATTCCGACTCTCGCCTGCGGAAGCAGCGCGCCGAACGTTCCCGAACTTTCCCGAAAACCCTCGAAGGTGGCCGGGAGCTCTTGCGTGGTTTACCGTCGAGTTAAAGATCGCAGCGCCGAATTACTAACCTAGCGGACACATTGGGAACTACCGATCGAAGAAATAGAAAATATCGTTACCGATGACAGAATATATAAAAACAGATCCGAACAGAGGGCGACACTGAGTTGAAAAATACCTCGGAATGCATCGATCGAGTTTCGAAATACAATGTTGCGTCCCATTAGGGTAATATATGATAATAAACAAGATATGCAAATTACGGAATCCGCAACTCATCCCGATAAAAACTAGAATTATGTGCTATTAACAGATTTCGAGATTCAGGGACAAAAATAAAGATAGGAACCTGCTCGTTCACCGACCTCTTGGCAGTAGTTTCCCACAGTCGCCGCTAGATGTCGGCCTCGAAAGAGCGCTTCGAACGGCAAAAAAGTCTCATAAATCCACAGTCAAGGTAAGTGAGTGAACGAATAATGCGTACTTTATTTTCTTCACCAGGTATGTATAGACCTATCTCGTTAGAAAAATTGTAAAGTGAGTATTTAAGTGATTATATCCCTGATTTGCGAGTTTGAATTTTTAGGAGGGCTTGTCGGAGGGGTTGAAGTGCTTCCTCAGTCCTTCCCAGCAACGGTAATAGTCCTTGTCCAACTTTTGACTGCGAATTTCTGCCCATTCCGTTATGGCAAGGCTTAGAGATGATTCGAACATGAAGGCTTGCGTGCCATCGGCTACTCGTTCTGGTTTCAGGTTAACAGAGGAAGCAGCTTCGAAACAATTCGCATCGGGACCGTGTGGAGTCATTATCGAGTGCAAGGATGCACCTCCTGGCTGGAATCCTTCCTCTTTCGCCTCGTACCGGCCCTTTATGAGCCCCATAAATTCGCTCATGCAGTTTCCTGTAAAACGCAACCTCTATGTAATTTAATGTGCACGTAGTTATTATAATTCTATACTTGCGTACTTCCCGCCCAGAAGTCAACGGAAAGTGGCTTAAATATGTGCCCATAATTATGAAAGTGGTCTAAGTCATATATTTTTTGTTTCGAAATTACATTGAATTAATTTCGTTTGAAATAATATGGCGTGAAATAACTGATAAACTCATTTTTTTTTTAATTTTGACTTAGACCACTTTCATAATTATGGGCACATATAACGCACCTGGTCCACGGAAATTTCCGTTTTACCTTTCCTTTTTAATCCTGGCTTTGCCCTTTTTCTCTGGAAATACTTACTGTGGTAATAAGGAGGTCGGAACGTGTGTTCCTGAACCGACCATCTTGGTGGGAAAATCACAAAATCCGCGATTGCTGTCCCAGGTTTATTCGATGGACAAGTTAGCACCGTAAAGATGGAGGGATCCTGAATGATAAAAAAAACTCGGTAGAGCTTCGCGCCAAATGATATACTCATACACCTATTCATTAATATACGAGGTCTTTACGCCGACTTTCGGCACTTCGGTCGGACGAATATTTGTGCCCATAATTATGAAAGTGGTCTAAGTCAAAATTAAAAAAAAAAATGAGTTTATCAGTTATTTCACGCCATATTATTTCAAACGAAATTAATTCAATGTAATTTCGAAATAAAAAATATATGACTTAGACCACTTTCATAATTATGGGCACATTTATAACTCCGCCGAGAAAATTCATAACGAGTTCACAATTGACATAACTAAAGAAAGATACTTTTTCTAGCCCCGGATTTTTTTTTTTATATTTCTACCCGGTCTTTCTTCATTAATGTATTCTTAGAAAAAATTCGACAATTTTCATTTAAGCATCCAGAATGCAAAATGGAAATATTGCAAGTTAAATGTGCAAATGAAAATTGTATTATGACTAGGGTGCTCTTTTCTTTTGTAATAATTGTGGTTCGTGTAAGGCAAAGTTCCGAACTTACGCAATGATCAAAAGTCACAGAGTTGACGGCCATGAACCGATCGAGGTCATATTTATAAGGAACATAATTTCCGTGCCAGGCAACGACGTTAAATGGGCTGTGATCCTGATTGGCGATGAAAAGCTTCCCTTGGTATTTGGATACGACCTTAAACTTCGTTTCTCGGTCCTCGTACCAAGCTACAGGTGTCTGGAAGTCTCTCGGGTTTGCGAGGCCATTAGCTCCTGTGATGATTATGCTTAATTTGAGGAAAGAAACTCGAAAATCGGGTCGATTAAGGCCGTCCCGGACCTCCGGCGAACTGGATCTCGGATAATTAATTCGGCTTTCAAATTACCTATCGGGCCCAGATTCGGTAATTGGAAGTGATTGTCGAAAACTTCCAAAATATAGCCTCTTGATGGGCCAAAGACCGTTATCGAAAATCGCATTCCTTGCTGGATGACACATATCTCGTTCGGCTCGCACCGTAATTTACCGAATTCCGTGGTTATTTGCAAAGCTCCCAGCTGCGGCACTGTGGACGGAAAAAATTCCGGCGCCATTAATGATCCAGAATATCAGTTTTCCATAAAAATGTCACGGGTAAAATTCCTTACTTCTACAGAATAAATGGGATTTTAAAACGGGGAATTTCAAAGAGATGTACATTTTATCTTCACTGAGATACCAAAAAAAAATCGTTGAACCGAAGAAATATTTTATTTATTAAAAGGATAATTGTCTCAGACTCGAATAAATTGGACGCAACAATTTTATTTCGGTCAAATAATTATTCTTGGAATTAATAAAATATTTCCTTAGTTCAACGGATTCCTTTTTTCTTAGGGGGTACTTTTGTTTTTGCAATTGTGGGAGCTGTGGTGAATTTAATGGTACAGAAGTTCTTTGGTATAGGTGTTAGGTATTCATTCTAATAAATGGGATTTTAAAACGGGGAATTTCAAAGAGATGTACATTTTATCTTCACTGAGATGCCAAAAAAAAAATCGTTGAACCGAAGAAATATTTTATTTATTAAAAGGATAATTGTCTCAGACTCGAATAAATTGGACGCAACAATTTTATTTCGGTCAAATTATTATTCTTGGAATTAATAAAATATTTCCTTGGTTCAATGGATTCCTTTTTTCTTAGGGGGTACTTTTGTTTTTGCAATTGTGGGAGCTGTGGTGAATTTAAGGTGAAGTGAAACCCCCTTCAAATCAGTCGATTCGAATACAATACTTTTTTTTAAGGGTATTAGACCAAACTGTCTGAAACTTTGACACATCACTCCTGATCATTTAAAAATTGTCCTAACACATTCAAAATTTGGATTTTTTTTTCAATTTTTTAACTCCGCCCAGGCCAGAACCAAAATGGCGTCGAGCTCTCACATTTCGATCAATATACAATTGTCGAAAGCTCTCATATGAGAATCGAAAGGGTCAGGAAAATTTGACGATAATTTAGAACACTCTGGTAATCAATAAACTCGCATTTGAACGGGATAAAGGCAAAAAAAGTGTTGTATGCGCTTCTATGCCAAAACTATGGTAATACGAGGTCTCGGAGTGAAAATTTAATTGACCTGAAAATCACAGATGGCGCAGGGGGTCCCTCTGCAGTCAATTATGCCCCCAGAAAGCACGAATCCAGAGGATTTCTGGAGTTTTACTTCGATTTCTTTATAACTATTGTACGAAAACGACAGGTGGAGTATGCCATTTGGTACAATACCCAATATAATTCGACCCAGCTGTCAATATAAAAACCAACGCCGGCAACGTAGGCATTTACAAAAATCTTCTTTATCGACGTCGATCAAGTTCCTCGACGTGTTTCACTTCACCTTAATGGTACAGAAGTTCTTTTTTATAGGTGTTAGGTATTTATTCACCGATTAGGAAGTCCCCGTCTGCATTGTAGAATGCCTTGTCCTTCATTGAAGCGTTGCACAGATATACGTGAATTGCAATTCCATGGCGAAGTCTGGGATTCCCTGTACCGCAAATTGTATGCAAACCTTCAAGAAAATCCACTTCTGGGTCTTGACGAGTCGGAACGTCGAAAGCTTTCCATCGTAGCTGTGGATTAATAAATCCAAAATATTATGGCTTGTTCCTCTAGACCGTTCCAAGTGTATATAAAGTCATTCGGACTAACAAAATAAATAGTAAAAGTCTGCAGGCTAATAGTCCGCTGTCCATTGTGTCGCTATTTTTATCGGCATTACTATCGACAATTACGCATAACGAGCCGATAAAATCTATTGGGTAGGTAGTTACGTTTTGCAAGCAGACTTTATTGGTCTGGCTATCGATGAAAAAGTAGAAGGCCGCAAAAAGAACAATTTTTAATTGCGAAAACCGACGTGCCGTTATTAGTCGACATTTCTACACGGGAAACGGCGGCCAGGTTAATCATCTACGCAGCTTCGAGTATGTAATTAATAAAAATTGTTACCCTTCTCTATTTTCGGTCGCAGTAAAACTCTACGGTATTTAATAATTTCAGGTGATTTGGGTTTTCCTCCGAAATCTGTTAACAGTTTAGCACCGTTCTCCAAATTATTAAAAGTAGTCGAGACGTTGGGTAATTATTATGCATACAGTTTTTAAGGAATACCTGATTAGGGTTTGGCTCTATCTTGTCCCAGTCGTGACTCAGATGAGAATTTTCCAAATTCAGCTTTTCGAAAGGTTCATGGCATACGGAAGGCTTTATACGATAAAGCCAAGATCTTCGATTCTCGGCGCGGGGTGCTGAAATTTAGGAATAATTATTAAATAATTATTAAAAATTAACTAGAGATATAAATGATTTAAACGCTCACCAGTGAACGCGGTACCGGACAATTGTTCTGCATACAATCCGTAAGGACACTTTTGTGGATTATTCTGGCCGACCGGAAGTGCTCCAGGACATCTTTCGTCTTCACTGGCGAATTCGCAGCCGAATCCGGTTAGATACTAAAATGAAAATACCCTCTCAGTAAATATTTCCATTGTATACCGAGAAAGAAAAATCCATTGAACCAAAGAAACATTTTGTTTATAGGAGGAATTTGACTGAAATAAATTTAAAATTGCAGTGATTTCGCGCCAAATATATATATATGCCCATAATTATGAAAGTGGTCTAAGTCATATATTTTTTGTTTCGAAATTACATTGAATTAATTTCGTTTGAAATAATATGGCGTGAAATAACTGATAAACTCATTTTTTTTTTTTAATTTTGACTTAGACCACTTTCATAATTATGGGCACATATATAGGCGCAATTGTCTTGATTCCGAAGAAACGTTGCCTTCAATTAATTTCAGTTTATGTGAGCCAAATGATTATTTTTTCAATTAAGAAAATCTTTCTCCGCTCTAGTGGTATTTTTTCTCAGTATATCAGTGAAAAATCTAGAAGAGCGACTAAACGTACCTTCAGATCGTCTCTCATGGTGTCCGTGGGTGTCTCTTCCCGAAGTACGGGAATATTCCAAGGGGCAAGAATTTATAAACACCGGCCGACCTTACAATCGCCAGTCAACAAGATAGAAATTATGCAAAACGTGTTTGCGACTCTTGGTGACCAATCGGGATGCTCATTCTCGAAGGCAGGGCACAGTGGACGGGTTTGACTTCTGGGCAAATTCTCCATACATGAAGACTCTTCGTGGTGGAATTTATCGTTATACCTCGAGGCGTGCCCCTCTTACATCGACATCTTCCTCGTTACGAGAAACTGGACATTTCGATGCGCAATCATTAAGCCTGCTCTGGGATTTCTTCAATCTATAATGAAAATCGCTGAATCATCGACAAGAAATTCCCCATTATTTCCGACATTTCTCACTTACTTTGTGTCTCGGATACGTTGAAGAATAAATGCCTACTGACTCTACGTCGGCTACTTATCTTGCATCTAATCATGGACGATGATGTTAGAAGTCATTCCGGTTATCAGTGAAAACGGAAATTGAGGTGTCTATTTGACAAGCAGGGTTTAAAGATTGGAGGAATCTCGGCCAAGGATTTACATTCTTCGTCCATGATTGATCACTTTTTAGTTAACTGAGAAGAGAAAAAACATTCATCGAACCAAAGAAATATTTCGCCAATTCCAAGAATATTATTATTTTACTCAAATGAATTGTCATAATTCCGAATAAATCTTGCATTCCATTTATTCCAACTTATATCAGTTAAATAATTAGTCTTTGAAGTAACAAAATATTTCCTTGGTTAAATGAATTTTTTTTCTCAGGGTACGTAATTGGCGTGAAACTCTACCGAGTATCCTAATGTAGATGTGATATACATTATGACGGTTTATGTTGAATTTTGTCATCAATGTGAGTGTTTCTTTAATAGTCAATTGTTTAATTATTGGAACTGTTTACAGCTTAGGTACGTGTCAAGATGGCGTCGTTAGTTTTATTTAGATAATCGTTGTCGGTAACGTGATCGTGTTGTTTATTAAATCTAACCTACTTATTCCTGAAGACGTGCAGGAGGAGCGAGTGCAAGCCACAATTATTGCAATCAAAGTGTCACGTTTTCATCCTCTGCAAGAATAGTGACGCAACAATCATTTCGTCGAGGTCTTCAAACGCAGAATCGTCCCCAACGGAACTGAGCAAGGCCGATTTTATTTAGCGGTGCAACATTGTCCGCAATATTGCACAATTCGTGCAACCATTCGCGTCGAATCGCAGAAACAAACGCCATTTCTAGGCATCGTTTCATATCCGGTTGTTGGACACGGTGGTATCCTATCGAAGATCGGATGACGGTATCAATGGCGTCCATCTTGAATTCGGTGTAGGATTTTTCCGAAATTCTTAATTAGTCGCGAATGCTGGTTAATCGATGCCTCGAAACGGAGGTAGGAGACCTGCGGGCCACTAGCCTTCGAGTTCCGGTTTTGTAAACAACAAGCCGCCATTTATGTTTTTCGAATTACTCAGGCGATGCGTAAAAAACGCGTTTCGATGCAAGTCCCCGGATTCGAACGAGCAAGACTGTAGTCGAAACCCGTATTTAACCTGCCAGTTGACATGCCAGAATTTTTTTCGCCCACCGGTCCGAATGCGATAATCGGTGAAAGAAATTCCGCGATAACCAACTGGATTTAATATGGTCCAGAGCTTGTCAAACGGTGCCGGTTCCACGTCGTCGGGCAAATCTGTGCCCAATAATGTTCCTCGAGGCGTCTCTCCTCTCCTGGAGAAATTCCAGAGACCGAGAGATCTGGATCACCGCGAAGGCAGAAATTTGCCAAAAAATGGGGAAGAGGAAGTAAATGCAACTTCGTGGGGGGTCTTCAGGGAGCGTTTATTTTCGCGAGAATTCACGGTCAAGTCCGTGGACTTTACAGCAGTGAAATCATGGTCTTGCGGCCTCTGAATTTCCTTTCATCTCGGCCCATTCCAGATCGCGAACCCCTTCTTCGGGGCCCATCCGCTTCCGGTTGACACCAATACCTACGGGACTGAGACGCTCCACGGCTCTCGGCCAGGAGCAAGGGGAGCTTGGGACCTTCTGGTGGGAGAAGAGGCCCAATCCCTACCTGCAGCTGCCAACCTGGAGTCCCGGTCCGTCGCTTTCTGCATCCAGTTGCTCAGCCGTGAGCGAGTTCGTTGCCCGAGTCCCGAGAGCCTCCTCTTGGCAGACCCGGTTCCTCGGCAAAGCTCCATAACCTAAAATATAAAAGTCTCGAAGTAAAAACTACCCCTCCATAACCTACCTTCTCAGTTCTGGATCCACCCTGGGGCCCCGGAAATAATCTGGAGGTAAATTCAGCGATCCCCTGGAAATTAAACATTTTCAAATTACAGTTTACTTCTTATTCATCATAGAAATGGTGGTATATCGTTGAGTTATAAATAATCGGGAATTTGAACCGAGAGACCAGCGGAGTTATTAATTTCTCTACAGTGCAACCATCCGTGCCCCTCGCCAGTGCCAACTCGTGTGCGTTTCCGGGACACACTCCGCTGGTCGCCCGTTCCCCCGGCAAGTGTGAACGAAGAACTCGGGAAAATGGAGCCGGCGACCCTGCTCGTTCGACAGTGACACAGTGCGCGTTGAGAGCGCTCCAGGCTTGAGTTTTCTGGCCCTGTCGAATACCCCGAAGTACCGTTGACCGAGCGGTACCGGTAGTGTTGCCAGCACCGGGTCCAGTGGGACACTGGAGCAACAGACGGTACTCGGACCGGTACCAGCCAATCAGCGCGCGCAGCCTCCCCGCGCCAGCCAATCAGCGCGCGAGCCCTTCGCAAGGGACGCCGGGAAGGGGCGCGCCAGGTTCAAAATTCAATATTCAAACCAAAGCCGTTAAAAATTCGAGAAAAATCCCTCGAGATGAATTATTCGGGAATTACATAACTTGCACGGCGCGCGTTGCGCACTTAACCCCGCTGGCAAATGACTGGACGTAAGGGAATTAATCTCTTTTTGCTGAAACTCCCGACAATGAGCTCGGAAAAAATGGCGTCGTCGGCTTAGCTACCTTGACCGTTTAAAATCTGTCTCGAGGGGGTATTCACTGAGGAAATCGTGGATTTTAATACTTGAAATCACGAAAATATTGTAATATAAATATAATATGATAAATTTATAATTTTTATTTCTTCATTTTAAAGATAATCAATTTTATTGCCGTCTGTCACGTGTTACCGAATCACATTGTTATCACGTGAAATTAAAGGCAATCGACGATATAAGGTAGGAAATCGTTTGCATTGATTTTCTAGTGAATATATGAAGCCTATAAGTCTTGATGTTGGTCGTCGACGTTCTCCACCAGGGAAATCCTGATTATTATTGTGGTGTAGCAATTTGCAGACTTTCACGGGTTGATTAACGATTTATTTTTAGGTGTTTCGGGTTTTCTGGGAGAGAATTATCAGATTTCAATCGTCACGGGTGAGAGGCGCCCTGTACGTGTTTCTGCACACATTCAGCGTCATATCCTGCTGGCAAATGACTGGACGCGAAAGAATTTAATTGGCGATTTTCGTTAACGCGGTCGGTGGGTACTTTAATCCAGCAATCTGTACAGTTTAATGCTCCTCAATTCGGGAAATAATTTGCGACTCATCGCTCGCTGTTAAAAGATTCTTTAAAAGAAACTGTCACGCGTCTTCGACGTCTCAAGTGGGACGCCGGCGTCCTAATGGCAAATAATTGCACGAGAAAGTGATTAATCTTCGGATTCCATTAACAACATTGACAGGGGGTTTTGAAACCAGTTCTTGAACATATCGAGATAAATGTTAACGGTAACTCGCTCCGTAAAAGTGGCAAAGTTTCTCCTCGAACCTGAAAAGCGTCTGCCTCGGAATCATCGATCATCGACCGAATTGGGAACAATAAATCACCATCGAGACTAATTAATCGATCAGCTATCCAGATGGACCACCTCGAAACGCACATTAACAATTGTTTACCGTTAAATTGATAATTTTAAATAATTTAGTCCTGAATTTCTGACTTCAGCGTCTTCTTCGTGGTGTCAACCTTCTGGGGAAATTTTCGACTGCATTCGGAAGGACCAGAAGAGTATTAATATGAAGAGGTGAAAAGTTCTTCCAGTTCTGCATTTTCTACTTTATGTGGTCTTCTTGAAGAACCGGAAGTCCCGTTCTCCACTTCGAGATACCGCCTACGTACCTGAAGTGCATAGGAAAGCAGAAGTAATTTGCGGTTCCCACACTTGTGAAATATCGATGTGCAATCGTAAAGATCATTTATTAACCCGGAGGTTAATAAATATCGACGAGGAGTCTTCGGCTTTCGGTGTTCGCCTTTGATAACTGGAAGTACCGTTCTCCACTGCAACCACCGGTGGAGGAAATAAATTATTAATAAATAATACCTTCATCGACGTTGACAAAGTGACGCTATAAACTGGTCCCCGAGGCAAATAAACGGGAAAACGTGTAAAAGAAATTGTTTAGTATCGAGAAGTGTGAAATCTCGCGAGGTGAGGTGGTCGATAATTGAAGTTTAGACTCCGAGTGTTGAAAGCTCGGGTTAATCGAGAATTTTCGGTTCTATAAACTTAATTATCACTCGTGGGAATTGTTTTGTGTGACCGCAAGATTTCTCACTGACGAAATCTCGCTTCTGCATCCTATTTCCCAGAATTCGTCCAGATCTGCATGATGTAACAGGTGAGACCCCGTCATTTATTTTTTTTTTCCACCGTGGAAATCCCTAGATTGTAGGGAGAAAATTTATTATAATTAGTCAGGGAAGGAGAAATTATCCCCTAGGAAAATTGCTCGGAATTTTTCCGCTGGGATAATTTACCTCTTTAGTTTCGGAGATTTTCCGCCGGAAACACTTTAGTGGATAATGTTAAACGTGCGTGGTGAACTTTTTTCAGGGAGTCGAATTTTTCGACGTTCTGGAATATCTTTTACGACTCGCTTCTTGCAGCGCAAAGATTTATGTCGGCCGATGCATGGATAATGAGGCAGTAATTAACTTCGGGGTTGTAATAATATGGGAAAAGTTGAAAAGTGACGTTGCCGCAAGGAGGAATAATTTTCTTGGCCAGTGGGAATTAATTTAAGGCCCAATAAATTGAGAAATATAGAAATTTCTTATTTTCTACGATCTTTACCTCCTCGGATGAAAATGCCGATTTTTATAAACCTAATAATTATCAGGCGGAGAAAGTATTGTAAAAGATGAAGACACATATCTAGTTTCTAACGAGCTTTACATTGCTACGTGAAAATGAGAATCTGAATCGCATAATAATCACGAGGTGTAAAAAGTGAAAGAAATCTCTTCGCAGAAGAGATCACAGGGAAAATTATTCGAAAGTTTCATACCTCGTTGACTGGGAAATGATGAACGATGCAATTCCGATAAGCCAATCATTTTCCTTATTGAGATTCGCGTGAAAAATGGGCTCGTGAAATGGAGCTATCAGAGAAAAGAAATGGAATAAAATATTAAATGTCACGCGACGATCGTTAACATATTTCTGTGAATTACATTAATTGGAAAAAATATTATTTGTATGCCTGGATAATTGTAACTCATTTTTTTTTTATTATGTACGTGCAATTTGTATTACTATGTTTCACCGGGTTGCGTTAAATCTGCGTGTTTGGCCTCGAAGTAATAAAAAGTTAATTGAAACGCCACCTTTGTCAGTCTCGACGTTTGTCGGGTGATAACTTTTCAAGGGAATTAGATATGCGCGTGAGTTATGCTCAATAGAAATTCTTTATTTTTTCCTCTCTTTTATTTTTATTTTTTTCACGAGTCAGCTGTCTCTATAATGCCGAAAGACCATAAGCAGAATGACTCGAAAGTTTCATACCCGGTCGAGTATGAAACCGGTGTCTCGTGACATTGTTTCGAGAAACTGTCACTTGACCGAAATGATCTTTCGAGTTTAGAAATTAGAATAAGCCTCCCAGATGGATTCTTCAGATCCACGGAATTACCCTAAAAGTACTAACAATTCTAGAAAATAATTTCTAATCAATTATTGCATCGCACAATTCCAGAAAATAATTTCTAATAAATTACTAATACAATACTAATAGCAGAATTTATTAGAAAAATTATTTGTTAACAATTACTTAAGTGCGGTTCAACTCTCGCCAGTGTATTGTAACTTAACTGAGATTAAACCCTTAAAAAAAAAAAAAGGTATATAACACAAGTAGGTGAGATTTCTTAGGAAATATAATATTTCCCATATTTTACAATATTCCATAAGAATTATTGGAACGAAATGTAGGGTACAGTGCAGAGATTAAACCCTTAAAAAAAAGAAAAAGGTATATAACACAAGTAGGTGAGATTTCTTAGGAAATATAATATTTCCCATATTTCACAATATTCCATAAGAATTATTGGAACGAAATGTAGGGTACAGTGCACTTCAGCAAGCCATTAGAAAAGGAGGAGAGATCGTCTTAAAAGTAGGTTGCCACCGCAAGATTCCACGGAAGGTTACTGCGCAGGCGCAATTTTCTCGGCAATTGTTGCTCTACACTTTAAGCCTTAAAAAATATAAATGACACGTTGCCGTTCATTCAAGCCTTTTACATCGTGTACCTTTGTGGAATTAAAGGAGAACCAAGCGGTGTTAAAATTAAACTCCTAGACGAATTAATATCGGTCTTTCATTCCCCGAGGTAACCTAACCTCGCGTTCAGTTTTGAAATGAAATCGCCGAGAGAAATCGGAAAGAAAGGCGAAGAGTAATAATCATTTCGCTTCCTAGTCCTCTCGAGGAAACTTTGTAATCGGGATAATGATGTATCTTCGGTGTTGAAATAATCCCATCGCGTAACGGTTTCCGACATTTTCTCTTCCTCAATATCGGCTTAGGTGTCTGGTACAATGCATTCGCCGCAATGTTAAGCGGAGCATTAACCACGGCCGTTGATATTCAAATTCAAATTCAAATTGTTCCTGGGCGTGTAGAAAGTTCTTGCGGAAAAGCATTAAGGATTGCCTTAACTCCTCACGAAAGCGTGCCCTAAGATTCACTTCGATCATTAAACTAATTAAACCGCCAAAAAGTAATCCGCGTCACAGCAGGATAATTTCCCTCTTTCTGATGATAATTGGATCGTTAGGAAAATCTAAACCGTAAATTGCGAAGGTCACGGGATGTAAAATATGGAATCTCACGATCTCTGATGATAATTGGATCGTTAGATAAAATTTCAACCGTAAATTGCGAAAAAATGTGGTATTTCATGATTTTCACTTCCTCGTTGGATATTCCACTCTCAGTCGCGAGTTTGGCAGCCATTTTGGAGAACGTCGAGGATCGCTTTAACCCCGATAAATCACTTTAATCGTGAAATTAATTAAAAAGCCAAAAGTATCATCACGTTACAGCGGAATAATTACCCTCCGTCGGGCGATCCTTATCACGTAAGAAAATTCTTATCATAAATTGCGAACGTTATGGAACCTAATACGTGAAATCTCGTGATTATCACTTGCTTCCTTAATAAAATATTTTACACCCAATAGCTCGTAACGCGGCAGGTTTAACTAAATTTACAAGTAAATCGAGCTCCTAACTTGCGGCGGCAACACTTTACTCGAACATTTTTATTAACATTGCGTGCAAGAGCGAGTGCAAACTGCAGAATTATGCATCATTATGCAGCTGTTATTTCCTAAAGGAATATATGTCGGTATTGACTGTCCCTATATCATGCAACCAGTAGTTAAAAATTAATAATCGCGTTTCTGAAAATTCAATACAAAAGTAATTCCCATCGTTCCGTGCTCTCATGTAACGTTAATTATTGAATATTGAATCGTATAACATCATCGATGTCGTAGTACCAGATTTTAAGACATAAAAAAATGTGTTATCAGGGAAGTAAGCAGGATAATTAAATCAGCTTAAATAAATTTAACGGCTTTAATAAATTTAACAGCCGGCGAGTAAACTCGCTTACATGGCGCGATAAAAAGAGGCGTTCTCGATCGATTATCTGGAAAAGTCGATCGCTCCCTGTAGACTTAGTTTCGCGATTTCCGATCACTTGGCAGTAAATGACTCGTGAAGGCTTTTTATCGACTTCTTTTGCCCTGAATTTCTTCGGCTCGCCGATTGGAGAAAACTTTTCTTCGAGGAATGTCCGACTTGTCGCGAAGAAGGACGTCGCGACGCTTATAAAGAAACGCGGGATTAAAATGTTATCCATACCAGGAAGTGCTTATCGGAAAGTATAGATTTCTTGCGAGGGTTTAATCGAATAATCGCCGGGGGTAATTCGATTTCCTGCGAGAGAAAAAAGGCCTTCGAATTGAAGACACGTCGATAGGCGGCAATTTCATCCTCCACCGATTCCTTTCGAGGTGTAATTAATTTAAGCATGGTCCTATCCTCCGGTAGCATGTAAGTTACACAACTTACGGACCGATTACTTCCTCGAACTCTCTTTACTCTTTGCCAATACCGCCGATACGGTCGACGTCGATGGTTATTGCGCCGATATTAGACGGCTCGCAATTCCCAGCGAAATCCAGGAGTTCTCCTCCCTCCGAACCTCGTTCCTGGATTTAAGGTGAAGTGAAACACCCTTCAAATTAGTCGATACGAATACAACACTTTTTTTAAGGGCATTAGACCAAACTGTCCGAAACTTTGACACGTCACTCCTGATCATCTAAGAATTGTCCTGACACATTCAAAATTTGGATTTTTTAACAAAATTTTTTTACTCAGCCCAGACCAGAACCAAAATGGCGTCGAGCTCTCATATTTCGATCAACATACAATTATCGAAGGCTCTGATATGAGAATCGAAAGGGTCAGGACAATTTTACGACAATTTAGAACACTCTAGTAATCGATAAACTCGCATTTGAACGGGATAAGGGCAAAAAAGTGTTGTATGCGCTTCTATGCTAAAACGATGGTAATACGAGGTCTCGGAGTGAAAATGTAATTGACCTGGAAATCACAGATGGCGCAGGGGGTCCCTCTGCAGTCAATTAGGGCCCCAGAAAGCTTGAATCCAGAGGATTTCTGGAGTTTTACTTCGATTTCTTGATATTTATTATACGAAAACGACAGGCGGAGTATGCCATTTGGTACAATATTCAATGTAATTCGACACAGCTGTCAATATAAAAACGAATGTCGGCAACGTAGGCATTTAGAAGAATCTTCTTTATCGACGTTGATCAAGTTCTTCGACGTGTTTCACTTCACCTTAAGTAATAAAAGGGAATACAAGTGATACCGCATTATTAACCCTTCTTTTTTCCGTTCGCTTCAGGCAGCTTCATGTCACCAAAAGAATGGCCAGGGATCGTCTGGGCTCCGAATATTCCGAGAATCTGAGCGATGCCACGACCTGTAGCTGCATCATGAATTCTGTCGACAAGGTACAACCACATAAAGGAAAAAAAAAAATCACTAGAAATTATTTAGGCCTCCGCAAAAATGTTCTAATTTTATCTGATAATATCTGATGCCACGCCATTTTGAAAAATGTCGGTGAAGAGGTCGACCTAAGAAATTAATTGGAATTTATCGTTGCAGTGCATCTAGGGTTGCACCACGTGTTTCACTAAATTTTTTTTCGCCTCCACTCATGGTTGTTGAAAATTGGAATTTTATTCCGAAATTTACTATATCGACGCCATGTTGCGGATTTATTATGAGAATACCTCTAGGAGGGAAATTAAATATTAATCATTGTCGCAGTGCACCTTGCGCGGTTGCGGCATGTTTCAGGAGCCATTTTTTCTGCACCCTCCCGGGACCAGACCTCGAGATGGGATTTATATAAACCCTATGTCGGAGTATATCAGAGACCCCCCTAAGCCAAAGGACACCGAGTCCTTCTATCTCCACAGCCCTCACGACTTGGTTTACACGAGGATCACTCGACTTTTCAGCGAAGTCGATAAGTCGCGCAATGGCGAGCGTCTAGAGAGGAAAGATGAAACTCTAACGGGTAAGTGGCACGTCCTGGAACCGGCTTCGTCGACAATCGACAGCACTGGGCCGCTGACTTTCCGCCATTATTCATAATCGGGAGAATTAAGTGAGCATCTTAGCGTTTAATGGGCTCAAAGTTCCCGCACATCAAGTCAAATGACGGGAAAGTCCCGTCGTCCATATCCATCCATTTCCTCAGATAAATTTCTTTTAATTTTAATTTTAATATTAATATTTTTTTTTGTAATATATTTAATTTAAAATTTAATATTAATAAAAAATAAATTTTAATTTTAATAATTCACATATTCAAGAATGTAAATTTCCTGAGGTACGGATAAAAGTGGACGTGCGTATAAACAATAGTATTTTATCATCATGTTTTTTTTTTCTTATAATTGCCAAAATCATGAAATTGAATTTTCTGGTGTTTCGGTCAAAGTGGACGCGCACGTGAACAATGGCAGTTTATTATCGTTATGTTTTCTAATAACTGGCAGAGTCAAGAAATCGAGTTTATTGGCGTTTTAGTGAAAGTGGACGTGCACATCAATAATGGAAACTACAAGCCCCTTGGAAATGGAACCTCGGTGAGGTCGGACCTTATCAAAGAGACCGAACATGCCTACGAGCAAATTTGCATTCGTCAAGAGGACGAGAGCGTCAAGTCATCTCACGGAAAGTCATCGGACAATGTTTCTGAAAGCAGGTGAGATTTAATGTAGATTTAATTGATCCAGTTCTACTGTTTAGCGGTATTAAAAAAAAAGGAAGGAATTATAACTGGGCGTCGATCATTCGAAATGGCGCCACTCGAACAATCGACCGAGAAAACTAATCTACGTGAAGATGTTCTCTGTGATTCACTGATAACGCGACCAGAGGTTTATCTTTATACCTCTTTATCACTCTTGACATAATGGCGGCTCATCTTTCCAGCCGTTCCCGCAAAACCGACAGAAGATTCAGCAGATCCAGCAGTGCCAGCGAATCTTCAAATGTCAGCAGCGAAATTCATTGTTACTCTTCTACGACGTCGACGCCGCCATTGTCCAGGAACAGCAGCAACGAGCGCATCAGCAAAAGCCCGAAAATTCCGGATCCCCTGATAGGTAGGTGAAAAATGCGCCGTAGATATTATATATATCTATCCATATATTAAGGCGTTATGAAAGGATTATTTTATACATATTTATGATAAATATAATTTAATACATTTATGAAACTTTTCTCCAAACTAGATACACCGAATTGTTTAAAACTTCAGCATGTGATTATCAAAGCTCCAAGGAAGAACGCGATGCTCGTGAAATTTAATTTTTTTAATAAAAAATATGCATGCTTGATTCTGGGATGAATAATCAAATGTATTTCTTGAAAAATTAAATTTTACGAGTATCAGGTTTTTCCTCAGGACCTCCATGATGACGTTCTGAAGTTTCAAATGATGCGCACATCAGTTTGAAGAAATGTCTCATAATTAGTTCGATGTTTTGATGTATTTATAGAATAACTCTTTTATAACACCTTAACGCGATGATGATCAGGTTAAAAACGATTCAGCGGAAATTTAAAGTCGAAGAAATGGTATTTGAAGAGAAACCGTTCTCTCGCTTAGTAACATCGGACGCCGCCATTTTGTTTTTCGGCTCTTCAGACTAACGGTGGATTCTTTTTTTCTTTCCTTCTGTCTACATTTCAGAGAGGACCGACTCGACGTGTACTCATCGAGAAAGTGAAAAGGACACGAAGTCTGTGAACACCGGATCGAGGTAAGTGGGCCGAAGTCACGGCAAAAGGAAGCGATCGAAAGTTAATTAATGCCGGCTGTCGCCTCTAACGCCGGCAGATCTTCGAGTTTTCTCGGCGGCTCCGGAAATTGCTCCGCCATCTTGGACGAGTTGGAAAGTGAAGTTCAAAATAGGCTTGGCAGCCCATTTCGCGGACCGACGAAGAACAAATCTGCGGTCTGTCCGGCTTTCCCGGGTATCCCGGTTACGGAATAACGATTTTCATTTCACTTTTGCGCCGGGTAAAAATGTCAATCCGGGTCGAAAGCGACGCTTCGCGCGCCGCCATCTTGTTTCGCGCTTCGGGGGTGTTTATACAGGAGCTGATTATGATTTACTGTCTATCACTTATATTTTTACTTCCCTCAGTCTTTCATCTTCTCAAAGTTATTAAGGTGATATGGAAGAATAATTCTATATATATATAAAACGTAAAAATATATATAAAACTTTTCCCCAAATCGGGTGCACCTAATCATTCTTCAGCACGTGATTATGAAATTCCTAAGGAGGAACGTAGGGCTCATAAAATTTAATTTTTCAACAAAAACATGTATTCTTGATTCTAGTCTGGCATAAATAAAAAATTTGTTATTAAAAATAAAACTTCATGAGCACCACGTTCTTCCTTACGGCCTCCATAATCATATGCTAAAGTTTCCAACGATTCGGTGCATCCGGTTTGGCGAAATATTTTATAAATATTATGACGTTTTATATATATAGAATGATCATATCATCTTAAGGAAAGTGATTTGAGATTTTCTAGATACAAAAAGGCTCGAAGAAAGTCCTCGGGTCGATCGCCTTCTTCTATTAACAGGATTAACTTCCGTTCGACTTTTGCCGTCCGATCGTTTCCACGGTCGATTATTAACTTAATAACCTTCGGTCTGTTACTTTTCAATCCACTTTGTCGGTCAAAATCCCCTAACCACCTGTTGCCTTTCAACTCGAGATTGCGAAAGGATTTCTCGACCGATTCCAACATGACGTAGTGGCGATAACTTTTTTGTCAAATATTCTATATAAATATTCAGTAACATTTTTTGGGAGACTCCGATGGGATCGCGGATGCAGCTATTAATTTAATTTTTTGTCGTCATTAAAGCGCCGTCAAGCCGCCCCCTCCACCTCCTCCACCACCACCGGAAATCGAAGAAGTCATCGTTATCAATACAAGGATTCTGGAGGCTACAGTTCGAGAGGAGAAAAATGAGGTCCTGCAGGATTCTAAGAGCGAGACCGAGGATGCACCTGGTAATATAACATTATGATAATTTAACAAATTCCAAATAAAAATTAATTTATCGTGTAATTAATTATTAAGCTGTATGAATGTAGCTTTGATATTACGCGATGATCGAATGGGTAACCAAAAATCCGTGTCATTAAATGGGCGGCCCTTTTTCTGCATCGCGCAAGATGTTCCGCTTCGACGATATGCAATATCGAGGAAGAATATGTCGTTTTCTTTCGAGAAAGTCCGTGCCACTTACGACTCGATTTAATCCACGTCATTTAAAATCGATTCCTGCCGAGCAAGGATGCGGTCTGTATCGAGCTCGGAGTCCGCCTGCAATTAACGCGACGAGTCCTTTTTGCATGTCAATTGATCAGGAGCTATTAAAAGCGGTACCTGACATTTGTTGCAACCGCAGGACCGACTTTTGATATTAATAAGCTGGATCGGGTCGTAATTCCTGACTGTCGAGGAGCCCCATAAAAATCGAAGGAGAAACCGCGAATAGGGCGCCGCGCTCACCGTGATATATGGAGTAATGTATCCAAATCATGTCGAAATCGATAAGCTACGAGAAAGTGTCCCGTAGGAAAGTTATTCCGCGGGGTATTAGCTACACTTTTTATCCGGACCATTTTCGATAGTTACGTGTCATTAATGCAGAAACATGGGTTTATGTTGGGCGGCGGGTAGAATGCAGTCCGCGAGCTGGCTCGGCAGGCAATACAAGTTACTTGCATCTCTCCTTGGATTTCTGTGATATAGTGAGAAAGCATTTAATTTTCTTCACTGCAGTACTTCCTGCAATGAAAATTAATCAAATCTCAGTTTCTGCGGTATGATAAAATAACATTGAATTTTTATCACTCTTAAAATGGCTTTTCCTGCAAGTACAATTAATGAAATCTCAGTTTCTATAGTGTAATAAGAAGGCACTGAATTCCTATCAGCCTCTTCAAGGCATCTGAATTAGATCACGGGATAATAACTGCATAATGCATATGCTGTGGATATTTCATAAGAAAATATAGAGCGAGTAGGGGCGAGTGGTACCCGAAATCCTTTCCAAGGCGATACACTTGCAGTCCGAAGCAGTGGCTCGATTAAGGTTTGATATGTGTTTTTAATTGGACCACCGGCCGATTATGGATGAATTACTAGACCATGGTGCTCACGGGGCATATAATATACTTACCTAGATTTCACTTGCACACCACCTTATACCCACTTATAATATAATGAGTTCTGCCCCTACTCTTGTCGCGGAACAGCGGCCAACAAGTCCGTCGTATCCTGCGACCAGGCGGAAGTGCCTCCAGCCAGTCAACCTGCGGAGACCGAGGAAATTAAGCCACACCAGGTGTCTCACCTGGTGAACAAACACATGGTGCTGCCATTCATACCCCCTAAATTCACGAACGCGGACTCGAACACGCTCCTGAAGCCCTCGGAGTACCTGAAGAGCATCTGCAAGACCCCCTGCAAGAACAGCCTCTCCAAAGCCAGGTTGGTCCTCCTCTTCGGGTTCTTCTTCGGGTTCTTCTTCGGCTCCTTCCTCAAGAATTCGAATTTTACCCCGTTCCTCAAGGTCGGTCGACAATTTGGACATCCAAAGTCGGTCTTGCGACGAGGAGGAGGAAGAGGAGGTGGGCGAGGGGGACAAACCCGAAGAGCAGAACAACCCTCCCCCAGGTCCACCTCCTCCACCTTTGCCACCCTCGCAGAAGGAACCTCAACCTCCTTCGGCTTCTGAGGTTGAACCACCGAAGGCTCTTCAACCTCTGGCCACTATCAGCATCCAGGACCTGACGAGTGTCCAGCTGAGGAGGACCAGCACAAAGATGCCCGCCACGAAAACCTTCTCAGCGCCTCCACCTCGAAGTGTCTCCATGACTAATGGTGCGTCTCTTCTTTTTACCTCATTCTGGAATTAATAAAAATTTCATATCGAATGTCATTTTTAACATGGCAAAGGGAATATGTTTAACGACGTGGGGACAGTTTCAGAGCCGTTCTTCGTCCAGAAGACGGATTTAATCGCCGAGCTGAAGAAAACGAAGGATATACCGGGGATTAAAAAATTAAAGGTCGAACGGGCTCAAGTGGAGAAGACACAGGAGCGGAATTTAATGACGGAGATGAGCAAGGCCTTCAGTGCCTCGAATTTCGTCGACCAGGTAAGTCAGGATATTTATTTTTCAAGTTAGTAGATTTAATGGCTAATTTCACGGGGTCGGATTTTTCGATGAATTTCGTTCGCCCGAAGGAGGAGGTTAATTGTTTCTCATTTTTAAGATCCCGGACAAGGATAGCGCCGGAAACGTTATACCGATATGGAAGAGACAAATGCTGGCCAGGAAAGCAGCGGAACGGGCGAAAAAGGAGCTCGAGGAGCAAATTGCCCGAGAAAACGAAGAAAGGCGACAGGCGGCCATTCCGCCATGGAAGAGACAACTCCTAGCGAAAAAAGATACGGATGATAAAAGGTGAGGATTGTAACTATTACATGATCTTAATATATATATAATTTGTAAAATAATGAAGTTCGTCGAGAGGATTTATTTAAATTTAATTTTTTTTTTTTTTTTCTTGCAGGACACCTCACGTTTTAATAACTCCACCGGTGGTGACTCCCATAAAAATCGAGATCACGCCATCTCCGAAAAGAGACGTCTCCCCTGCAGCTCCGATTATCTCAAGAGAGGCCGAAAAACCGGAAGTCGAGGAAAAACGAGCAGAATCGAACGAAAACTCCGACGACGGGCAAATAATCCCCTGGCGGGCGCAGCTAAGGAAGACGAATAGCAAACTTAATATCCTGGATTAGCTAAATTATCAGTTGGGGTAGATAACTTATTATCTGACGACCATGGTACAAAGACAAGATGGCGGAAGTTTCAGCTCGTCCCGATCGAAGCGACTTCGAGAATCAAAAGAGCTGAAATGATAAAGCATAATTGTTATAATAAGAACTCCCGCGAGTTTCGATTATCAATAATCACGCAATTAGTCACTTCCGGTATGGCGAGCTTATATCGAGTTACTGCAAGAGAAGGACGCAAAACTTTCTCACTGGAGCTTGGAGAGCGGAAACTGTTAAGGCGGAGATGCTTAATTTATGGAATACCATTCTTGTGCATACACTGTAAGGAAATAGATGTAAATTAGTAGAACGTTAATGTCCGTAGATCGAGGTGTTACGAATTTCGACGTTAAGACGGTGCTACTTAGTAACAATTGCTTTTAACTAACTCTAGCAGCGCATTGTCGACTTACAGCACGGTTTATTAATAAAATTTCGACGGAGATTTAGGATTTTCGCAGTGCTATCGTATACTGCGAGTGGACACTGTCTTATGATAGTATATCTGAAATTGTATGCAAAGAATGTCGTACAAATGTCCGCGGTCAATGTTGATATTGTTGGCCCGAGTATGACTGCGTCAGATTACGATTCGAGGGTATAATCGCATTATTAACGGAAATATTTTTCTACTAACACTTGTCGCTATCACATCTGGAATACCCTGCAGTGTAAGTTGCGGAATACGGAACAGGGGCGACGTGTACATAGAGTTAAGAATGAAAATAAATTGGAGGCGAAGATATGAGGTTTCTTTATTAACCTAGTCCATTAACAAATTGGATATTACAGATTTAGTAGGTCAGCGGATAAAATCTATACAATTGACAGATTTTTCCTGTAAGCTTAACGGACTTATTTTTTTTTCCGTGCAAATTCCTCGTTTAATGCAAATGGCTATTATCGATTTCCGACTTTCCTTGCGAATAATGATGTATGTCGTCCTTATCCTCGATACCGCGTTTACCGATGTCCACGGCATGACTCGCGTAGTCCTTTACCTTGGCACACGCGTCCCTCGGTAGAAGCGACGCGGTGGACGCGCCCCTCCACCAGCCTGGCGTCGTTACGACACAGCGTCGACGGCGTCGGCATCGACGTCGACGTCGGCCAGAAGAGAAACTACGATCGTCCGCTGTGAGAACTCAGTTCTAACCGAGCTAGCCGCCCACAGACGTACAACAGTCCCGCCAAAATAGTCGGCTTAGGTGTCCGCCATCTTGGCGGCATCTGATGCCCAACCGTCGAAATCTCGAAATAAGTGCCCACCGAGTCGCAAAACCCAAAGCCTCGAAATACCTGCCACCATTTACCTCGTTTCCCCCGATTTTCACGGATTTCCCGCGTTTAAATTCGACTTTTCGACTCTTCGTCTCCGATTTATGCAGACTTTTCGCGCGGCGCCTCACGAGACGCGGATTGCAATTTTCGGGAGTGATTCGGACTTTGTTACGGGTTTATTTAAATTAACGGGGCGATAGGGATACTTGAACATTCCTGTAGGAAGTAAAGGACTTGGTGGGGAGAGTTTAACGAACCGTTTGATTAAGTGCTTCTAAGTTTTTGACGGTGGAGCGTCATTGGAGGCAAAGCCGCGCTCCAAGATGGCGTCGTATCGCAGCGTAGCAGGTTAGTGTACTTCTGTTTACGCGAATTTCTGATATGGAGGTGTAAACAGAATTTCTATTACACGGCTCATGGAAATGTTTTCGAAAACGATTCGAGGAATGTCGAGCCCGGCCTGGAATTCATTAAGTCGTTTTAACCATTCGCCAAATTAGCGCCATTTGCCGGACCCAAGGAGACATCGACGCTGTCAAATAATGATTTACCCTCGCTATTGCACTAATTATCATTCTCCATCTAATTGAAAAAAAAAATAAAAAGGAACGTTGGCATTAATCATGCTCAAAGGAAACTCAATTTTAATATCAAAGCCTTCGTAATTTGCAACTGTTAACGCTTTTATATGTGCTAATAAGTGCGTGTAAAGTACGAGGCTGCGTTTTCGAGTAATGTATTTTCGTTTTCTTTAAACGAGGAAGGTTCTATGCCAACTCGAAGTTAAAAACGAGGAATCGAGGCCGATAGTCAAAGCGACTATAATTAGTATAGACAAAGCACATTCCGTGTTAAGTATCGAAGTCTGAAATCGTTCGATCTGAACGATCCAACGATTCGATATGAACGATCCAACGATTCGATATGAACGATCCAACGATTCGATATGAACGATCCAACGATTCGATATGAACGATCCAAGTACAAATTGACCCAGAGAGCCTTCCAACTCGATTATCCTGATGATTTAGTGATCTTCCCACCTATAAGGATAACTCGAGGCCACGACCGACCTTCGCCTAGTAATGTTAATGAAATAAATCCTTAACCGCTTTTGAATACAGGAAATCGCAATAGATTTAAACGGATCCGGTGTCCCCTAACATTCCCGTGTTAGTTATGAACGAAGTGACTTAACCCGACGAGATACGAGACTCGTTTATTCAATGGAGCCCATTATCATTATACCCTGCAGCTCGCCATATATACAGATACATATACTCACATATGTATTGCATAATGCCCCCTAACAGTCATTAATATTGATACGGCCGAACGATTTCGATCTCGAATAAAACCTAAAAATTGTGACGATAAGGAAATTAACGCGAGGAGGAACAGTGACGTCCTTATTAATTAGGACGTCGAAAAGTCCATAAATTAAAATTATCAATGTTTCTTATCCCCGTAATTGCGTATGGATATTGTGAAGATTGTGTATGTATGCACTTGTCTATACGACGCTCGTTAATATTTAATATTGCAATGTGGGACAGGAAGAAAACTCCGTTCTGGAGAGTCTAAGGAAAAGAGAAATTAAATGATTGGCAGAAGACTAATCATTTTCTGAAATAATTTATGCACCGGCATGTCTCTGTGTTTAGTGGAAAAAATTCTACGGGAACCTGACGGGAAATACAAAGTGCTTTGTTAGATGGTTGAATAATCATTCTGCTTGTTTGAAGCAATTGTTGTAACTGGAATGTGCATTTTTTTTATAATGTACCTGTACCGACACATTTCTGTCTGTAAATGAGATGGCGATGGAAATTATCAGCAATTTCATTCTATGTTCGGAAAAATCGTAAGGAGGAATTTTTACATTTGGGTGTAATTAACGTTGAAGCAAATCACTCGTCAATAAGTCTCGTTACGAAGGATAAGGACGAATCAGGAGGAGCGGTCAATTATCTTATTGACTTGTCAATGTAGAGCTTAATGGGATTCTCTGTGATCGCCACTTTGAGTCTGGTAATTAACACTGATTCACCTCAAAATTGATCCGAGTTCTTGGCAAGCGAAAGTATTAACGCAACGAGTACATAATAGTCCCTCTATACGCAACATGGATTTTATTTATTGATCAGATTGTCTATCGAGTCTTTTAAAGTACATCGCATGATTCGAGCCAATTTCCGGGGAACCTAAAAAAACGATGCTCTCCAATTTTATGCGGCCTTGGCTCTGTAATTGCAGTTTCATTACGGCAAGCCATTTTATGAATTAAGAAATAACATGAAAATATAAGTGTACCCTAAAAGTGCTCATATGTACACAGTATATAATGAAATAAAAAAATGTCATATAAAAAAAATACATTTTATATATAAAATTCCGAATTTAATTGCAGTACACGGAGTTAACACTTGCTCAGCTCAAGCTTCGTATCGGAACGAAAGTCATGGGAATATCCTATGGGAATAATAAGAGGGCATAGAAATAAGAACCGTAAACATTTCTTAGTGGAAAATTGGGAATGATTACACACGGAAGTCATTGGAATAAGAATGTGTGACGTGAACAGGCACCGGGCCAAAATTCTCACGGAAATATCGTCCCCAGTTGTTCGTTAAAGCGTTACAAGCTCGCATCTGTTTCATTTTTCTCTTTCCCAATGAATCGCGAGTATATAACAAAGTAAAAATCATTTCCCCAACAGTCCAATTGCCAAGTCCTTCGTAACAGTGGTTAATCTCTCGGTCAATTGTAAGTGTGTTAGAGGAGCGTAACTTTGGCCTCGAAACTGCAGTGCAAGGCTAGGACTATAAATACATCAAAGAAGCGCCTTGCTTTATTTATATCTCTGGGATTCCAGATACGCGTGGTTTGTAAAATTAATTCAGGCTTTTCCATATTTCTCTTTCCCTCCCACACAAGTTCCACGGGGTTGGATTGTCCAGAAATGTCGGCAAGTGTTAAGGAAATATTAACACTAGGTTTACGGGCGTTTTATATATACCTTTTTCTACGAGCATCCGTCAAATTGACGGGTAAACGAAAACACGAATTTTCTTTAAAAAATCGATTTATTCAAATTAAGTCTGAATTAAACGACACTAGGCTATACGTTTAAATGAATGATTGATAAGTAAAAAGTCCTTTTTTAAAAATTATCACGGAAATAATTGGAATGCTCGTCCTCTCATCCTCGGAGTCAGAACTAGAAAGAATGCGCATCCTTTTCTTGCTACGACACCCTTTCAAGAAGTTTTCCTCTTCACTATCCGAAGATCCTTCCATCTCTCCACTTTCAATGCAAACTTTCACTCTCATCTTCGCCTTACACTCTCTGCAACGAAGCAAATATATATGGATTGTTTATGAAATTAGCTAGTCCGTCAATTTGACGGGTTTCGTAGAGATAGGTATACCACATACAGATTTTAATAATTAGAAGGCTTAGGAAAAAGTAATTGTGTGTACAAATTCTTTGGATGAAATGATTAATTTACGATACAAAAATGGTTGAAATTAATGCTATGGTTTTTTCGGTATTTCTTTTCGAAGTTTGAATTCCGTCAAATTGACGGGTCCCGTAAACCTAGTGTTAAAAACCGCCGGGACATAAGTTCCATTTCGCCGGTTTATCCCGAAAGTCACTTGAACGTTCTCTACAATTGATTTTTTATGATTTACTTTCTTTGTTGCTATGACGCGGAAACGTTGGCAGAGGAGTCGAAGAGACTTCAAGATCACGGCGTTCGTGTGGGCGATTGACATTGGCAATGACCAGTGCACATGTACAACCGTCATTATGTATATTCTCTGAGTCTAATTGCGCGGAAAGTGGTTTCCTAACGAATTGTCAGTTCGGCTTGCACTAATTCATATTTCTCCGTTCCAGATCGATTATCATGTCGCCAAGTACTGAACATAATGGTGATTCTCGGCTTCATGGTGAACTACATGTTGAGGATGAATCTAACCATAGCAATAGTGAGCATGGTGATACAAGGAAATAATACTCTACATTCCAACGAGACAATCGGAGTCCCCTTCATTCCAGTCGGCAATGCGACAATTGTCGCAATGAGAGCCAACATCAGCGAAAGTGCATCTTCAGGATCTCAGCTTCCAGGACACTCCTCAGAATCTGTGTGTGCATTTTTATCATGATCAGACTGCAACATTTTTTCTATATGAAGAATAATTCTTACTATTTTTGCCGCAGGAAACACTGCAACAAACTAAGTACCCTTGGAACCAGTACGAGGTGAATCTAATCCTGGGCAGCTTCTTTTGGGGATACATCTGCACGGAGATTCCTGGTGGTAGATTGGCAGAGATTATAGGAGCCAGAAGTGTCTTCGGATACAGCATGCTAGTTTCGAGTCTGATTACTTTTCTGACACCATTATCGGCCATGTTTGGATACGCCACCGTTTCGGCACTTCGAGCCATTCTGGGGTTCATGCTTGTAAGCGGTGAAAAAATCCCTTGAAAAAGATTCCGTACCATATTTTCAATGACTTCTTAAGGTGAAGTGAAACCCCCTTCAAAACAGTCGATTCGAATACAACACTTTGTTTTNAAAAATTATCATTTTTACATACACAGGGAGTCACTTGGCCTGCCATCCAGCCAATGACTGCACGTTGGATCCCCCCAGATGAGCGAAGCAAATTCGTATCCAACATGATGGGTAATTATAAACCATTCTTCAGGCCGAAATCGGCATTTTTGACGCCGCTGAAGATGATGATCTGTTTTGCAGCTTCTTCCCTCGGTGCAGCCATTACGATGCCGATGGCGGGGTTCCTTATAGCTAGTTTAGGGTGGGAATCAGTTTTCTACGTCACCGGGGCTATAGGTTTAATCTGGAGTCTCGTTTGGTTCCTTTTGGTCTTCGATTCGCCGGCCCAGCATCCCAGGATCTCTCTGGAAGAGCGAAAGTACATAGAGGACTCTATAGGAACAACTTCTTCGTCTAAAGTAAAAGGACTAAAAACCTGTTGTCAGAATGTTTATCAATGGTGCTATTGAAGAGAATTAGTTGTCCAACGTTTCACGTTGAATTTCCATTCCCAGCATCTCCCAGTGCCTTGGAAAGCGATGTTCACGTCCATCCCTGTCTGGGCGATCATCATCACTCACAGTTGCAGTGTTTTCGGGTACTTCACTGTAGTCAACCAATTGCCAACGTACATGAAGTACATATTGAATTTCAACATCAAGGAGGTAACGTCGAACCGTGATTCAATTTTTATTTAGGAAGTACAACGTCCGAAGTATTGAAATTAATTTCCAGAATGGCCTGCTGTGCTCCTTGCCGTATTTAGGAAAATACGTTTTCGCAATAGCAACTTCCAGCGTGGCGGATTGTTTACGCAGGAAGAACAAGCTCTCCGTGACCGCCATTCGCAAGCTTTTTACTACTTTTGGTGAGACCATAAAAAATTTTTTAATGCAAAAAAAAATCAAATATCATTATAGCCCCCATATTGACGTTGTAAAGTTAGAAACGATTCGTGACACCCAATTCAGAGAAAATTTTCGTAAACGAGAGGTACTTGACGGCATTTTCACATAGCGTTAAAACGGTTAAGTGGAATGAGATTGAAAAAAAATATTCATGATTTTAATATTACTTCCAGCCGTGCTGAGCCCGGGCTTGCTGATGATCGTGGAGGCGTATTTCGGGCACGACCGAGTGATTTCGGTGGTTGTTTTTACAGTAGCTTTGACAATAAACGGAGCCGTGACCGCAGGTTATTTAGGAAACGGGCTGGACATTGCCCCGAATTTTTCTGGGACGATTTTCGGGATCGCCAACACTCTGAGCTCGCTGGGAGGTTTCCTCAGCAGTTTCATGGTAGGCAGCTTGACCTACCGCGATCAGACCTACTCTCAGTGGCAGATTATTTTCTGGATTCTGGCCCTGATTTACTGCTTCGGGGCGCTGGTCTTTGCTGTTTTTGGAACCGGCGAGCTCCAAAAGTGGAACAATCCAGACAGCGTCGAGGTCAAGAAGAGAGCATGCCCTGAAAACGGCGCAGAGGCAGAAGAACTGATAACACTAAATCAGAAACCTGGGGGGAGATGATGAAGAATAACTCCACACTATCTGTAGGTCGATACAAACATTTCTACTGTTAATTAGTAAATTAAGTCAGGTTTCGATCGCCTCGAAACACGTATACTCAGTTATAACCAATCGCCTTAACGTTCTTTTGTTACCAGATTCTATGTACAAACAAGAAATAAATTTATATTGAAGGAATTAACATTTTTATAAAAGCAAATCTCTATCGAGTTACCTGCCTTGGAAAATCGAGGCTGAGTGATGATTAGGTATTTCTTTAAAATATTTACCAGTCGCCGCGGGTTTCCACTTTCGGTACAGGGTTCCACTGTTCGCCGAGGGATGGCGCTACCGCCCCGTTGGCGCTAGCGTGTCGCGCGTTACGCGCCACTTTGTCCTGTCTTTTCCCACGAGGTGCTTGCAGTCAATCGGGCTGCGGGGTAAGGCTTTGCATCCTTCTCTAACACCCTGGACGCTAGATGATGCAATCTTCGTTGCTCTCATCGGATGAAGCATCGCGTCGGCGTTTGTCGTGGCGCTGCGTCTCGGGTGCGTCGCGATGGCCAGCGTAGGGGCGCCGCGCGTTGCGGTGGTGCTCGCCGTGACGCGTGGCGCTGCGGCGCTCCACCGTCCAACCAGGAGAACAGCTCGGCGAGGAGCTCTGTAAGTATCCATCTTGCTGTCTCTCTTTCCCCAACGGCAGTGTCCGTGGACATCGCATAACTAACTCTTTCTACCACCGTCTCGTAAACGGACAAAATATTAACGGTAACGGCCGCCTCGCATTTTATCAGTGTATCATAATTTTGACCTTTGAAGTGAGTGGCCATCTTTTCCATAGAAAAAGTGGAAACTTGTCAGAGTTCCACTTTTCTCGCGCCACGTCTATATTCTATAAAGTCGAGACGTGCTTTCTTTAAGTTAACCATGACAATGTTTAATTGTCTGTTTTCTGGGCATAAGGTTAGACAAAGTGGCATGGAAAACGTGGATGCGAAGCTTCGGAACTCAGGCGTTAAATCATGTAGTAATTTGCGAGCGCAACGTGTCACGGTTAAACTAATGCGGAGGGAATAATAATTAAACGGAAACGCGGTGCACGGCTTTAATCCCGAGGAACAAGAGTGCGATCAGCGGTCCAGCTCGTTACGAGCGTACCAATAACCGCGGCGATAATTAATCTGCTTTCCGGCTCGGCGTTCGCCACAGAGCTCGTTACCTCCGAGCTTTATGATTTGCAGGTTATCATAAATTCGTTGGAATCGTTTCCCACGTAGCAACGCGTTCGGACTCGGCTAACTCAGCTCCGAAGAGGATTTATCGCAACCCCGAGGTAAGGGACACCACGGCGATCATTTCTCTACTTAACCTAACTTTTTCCTACTTTCCCACCTACACGTTTAGACCATCTGGTAAAGATATATATTTCATTCCCGTACCTAGATTTGAATACTTTCAGAGCCGGTACACCACTTTTATTTACAGAGTCAACAGTGGTTAAAAAGTTCCCAGGTGGTCATCCATCCGAATACCGGCCACGTCCAACGTTGCTTAACTTACATCTCACGAGGATCATCGCTTTTAAACGTGGAATGAGCGTTGAAAATTATTTTAAAAAAGTGTAAATACCACAAGGTACTTAGAGACGAGCTAAAACTATCAAGGGTAGGGACGTCAATCTGGGCTCTTCACTTGCGAGGGAGGGAAGTTTCCCCCATATCGTCGATTCCGTCGTGGCATGATAAGCGGAAGGCTGAGCTTCTCATCTTCCCATGCCCCGTGCCCGTGGTTCCTCGGCCCCCACCTCGACGTTCTTAAAAGCCGGGGCAAGAGACATGTCGCGAAAGAGAGCAGGAGAGAGGGCTTCGCGTCGCCTCGCGCACCTGAGTTCCCGGCACCAGGAACGTTAGGCGCGGAGGCGACTGGCGCCGTTAGGTATGGCCGTAGAATCTTAGGAATTCATGGACTGCAGCACTGAATTCAGTTGCTATGTCGGCGGGCGCCGGGGAACAGGAGCAACAAAGAGGTCGACGGGTCGAAATTTGCCGCGCGGGACCGCCCGCTCGAGCAACGGCTTACCAGGAGCTTAAAAGACGCGAAAAGTAGGCCGACAGGCGCGCAGGAGTCGCGAAAAGTAGGGCTACTGGCGCGCAGGAATCGTAACAAGTAGTGCGACAGGCGCGCAGGAATCGGGGAAAGTGGCGCGCTCGGCGCGCAGGAGTGGTAAAAAGTAGTGCGACCGGCGCGCAGGAATCGCGAGAGATGGCGCCGCCGCGCGACCTCCTGGCCCTCTATTCGCCCCTGGTCGGTTGTGATTAACTAAGGTTTAATCAGCTTTACAAGCTAAACTTCTTTTGTCAACATGCACGTGCATGATAATCCGAGGCTATCTTTCCAGCTCGACCGGACCCCGGAGATCCGCGGATTCGCCTTCGGACGATATTCCGTGATATCGAGCCCAGCAGGAGGACCCAAGAATGAGTTCCTGGTGCCCCGGTGGCGGGAACAGAGTTTGTCGAGGTGCGCAGCCGGTCTTCGGACCCCGGTAGGAACCTCGGAGAGGTCTCATGCTGCCCTGATAACAAAATTCACAGGATGTTAGACGTTGAGTTCCACGAACCCGGAGGACCAATCGCGACGTGGCAATAGGGCCGGCGCTCCAATCACGGCGCGCGTTTACGCCTCGTGGATGAGCCGCTAGTAGAGAAGCGCCAGACGCTTCCGTGCAGTCATCAATGGAAAATCCACGGTTTCTTTTGTTTGTAACTTTACCCCTTTAAATGCAACTTGTGCGAGATTACTATTCGAACTTAGTGATTATGAAGGTATAACCTTTTCCGAAGGTACTTCAGCCAGCGCACTAGACTTCGCGGTAGCCTGGTCGTCCGTTTCTCCGCTCTCCAGCGGTTTTAGATTAAGTTCCCCGAAACTCCCGAATCGAGGTCGGACGGCGTCAAGGGGTTAAAGTATGTCCGCGAAACATATGGCGGACGGTGGAGGCGCCTCTTGCCGAGCATGTTGCCCTGGCTCGCCAGTTCGCAAGTTCTCCGTACAACGTTCGTAAACGTACGAAAGTGACGAGAAACGGAGCCCTCGAGAGGTTTAGCGACAGTTCTTATTTACGCGGGGCTATTAGTCGGGAACCGAAGGAGTTTTAGTGCGCCATCTGGCGAGATTTCATTCCCCGCTGGGCTCGCCGAGCGCCGCCTTCAAGTTCTTTTCCACTTCTTGACTCCGGATTCCCTTAACTTAGGACTTCCCCGTTGTCGGTGATCAAGCATCGCGGAGGTCTCGGTTACGGATAACGGCGATTATCCGGCACCGTCTAGACTCCCGGGAAAAATTCGGGGGGTTTATAAGCGCCTCCATAAACGGATTCTTTCGGAATCAACGGATTAGTACCCACCGTGGAGACACCTGCTACTTCACGTTTTACTCTTTTGCTGTTTAGCAATCGGTGTGCCGGCCACGGAGTGCATAATGAACAGCCATGATATCCAGCTCTGCGACTAGATCCCAACGACATCGACATTATCCAACGTGTACCTGTCTATCCTCTCCAAGTCCGGATCCCTGGCTCCACGACCGGGTCCGTTGCACCAGGAATCCACGACCCGGCCCACAATCCCACGGTTCCGTGTGGTCAGCCGGTCCGGTGATTAAACTCCCGGCGTGATCAGTGACCCGAGAAGAGTGGATAATGGCCGGCGGGGGAGAGAGCGAATTTGGAGAAATATACCCGATGCTTAATCGCACTGGTTACCGGATTATTAAGGTGGTTCCGACAACAAGGCATCTGCAACCAGGATACCCTTGCATGAGTTCAACATCCAGTGTCAGACGACGAGCGTCGAACGTCTACGAGCCCGGCAAAATGCATTATCTAATGTACAAGTCAAATCCAATGCTTGATGCGAAACACACCCTGAGATTCAATTTTCATTGAGACAAAGAATAATTATTCCGAAATGATTATTCTTTTAATTAGAAATATATATTCCTTCGACACTATTCGAAGTAATGTTTCTCTTGTTCGATGAAATTTTTTCCACTGGGTGGAATCACCTCGAGCAAGAATGAGAATTTTTTTAACTCTCGTTAAGCGATTCTTTTGAAAAGCCGAAGTATATTGTTTATAAGTCACATGAATGGCGTTTCGTTTTTATTTGTTTTTATTTCTGCGTCACTTTTTTTTATGTGCACCGTTGACTCTGGTACGTATATCGCTCAAAGATTTAAGCATGATACTGTGAAAGTATGGAAAATTTTTTTTATAATTATAATCTAGAGTGTTAGGCGGATTCTTGTTTAAGGGGGTCTTACAATTAGCGTCCTGGATACCGAGCATCGAACATGAAGCTTCGGTTGAGCTCTTGGAACCGAAATGGCGGCACAGGGGAACAGGAGTGGACGCAGGAACTGGTATAAAGGAACGGTATAATACGTGGAAGGGGATGAAGAGGGACAGGACGCCCGGGGCTTCGGGAATACCTCCGAGCCTACCAAACCACCATGCCGTGGCCGCCCCCAACTCATGGGAACTTCCTCGAGGCTATGCAGCATCTTCGCGACGCCGAAGAGATTTCGAGGCACCGAACCACCCTGAGGCCTGCCCGCCCGCCGTTCGGAGGACGGTAATTTACCAGGAATGCACCATGGCCGGCGAGATCTTCGTGCCGAAAAGCGCACATTCCGGCCTGTTCCCGTGTCCAGCTATCGCCCAAATGCGTGCATCTAGGGAACCCATTGGGCTCAAGGTAGACGAAACAGCCAAGGAACCACCTTCGGACGCTGATCCCAGATCGCTAAGACCGTGATTCAAGACATGGAAAAGAAGATCCGCAAAATATTCCTGAAAATGGGCCTGGAGATGGTGATTTAGTGCACCTAGCGTTAACCTCTTAGCTTCTAAACGCTACTATATCGGCTTCCGCCTGGATTGTCTCTTTGAATGGTACGCCACTAGTGGCTCACACATCATCCGAGACAAATCATGGTGGTACATTATGTACTCGCAATCCGCGTCTAACCGTACCGCGGAAAGTCCAGCCGTAGCTAAGAGTTTAAGTACCTACCCCTAAGTAGGACCATACGCGAAATGGGAATCGCCTAATCTTAAGTCGTCGAGGTCCTTGTCGGACTTGTCCTGGAAGGTACGGCTAAACGGTTAAAATCCATCCCACGTTCGGACCCTAACG